AGATTCTCAATTTTAGTATTAAGTAATATCGCTGAGGGGCAAAGATATTCAACAGATGCCTCGGTGGTACTATTTATAGATACTTTCCGAGAGATAAAACGCTAGAGAACCTAGAGAGTAGAAGAGCTTTTCAGTTTGAGTGTGGCCACAGGCATTAGCTAAGGAATCTATATATATATATATATATATATATATTCATTAGACCTAAATACGTAAGCCAACGAGTGTATGTATTAAAATCCTATATTTAGAAAATTCTCTATTCAGTATAACGAAAATCAGATTTTTCCGTTGGATAATTTGGAAATTTTTATGTATATAAGAAGTACATTTTGAAAGGTAGATATACTTAAAATTTAAAGGGTAAAAAGCAAAGAAGGTGGTATGTTTTGTCGTTGTATCTTTAAGATATCAGAGAACCTATCCTCACAAGCCCTTCTCTTATTGGCATACTTTTCTGATATAGGCCCAGTTAAATATATATCTATGTCATTGCCGAATGTTATAAGAAGTCATGCTGCTAAATTTTGTGCTGAATCAACCCAAACATAACTCAATGTGTCACCTTAATCGACATATATCCCATACATATGCAGATATTTATATATATGTTCCATGTTCCATTGAACAAAAAATTTGCCTCGATTGCAATTTCATTAAAATTCAACATTTATTTTGGTTTTTGTTTTTGTGGATTTCTTGTGTTTTTTTTTGCTTTGGCACTTCTCTTTAGTGGGATCAGAGTGAACTCTGGAATGTAAACAGAGGTTTTAAAAATAAATGACAGCGAGGAGTCGTCGTAATAAAGAATTAAAATTTCACGATGCGAAACTCGAGTCAATTAGCCGGCGCAAGGCGGTTGGTTGCATTCGGTTCAAGCCATGACAAATGTTGGTCAAGTGGGCCTCGAAGGGAGTGGATATTAAGGAGGGGCCAAGAACCCTCCAGCTTTGAGTTGGCCAGGGGGAAATAGTCCACAGCAGCAGCCGCTCAGATGATTCATCTGAGGGGAATCTTTAGTTAGAGAGTCTACCTTTAGAGTTCACAGATAACAGAAGAATTTAGAGGACAAGAGAGAAAATATTTTGGAGAAAGAATGTTTCTATAAAGATAAGCAAGAGATTAAGTTTGGAGAGAACTTTAAAGGCAGATAAATATAATAAATAAGATAACATTAAAACGAAAGGAATTCCTTTACTGATAGTAAAGTTATTCCTGTCAAAAAACCTATTAAAATATACATACTGTTCCCTTGCCCCAGTTACCAATATATCCAATCCGCTGACACAATTTTATTTTTGGTGACAGAACTCTCTCTAGTCCAGCTTCGCCTGGCTCCACAGTTCCAAACAGATACCCATGTGATCGGCATAAATAAAGAGCAGAATTCGAAACAGAAACGTGCATTACACTTAGTCAGGTATTCTCTCGCCTTAATGATTTACTGTGAGATGAGAAAACACTCTCGAAAAACAAATTGAAGCCGGGTTGGAGAAAGAAGATCACCAAAGTCTGGAATGGAATGGGAATCGGGCAATAAAAGTCGCTAAGAAACGCCGGCAAAATATTAAATTCTTGATTTATCAGCTGGTTGAGCTCGAACAATGCCTCTGTCTGGGTTTGAGGTGGCTCAACTTTTTGGACCCGGCGAATAATTAATAGGTTCTGCCACCTTAAGGCCGAATAAGGAAAACAATTGTTAAAAATCGCTTAATAATTATCTTTTAAAAAGGAAAGATAAACCTAATACTAATCAAACAGTAAGGCAGGTTTTAAAAAATCTAATATTTCTAACTCCTAACTTGTAAAGTATTACAAGAAAGCGAATTTTATATTCATAATAAATTTTATCTAGAGGTCTATAATCTCTAGGTTAATTAAATTTCAAGATTGTGGTGAATATTTTGAAATAATAAAATATCTCACACTATTGCATTATTTGTATTCTTCCTAGATGATATGTACCTTTGCACTGTTTTAGCATAGGAAAACAATTAGATTTTAAAACACTGAAGAATTCTTAAGCTAGGAACAGTTTAATTAATTAAAATAATAATAAGTAATAAATTAGAAAGAAAATAATAAAGACAGGTACATATATTTAACAGTTCACTAACCATGATAAAAATCAACAACTATTGCATATTTGAATCAAATATGATTTCAAGTGAAAAGATAATAGGATGAGTTCCTTAACCCTCTTCAGTTGCAATAAAAAAATAAATGGTAAAATGCAAATGAATTCTTCAACACAGTTTCACTTTCGCACAAGTCGGTTTTTCTTTTATTTTGTTTTGCTACTGATGATTATCGCATAAAATTGCTAATTGCCTTATTGGCTGCAGTTTAACAATAGTTTCGATTTCGATTTCAATCTCCGTCTTCGTTTCAATTGCAGTTTCTTTCGAGTAGTGTAAAAACAAAACAAACACAAACATGGATGCCATCAAGAAGAAGATGCAAGCGATGAAAGTCGACAAGGACGGAGCTCTGGAGCGCGCTCTCGTCTGCGAGCAGGAGGCACGCGATGCCAACACCCGCGCCGAGAAGGTGAGTCAGCCACCCAGTACAAGCCGCCCGTCATCCGCCATCCGCCTTGCAAACCCCACCTGAAGCATTAAAGATACACAGAGAGAACATTTTTTTAAATTTATACAATTTTTTTTATTAAAATTTTTAGAGAAAGATTCTTAATGATTATTTTTAAATAACTTATAACGTGAGTTTATGCCAAAAAAAACCGAGATTTCTGAAACTGCCCCTGTCATTATGAGTATTCAAATGATAACGACCTCCTAAGTTATTATCCAAACTGTCCAACAAATGACCATAAATATATGACTGCTTAATATATACCAATTTTTTTTATTAATTTACCAGAAATTTAATTATTTTTACATTAATATATTTCTTTGATATTACATAAATAAAGCTTTTAATAATTTTACAGTATTTACTTAAGCTATTTTTTATTGAAATATAATACTTTAAATATTTGATTATTTTAATATATCTGAAGAAATTCAGTTATTGCCTTAAAAAGTATTTTTTTTAAGAAATTCAACAATTTCAACACGTACTTACCTTATTTTTTTCTGTGTAATTAAACGCACCTTGCCATTCAACGCACCGAAAATCATTTTGCTGTTACAAAAAGCATAATGAACGGCTTAACACAGCAAACACCATAAATCTTGTTAACACATGCAATTCCCGTGTCGATGTGTTTTGATTTCTAATTGCACTTTGTATACATTTTAAATAACGCAACTGTAGGCCGAGGAGGAGGCTCGCCAGCTGCAGAAGAAGATCCAGACCGTTGAGAACGACCTGGATCAGACCCAGGAGGCCCTGACTGTGGTCACCGGCAAGCTGGAGGAGAAGAACAAGGCTCTGCAGAACGTAAGTTTATGTTTATTTTATAATTTACACATTTTAGAATACATTTTAAGATAGAGTTTAGCTTAGGAAGATTTACCATTAAAACCTTAAAAAGCAGTAGGAAGAATTTAGTACTGAAAAGTTCAAACTAAGTTTAAGCTAAGATACTCTGTTTATTATTAATTAGAATTGAATTGTTTTATTTTCATAATTTGTTTTCTTATATTTTTTTTTTTTTTGTCTTAGAAAATAATGATGTAGTTTTACTTTGACAAATATAAAACTATACCCCACGAATTTTTAAAGAACACCCTAAAAATAATTATAATTAGTTGAATCACTTAAGAAAAAACACATAAACCAGAAGGAAAACATTCCATTAATCATTTGAAATTTACTCCGCCATTTGTCAGATTTAAAATGTCTAGAATCCTAAAACATTTTTCGCTTTTCCCCAACAAGTTTACCACATGTCAGTTTATTTCTTAAGAAAAATACATATATAATACATATTTTTTATGCTTCTGCTCAATATTTTGAAATGCATGCAAGGCAAGAAATACACATAATTTATAACAGCAATTTCTGATACGATTTGGTGACAGCCCACGGTTTTTTGGGGGAAAGTGTCTAGAAAATGGGGCCGCGGCAATTTAACGCCAATTTCATGGCACCTTGGCTGTTTGAAATTGGAGAAAATGTTTGGGGGGGAAACGGCAAACATGCTGAGTTTTCGGAAATTCCAAAATGGAAAAAATCATAAATTCTTTGTTCAAATTTCAAACAAATGGAAAAGCAGGCAGCAATTGACACGCAGCACTGCCGCTCTCTTGTTCTCTCTCTATCTCCACTAGCTGTTGGCAACGCCTGTCGCAGAGAGGCGCTATTTTTAAATTTGTTGAAAATAGCCAGCGGCGAGTGCGAAAGAGAGGCGGCTATGCATTTTGGGGTAATATCAAATAACGCAACTGAATTGTGTTCGCTTGCCAAAAAGATTTACTCGCAAAAAGCACACATATACACAGCTCTTTCCTGTGAATCTAAATTCTAGAACATTTTTCGTAGTGCGGCCGCAGGTTTCCAAAAAGAATTCGAATTGCGATTCGACGTTTGATTGGGAGACATTTCGGGAAAGTATTCCAAGGACACTGCCAATTGGCAGCGTTTCAAAAAAATAGAAATAAAAAATAATAGAGGTGTGCAGGTAACACTTATCTTCTGAAAACTTATAAAAAGTAAATAATGCTTATCAGACAGCATAGAATTATTATCAGGCAGCATGTTGATTTGGCCCAGCCCAGGGCTTTAAAATAAACATGATGCCGCCTCACTGACTGACTAATAACCAGAAAACGAAGACAAAAGAAGAGATAAACAATTAAATGAATCAAATGCGGAGCGGCAAGAAAGGAAAACTCTCGGTGGGCGTTGGAGAGAGTACGCATTTCCTCGCTCTTGCTTTCGCCCCTGCGATCTAACTGCATATTATACATATCGCTGACTCGCTCCCACACACTTGCCCCACGGGCGCAGCTGAGAGATAGAGAGCAAAAGAGAGAGCGGCAGAGAGAGGCACATTTTGAAATGGCCCCAAAAAATGATCGCACACACATTTTCAAGTACAACACGAGGGGCCGTGGAAAAAGCAGCAGCAGAAAACCAGAAGCCGCCCGTCAGCAGGAAAATTAAATAATTAACAAGCAATCAATTGACATTAATTAATTAAATAAATATATTTAAATCACTGCTTTCATTTGGGTCGCCTCAAATGCAATTCTAGTGATCTTTTAATTACATAAAGTTCAAAAACAGCTGATAGTTACAGTGTAGCGGAAACTTTTCTCGGCAATTTTCACGCGCTAATGAAAATCTGCCAGAGCCAACAAAAACAACGAAAAAGAAGAAAATCTGTATTAAATCATCAATAAAAATAGGCAAACTAACGGTACAATGAGCTCAGCTGTTTGAATAAAAAACAATAACCAAACAAAAGCAACAACAACAAGCAAGCAACACGCACCAAATCACACAAGCAACAACAATAGCAACAAAATATGTACGAAAAAACATTAACTCAGGGAACTGCGAAAGTTAATAATGCATATGAATGGCAAAAAGTGAGATACAACAACAACAATAATAGTAGCAAGATAACAACAACCACAGCAGCTGCAAAATCAGTTAAAATCAAGCAGCAGCAACAACAAAACAGCAGTGTGAAAAATGCAACAAAAGCAATAACAACACCAAAAACAGCAAATACAACATTACCGTTGCAAACATGCAACAACATAACCGTTAAGCCGCCAGCACAAAATCAAAGCGTAAAAATCAAATTCGTTGGCAACTCGGCACGTCGGCAAACGCTGGCCCATCAAATAAAGCGAGCGCATCGGCATTTACTCACCAGCGGCGGCAACGACAAAAAACCGACGCAACAAAAGCGTAAATTTCATTTATTCCTAGTTTGAAGTCTTTTTAAATCGCAGTGTAAACGTGTCGTAGCACTTAGCTTCTCGATATCATCACTCTCCATATTCAATGGGAACAGCTGTTAGTGCTGCCAGAATTTTCGCGGAAGTTCACTTTTCCGCCAGGAACGCCATATTTCCTTAAAAACTCTGGCAGCACTACCAGCTGTTCTGTCGATAACTCGACTGCAGAAAAATCGTCTCTGCAGCGGAATTTCGGCCAGAAATTTACTCTAAAAAAAAAAAAAACAACAAATAATTCGATTCCGTAAATTCCCCCAAAATAATTAACACGGAAGAGTGCTCGACCCCCGCCGACGTCGACCGCCCTTCCTAGCTAAGTATTGTTCAATTTTCAGAAAAGCAGCAGGTGTTAGCGCAACCTGGCAAAACAGTTGCCAAACCCAAGCAGAAGCAGAAACAATTGTTGAAAAGTGATAAGAAACCGAATCATCAGCAGCAGCAGAGAAAGCGTGGAACCAGGAACACTCGCCATCCGGGCGGCCAGAGCGACGGCGCTGAATCTGGCCTCTCCTCGCGCTGGTGCTCCATTGAGGCGCAGCTGAACGTGCTGGACGACCTGCTCTACTACTGCGATGAGGAGGCCCAGTTACACCTAGCCCAGCTCTACCAACAATTCAGAAGGGGCAGCAGCAACAGGAGCTACTCCCCGGCCAGCGACTTCTGGAGCGACTCGGACATGGACAACGACAACGATTCGAGCACCAGTGGTACTGGCAGCCACAGCAACAACAGTCAAGGCCACAGCTTGACGCCAGCCTCGCTGAAGCGACGTGGCCACCAGCATCATCCGCGTTTCTCCGGCACCCGCCGTCCCAACGTACCCAATGTTCAGGAGATTCTGGCCGCTCTTTATCGCGGTGACTCCAAAGGAGTGCTGTCTAATCTTAGGGGCGAGGCGGCGCCCGTAGAGGAGGAGCAGCAACAGCAGCAGGAGATGGCGCCCAGTAGGAGCACCTTGAGCCTGCCGCTTAGCGAATCTGTGACAAATTCTTTGGGCAGCAATAGTCCCACGCCCACGGATGAGAGTAGTGTGCAGGATGAGAGTGCGGCAGCGAACTCAGTAGCAACGCCAGGTGTAGCCGGCGTGCCGCCTGCAGCTCCTTCGAGCACCAAGAGCAAGAAAAAGAAGCGTGATAAGGGCGAAAAGTCTGAGAAATCGGACAAATCTGAGAAGAGCGAACGCAAGAAAAAATCCTCTTCGTCGTCGGGCAAAAAGGAGCGCAGCAAACGATCTGCAACCTCTGGTAATCCCATGGAGCTGAGCAGCGATAGTCTGGCCACCGATCTCAGTGCCGGGGCCATTGACGAGGGCATTGCATTGGCCGATGACGACGATAACCAGGCGGCGGAGTGGTCACAACTTCGCTGCACTAGCGAATCGTCCGAAATCGTGGCTGAGCGTGAGGCGCGCCGGAACAAGGGTCGTTGTGCTGACTACCCCGGACTGGCATTCGGCAGGTCCATCTTCAGCTCCGACACCATGATGAAGTTCAACATCATCCGGAACGAGCTACACAACATCATGAATACGCAGCTCAAGCGGGTAATAAGGGCAACTTCGATTTTTTTCTACTAATCCCTGTATATCTTTTGTGTTTATTCCCAAACCAAGCTTAAGGAAAAGCCACCTCGTTGTTGTTGATGCGCCGTTCCAAGTAGTGTCCAAAGTTTGGTTAGGTTCTGCGATTGCTCTAGTTTGTTATTGTCTCATATTCCCCTTTGCTACTCTTTTGCATTGCAAAGCGATTACGTCGTCGTCGTCGCCTTCGTCTTTTCGCGATTTTCGCTATTTTCTTAACCCTACGATGGCCCCGTGGTCTTGATTCGGCCTTCGCTTCGAATTTTCTTGCAAGACTTGACCCCGTTAAGGTTTAAGCATATGTCGTTTAGCTTTTACTGCTGAGATTGTCGTTCGGTAAGAGTGGTTGCCCTATCTTATGGATAGTTGCTATTAAACTTGTTTGGACTTTTTGAAATTCTCACTTCTTTTCGGAAGTATTTCTCTAAAAAATTTCCCAAATCTGATACAATTCCCACAATCCTCGTTAAAACGGTATTCCAAACATTTTTGGACAAATAAGTTTACTTAATTGCAGGCAATTGTTTAATTAGTTACGCAATTTGCTGGAATGTCTAACGGTACTAGCCGGCCACCTGTTGCTCTCGCACACTCTTTTGCTCTCTGTGCGGGTGGAACCGTAAATGGGCAAGAAGAGAGCTTGAGATAAGCACGCTAAATTGTATTAGTAAACCCCCTGCTCTCCCTCAGTTTTTATTAGCTTTCCAACGATTTTTTTTTAATTCTCTGTAGTCTGTAAATGGCAACAGTTTGAAACACTAAAAGGAAAACCCGGCCATATTTGGCCAAAGCATAAAACCACACGCGTCCAAAGCTCGACTTTGCCAAATTGGCGAACAAATTAATTATTAGGCTCGGCGACCTTCGCCTTTTTGTATTTTTATTTACTTTTAATTTCCTTTCAATGTCGCCGGCTAAAAATGGACGAGCGCTCATTGAGTGTTTGCATTATCAAAACAATTACGCCATCGCGCCGGGAAAAACATAACTACAGGTGGTTGCGAACTTTACGAAAAGCGGCCAATAGGAGAAAGAGAGGGACAGAGTCAGATTAGTCATTACGTTTCGCCTTACGTCGTTTGCTGATAAGCCCGATGATAAAGCGCCGGCATTGTATTTTCCGTTTTCCCCCCTTACAATTAGTGGAAGGTGTGGGAGGGAGAGGGAGAGATGGCTATGGCGGTGACGAGAGAGGGAGCCGTTAAGTTGCGTTGGCAAATACAGACACCGACACACATGCAAAGCACATTACACACATTACCTGCTCGCATCATCTTTGGTTCTTTACACTCTGTCCGTTTTTGCATAATTTTATTTGCCTGGAAATGACAAAAATCCTAAATATTTCTTGACTAATTAATGCCAAACAACAACAAACATGTCGACAGAATTTTAGCGGCTTTTAACAGGTTTTCCAGCGGCACACACACACATACAGTAGCGCAGCGTTTTAGGCGAGGCAGACAGACTGGAAAGTCACACGCACGCAGCACAGCAGTTGTCCCGCTCGCACAAACCACCACCGCCGCTTCAACGGCGCTGCCAAGTGTTTCGGATTCATTTCCAATTTCGTACTCGTCGCAATCGCGTCGTTGCCTCTCTCTCCGTCGATCCGTGTGTGTTTTTGCCACCAAATAGCAATATTTAATATTAAAACACAAGTTATTCCACTCCACAAAGTGTTCCCAACCGAATTTTGCCACAAAACACTGCCGCAAAGCCGAAGAAAAAGCAGTTGAAGAGAAAGAAGAAAAGAAAAACCGGTGGTTCACTGTGTGTGTGTTCGTTCGTTCCTCGCTCGATTCGATTGTGTGTGTGTGTGTCCGTTCCTCGAGATTTCAAGTTGTAAATTGAATTCGGTGCTGCCATAGAGAGAAATTGTCGAAAAAGGCAGAGTGCTCGCTCAACTCAAGTGCAAAACACTTTGTCAGGAAAACACCCACAACTTCATCTGCCGTTGGATATAAAAGGGAAGAAGAAAACCCACAAAAATGACGACCAGCATTCCACAAGGCACTCTCTTGGACGTGCTGAAGAAGAAGATGCGCCAGACCAAAGAGGAGATGGAAAAGTATAAAGATGAGTGCGAGGAGTTCCACAAGCGCCTGCAGTTGGAGGTTGTGCGACGCGAAGAAGTAAGCCGCCTTCCTTTATACGTAGTGTCTTAGCTAAATTTTTGCTACCCTTTGGTATGGGGAAAACGACTGCGTGACCTGTCTTATAAATTTTGCATAAATCCTACCTAAATGAAAAAAGATAGTCAAGCATTTCTTCTTTCGTTTGCCCTCTCTCTGCCACCGTTTTCGGTGTGCTGTGTGTGCGTGTGTGGGAGCGGGACAACGCAAGTGTCAGTCTCGTCGTCTGAGCGCTCTCTCTGGCTTGCGCTCTTAAGTGACTGTTGTTGCTGTGGTTGTTTTTACTCTTCAGTGGTTTTTCCTGTCTTTCTGTTGTTCTTTTCGTGATGAACGAATTTTGGGCAAATTGTTAGACACAGGGGATACAGGGTGTTCTGGGTTAACTTTTCTTATCGCTGACCGAATTCATTCACCTCTTGAAAATTCAGTGTGTGTTGTGTTATCTCTCTCGCTTCACGGCGCAGCATTAGCATAAAACGGGCGGAGAACACACACACGCATTTACATAAGGCCAAAAAGGAGAAAGAAGTCTTTTGTAAATTGAGTGATTCTTCGGGCTTTCTGATACAATCTGCTTTCTCAGCGACAAAAAATAACCGGTCGAAGAAGAATCCGCCGCTGAAGAAGTAGAAGTAGAAGCCACATCGTTTAGCTAGCGGTGTTCTAAATTCGATTAATTATGATTTTTACGCCACGCTCATCAATAAGTGGTTTAATTCTCTTAATGCCTTTCAGCTTTCAGCTTTTATTCGCCCGTTGGCTCTGTCATGTTCTTAATTTAATTCTAATTAGACAATTGAGTGCGCGAGGGCTCCTTCTCTGTGTGTATGTGTGTTGAGTGTGACGTCACTGCAGAGAGGATTGCGATTTTAAACAGATTTTTCTGAAAACTTGATTTCCCCCGTTTTTCTCACTGCCAGCCAGTGATTGACATTTCGTTTCCCCCTTTTTGAAAACGGAACAATACGAAAACAGTCTAAAACAAAAAACATAATTTGCTTTATTGTCGATTTCTATACAGAAAACAGCTTTCAATGTCACTCTGTCGCTCTCTTTAACCCCCCATTTCCTTTTCTTCTATCCCACTCTGTCCCCCCTCTTGCAATTGAACGTTGATAATTTCAATGCGCGCATTGTGACAAATTGGTTTTGATTTGTACTCGCTTTGCCTTTTGCCAGTTTCGTAATTCAGAGATTACAGCATATGACGCCATCGCTACACCCTGCCTGCCCTTTTCCCCTCCCACTGGCACTGCTTAATTTTTGAAAAATATTTTATGCTTGAGAGCATCGTCTTTGGAATAGCAGTTAGTGTATTTAACATTTTCATGGCTTATTTTTCGGTTCATAATTAAAAATGCATCAGCATACAATACAACATAACACGCCCTACGCGTAGCGCTCCAATAAGTCTTCTTTTTTGTTGTTATTTATTTCGGTTGCCAGGGCAATAACAACGAAGTAACGAAGTTTCAAGGTGTGTGTGACTAAGCCGTCAACAATTTTTCGGTTTTGCATTGACTTTTTTCTTTTTGTACGTGAGAGTTGTTGTTTTTCGGCATTTCAATTTTTTGCATTTTGCCGGTCATTTTTCATGAATTCCACAACAATGGAGGCCACTCTCTTTGCTCTCTTCAGCTCCCTCTGGGCCCCAGCACTCTCTCTCTGTCTCTCTTGAAAACGTGTTCTTCGCCCTGTGATTTGTGAGCCCCTCCCCCCTTTTTGACCCGTTAATAAAGCGTTTAATCTTCAATACGTTTTGTTAATGAGTTCAAACACCGGGAGGGTGAGCGGGATGGAGCGAGACTCCCGCTACAAAACGAAACCCAACTGGAATCCACTCTTTGACTTCTTTGCTCTGTGTCTTTCGGTGTCTCCTCGGTTTTTTGGCATTTTTCGTTGTTCATCGGCGGTTTGTTGTGTGACTTTCGTGTTTGGAAAGCTGCGGCGGCGGCGCTGCCAGCTATGCTCCCCCAATTCGAAATGCTTTTTATCGTTTAAAGCGCGTGTGTGCTTGTGTTCGTATTTCATACGATGACGTAAGCCAACACGGTGGGTTCCAATTCATAATCACACGACACAGTCCGCACTCGATACAAGGAACTAAGAACTTTTTTAGGTTTCGAAAACTAAAAGATACGTATTTTAAAAAATATATCTTAAAAAAATTGTCCACAAAAATGTTAAAGCATTTTTAAAATAAAATTAAAACTTTTTCTTACAAGAATTTTAAACGAATGATTACAGTGACATAAAGTTTAGCCAATAGAACTAAGCCTGTACCTTTTATGACCCGCACTCTCATCGTTCTCTCGGTTCTATGCGTCGTCGGTTGGTCAGTTGCTCAACTTGTCATTCACTCATTCTATAATTCTGTCACTCTGCCCCTATGAACATACATATCAGTAGCCACTGGTGTACACCTATCTGTATCTATGCCCGGCACCATATCAGTCATTGGACATGGTTTCGGACATGGACATGGAACTTGGAACTGGCACTGGACTGCCTTGTCCAATTGCTTTTCAGCCGTTTTCGATTCAAACTTTGTTTTCATTTTGTATTTTTATACTTTTTTCACCATTTTTGGGCGTGTGTGATTCGAACGTCGACCGTTTTCGCTTTTCATCGTTTAACGTGCGGCTCTGGCTCTATAAGGCCACACATAGCATCGAATATTTTCCGTTCTTTAATGGGTATAATTCTTCGGTCGGTGGGAAAAACTCTCGATTAGTTTAACTCGGTGACGTCAGGGGGCCAGAAACCTTGAATTGGCTTCATTTGGGAATTTCTACCCATATCACGTATCACACGTATCCAGTGTTGTTGAACTTTGTTAAGCTTTGATGGCCACTATCGATTGCACTTGGCCAAAATAACACGCAATATTCTAGCGTTGGGCAATTTTCCTCATTCTTTTTCGAAAAACGCAAGCAGCAACGACAACGAGGAGGTGGAAAAAAAAAGTTTCTTTACAGGTAGAAGCCACAAAACAGAAATTGGACGAATGGTCGACTTTGTAGGGAACAAGAAATTAAGATTACAAATTTAAGAATTTTAATATGGGGTTAAAGAGAGCGCAAAAGCATTAGGGGTAGTAGTTTTCTATACAAAACAGAGGAGTCAGGAGTTTGCCTACTTTGCCCATACCAAAGGTAGAGAGCAGCATCTAAGCAGTTTCTTCATACCAAAAATAGCATTATTGTGTATATTTCTTGCCTTAAACGCACTAAGCACTTAAGTCTAGATTTGTAAGAAGTAAATTAAAATTAAGTCTATATCATAAGAATTGGCGAATGGAAATGCTATATCTGGTTCGTTCGACCTTCGAACGCTTGTCTTATAGGCCGAATCCGAGGTTGCTGCTCTGAACCGTCGCATCCAGTTGCTCGAAGAAGACTTGGAGCGCTCTGAGGAGCGTCTGGGCTCCGCCACAGCCAAGCTGTCGGAAGCCTCTCAGGCCGCCGATGAGAGCGAACGGTTAGTACCACGTTACCTTTCCTATGTATTATGACCCGCCCCAATCTACACCACCCAACTGTATACCCAATATTATGTACTTTATAAGTTTACAGCATTTATTATTGCGAATTACCTAAGTTCGAGTTACTCTATATATACATATTATAACATTTACCGTATCTGTATGTCATTCCGCAATGCTGCGACAAAATTCAGGATACGAAAAGCGCTCGAGAATCGCACAAATATGGAAGACGACAAAGTAGCTCTCTTGGAGAACCAATTAGCACAAGCAAAATTAATTGCAGAAGAAGCTGATAAGAAATACGAAGAGGTATAGTCATGGTATCCATATTTATCCACGGAAATTGGTATCCGTTCCTTAGGGCTCTAGGGTTATTAGGTTCTTGAGGTTCTTGTCTCCGTGAGGTTAGGTTCACTTGGTCAACATTTGCGTTACTAATTAGGTTTTGGGTCTTCTCTGTCTATATCTATCTGCGCTCTCTTATTTATAATTTCTACCTAACCAACTCTGCAACAAGAACGATATAATGGTCGTTCTAATAATGGTCACTGTCATAATGATTATGTTCCTAAGTTAGTCTGTAAGAATTTCTGTAAACAGCATTTAGTTTTCTAAGTTGAAAGATGTCGACCCGCCGATGGAACTGGAACACCGTGGATGCTCGCCCTACATTCTTGTAAACATTGTAAAATTATATGTATAGGAAAGCATGATGTCCTAGATAAGCTTATGGTAGTCTATTAGTCAAATGGCTGTTTAGCAATTATGTCTAAAAAAAAAGAAGAAAACTAGCAAAAGTTCCCCCCCTAGTGTTTGTAATGAGACGAAACTTAAATAGTGTTTGGTTCTTGGAATTATTCTATCAGTTAGAAGCAGACTAGACTGTCTGCGTTCTTGATCTAGATCGATAGTGTCTAGACAAGTCCGTTAAATCTATTTTAAATTGAATGCTACCTAATTTGGTCAATACAGTTGTCAATTTTGTCTAAAGATGATGCCAAACATGGTTTAAGTTTCATGCTTATCCCCCTCCTCCTTGTCCTCCTATAGTCTCCACGTCCTCTTGTATAAATATTTCTTAATTAAGTAGACAAAATCCGAATAGTTAACTCAACTGGCAACAACAAATTTCTGTCTCTTTTTACAAACAACAACAACCACGCCAAACAATTGACAAAACCAAAAAATATCTATCTCTATCTGTGAATGTGTGTGTAAACCATCTGTTTGTCATAACAACAACTGCAACAACAACAAAAACAACATCACCACCACCACCACCACCACGACTCTAAACCCCATATGATGTGGACGATGACGTCGAATGATATTCACACGAAACCTTTTTCGGCTGTACCTACTGCAATTCCGATGGGGAACGGCAAATCATCGCTAACCACTTGGTCACTGTCTTCTATGGGCATGGTCGTCGTCGCCGTCTATTCTATATAAAAATGTACTACATTGAATGTGTAGTGCTCGCAAGATTCTTGAGAACCGCGCCCTTGCCGATGAAGAACGCATGGACGCTCTTGAGAATCAGCTGAAGGAAGCGCGTTTCCTTGCTGAGGAGGCTGACAAGAAATACGATGAGGTGCAGCTAAAAACCAATTTGTCTTCTACTATGATAAGCAACAATAACAACAATAGTAACAATAGTAACAATATCAGTAAATCAGAACTATGTAATGCTAATGCCAACAATAACGCATCCAGAACTATTGCTGCTGTTGGTGAAGAAACTTCCACATTGTCCTCCACAACAACAAGCCCCGAACATAACAACAATCCCAATAACGACACCTGAGAGCTGGTTCCTTTGCCAAAAGCGAACATATCGAATTGACTTAATTTGATTTGAATTGAATGAGAGGAAAACCTCTCCTCGACCCCGAAACTTGGCACAGGAATCAATCCGCAGGAGTTGATCTAAAACTTGTGCTTACCGCGATGATTAGTAGATTATGAATCCAGACGACGATAACGAATGAAGCTTGATGGCAGTCTCTTTAGCTTAGATCTAGGCACGCAATGCCCGCCGCCTGACAATATGCAATATATATATACATATATGTGTATAGATGATGATGATGTATTAGTTGATGTACATACAATGTAAATCCAATCCAATGAATTATTGATTGTAACTCGTGAAAAAATCCCCCCAGAAAATGGAGGCGGTCCTAGCAAAGGCCTCGTCGTGTGTCTTAATTTGTAAAATACCAATAGCATTATGTAAAGTAAATGTTAAGCGGTCCATACGATGATGATGTCCACAAGTAGTCTGCTGATTGTACTCAATATACGTATATGCTCTTCCATCATGAGAAATACTTTGCTTGAAAAGCATATAACGATAAAGATTTGATTGTTTTAAACGTAAAGTGTAATTGGGTTGTATTCCCACAATTTGTTTGTTTATTTCCATTCGATTTACGTATTTGTAAAGAAAATGTTAGGTCTATTCACGGTATATATGCATAAAACACCACACACCTTAAAATTATAAATTATAACCCAAGAAAATGTCTATTTTGGATTAATATTTTTGCAAATTAATGTTTATATAACACATTATATACAAAAACAAATTAAAAAAAAAAGATATATAAATACAAATATATAATTGCAGCAAAAAAAACTAACTCTATCTTATTGACCAAAAAAAGGGTGCTAGATAATATTCAGTGACTTCTAATTGTTGTACATTTTTTCGGAGCTTTGGGTACAGGTTTTGTGATCAAACAGTTTATGGTTTCAGGAAATTTCTGTGTTACGGGAGGCTCCCTGGGCTTAGGAAATAGATGGGAATTCAAATTAATCTTACATTTGACGCAGAATTATGATGGATTATAAGGAAAATGAGTTCAGTGTCTAGAAAAGCATAGAATTACTTATAACCTTCGATTATATAAGATAGAAACATGGACTTCCTGGAGCCTGGAGGCTATGATATTTTCAAAGGAGGACATTTATATAGTTTAATTCTGCAGTTTTTTTTATTTTTCACAGCTTAAAACTTTTAAGACTTTAAAGGACTAAACCTATGAAATGCAATCTAAGCTTTCTAGCTTAGACGTTGAAGTTGCATTTTTTTTATAGTAGTAGCCAGGTTTACCTCTCCCCACGATTCATGCAGAATGCTTACGTGTTTTTCACGTCAATCAGATCGAAGAAATAAACCAACTGATAACCAACATTGGCAGATAAGCCCCCTATTTCTTTCTATTTTCTTGCCTTTGCTTTGTTATCTTTTCGCAGAAACTAAGGCAAAAGTGTATAGATTAAAAAAAATATATAAAATGGGACTCGTAAGTGGGAGTGGGAGAGCGTAAAAAAGAGTTTGTTTAACTCGCCTGGCGATAAGAGAAGGCCGCTCCCCGATGGGCATGGATTCGTGTAGATTTCGCGAGCTTGGAGCTCACACCGGTGGCCATGACATAAGCGGCTAAAAACTCAGTTGCCAAAACGATCGATGATGAATCAAGCGATGTTGGAGGCTCACTTGACCCTCAGACGTAGGCCGATCGAAAGGGGGCTGAGTCAGTGGCGAGAAATGTGCGTGGAGTGAGAGTACTGTCCCATATGCATTGGTTATCTTTTCCACCTAAAGATGATGTGACGACACTTTAGTTACCTGGCCGATTCGGGCTTGATGCATTAATTCATTCACTTTCGTGATTCACTTGGGTCTTTTACACTCACTAAAAGAAATTAGCATACAGCTAACAGGAAATTAAGACAGTTTTGGTCAACATGGCCATTAAAATCAATAGGCATGGAGTCGCACAAGGTCCAAAGCAATTTCCTCTGTTCTTGATGAATTTTTTAGCTAAACTGGTTCTAAATACAGTTTATTAAAAGCTAAATAGAAGCTCCAGCTTCCTCAATTCATATACATTTTCATTTTTATGAGAAGAGGAAGTTCGGTACGAAAGCTAAAGTTCCTACAAATATTTAATCCGTACTTGGATGTTTATTTTTTATTAGTTTATTTATGTTTTTCATTTCCTTTGCCAAAAGTTTGGATATACAAATTAGGCGTTTTCCAGAAATTATGGCTCAAGATTGCTATTTTATAGAGGGAAATTTATTTATAAATATGGGATAAATAAAATAATAGTTAATATTTTATCATATTCTCAAGATATTATTCTAGCTAAGGAATATGAAAGGCGAACTGTATTAATTCAAAATAATCCAATATAAAATGTACAACAAATTAGAAATTTACAAAAATATATAGGCCCTTTGTAGTTAGATTGCTGCAGACAACAAAAAATCGTATGGTTCCGCAAGACAACAAAGCACAAGTTTTATGGGATAAAAACAAATAAAAACACAACAAATAACCATAAAATTAAGCACACAGTTTTGTTATTACTAAAATATCCTAAGGCACTACATAAAAACACATATAAAACATTAAAAAAAACCATTAAAACCTAATGAAAAACTTCATCTAATACGCTTTCTTTGTGTTATTTCGCCAACTGAGATCTGTGTAAAAACTACATGAAATTTAATACATTTTCTATATGTTCTCCTGTGTACCCGACGTTCCTTGTATTATATATCAATCAATCAACAATGAATCAATGAATCGATATGTATATGAATATATATGAGAAAAGGTTGCCCGTAAATTGGCCATGGTTGAAGCTGATTTGGAACGTGCCGAAGAGCGTGCCGAGCAGGGTGAAAAGTACGTTATAAGTTCAAATACAAAATATATTGTTCAACTTGTTCCAACCCCGTTTATTGTGCCTAATAATGAAAGCAATGTTGACACTGCCCCGACAACCTAACCTCAATTAAAAAGAAAACAATGCCCTTTTGCAATTATTCCTTAAAATTACATTTTAATTTTCAGTTTGATATTGATCTTGTTTTGTTTAGCTAGCTAGCTTTTGCCTTTATATATTTGTTTTATGCTTGGTTAAAAATGTGAATATCCTCTACAGCAATATAATATTTTGTATATTAAAAGCATGTCCTTAATAGATTAGATCAAATAGAAAAATCACTGATTTGGAACAGTCTAAGGAGGAGTTAAAAAATGTGAAAAAGTTCTCTGATCAAGTTGGAATTCTCAGGCGACCTATCTTTATGCTGGAAACTGAAGCTGCAATGACCTCAAGTTTTTAGGTCATTGCGCTTTAAAGATCCCAAAGAGAGCGGTGAAATGCAACCGAAAACCGAAGAGAATCGAGTAAATTTTGACAGAGATTTTTCACCTTTTTAGCTGCAACTACTGCTCCAAGTGGCCATGAATCATGAATGAACGAAACCAGCACACAGTATTCACATTTTTTTCCAATCTGCTGCCGTCCCAGCCAGACACAAAACTAATTTTAAAACCGTTTTTTTCTGTGCCATCCCTCTCTATAACCCATGCCAATAAAAAAAACCCCACTTTGTGTGTACTTAACACAATGCTAACACCTTGCCACGCCCCGCCATGCCATGCCACGCCACGCCATGCTACGTCCAAAGGTTGCCAGAAAACTCGTGCTCATGGAACAGGATCTGGAGCGTTCCGAGGAGAAGGTCGAGCTCAGCGAAAGGTTTGTCCACTGCCACGCCTCCATCCGCCCCCGCCTTCCATGTCGATGTCTATTTTTTTTTTTGTCTACTAACTGCATTTGGTTAAATATAATCCACGTTCGTTTCTTTGCGCCATTTATACCCGAATGAAGATGCGCAAATATTTATTTATAATATCCATAGTTTAAAAATAGCCAAAGAGTAAGGCCAGAAAAAGTGAAATCTTTTCAATTGCCGGTCCGAAAAAACAATTGTTATTATAACAACAATATTTGCCAGACCTTCGCAACATGATTTGACGGATTTCTCGTCTCGGCTCTTGGCCAACTCCATAACTCATCATAGCTCATCGCCTCCGTTGGCAGCCACAAGATCTTTTTCGAAAGTGAAGTGTGTGAGTGTCAACTTTGGCATTGCTGCCTGGGCATAAATAGCGCTCGAAAGAAACCACATTTATATTTAACAATTGCATGAGTTGTACTATTCCTCGTTCCCAGCTTGTATCTTAGACAACAATTTAATGATTATTTACCTTCCTTTTATTACTATCTCTGCCGAACAACAGCAAAATTGTGGAGCTTGAGGAGGAGCTGCGCGTGGTTGGCAACAACCTGAAGTCCCTGGAAGTCTCTGAGGAGAAGGTCAGTATCGATTTATTAGGATGTATAACACCCCTTTCTCCATTTGGAGTAATTTGACTTTAAAACCATATTATCTTAAATATCTATATTGAATATTCCCCTATCCCAAAAATTAAAACTCCCCGCGAAACAACAACAACGATTTAATGATATAGGCCAACCAACGTGAGGAAGAGTACAAGAACCAGATCAAGACCCTGAACACTCGTCTAAAGGAGGTAGATACTATTGAAAGCGTCCGAGCCTTGTACCAAAAAGCGGCCCCAAAAAAAAAAAAAAAGCGTAAAGAGTTTCCCAGATCTCGAAATCAAAAGCGACAATTAAGAGTGTCCAAACCAGCGTATCTTTTGTTGTTGTTTCTCGTTTTGTTTATTTTTAACTTAATGTCCCTACACCGGGAAAGGGATATTACCAGACAATATTCCCTCAAAAAGAGGAAACTTCTTCAGGAAGCCACCTCTCCCTTTCAATTGTTTTGTGTACTAATTACTATAAAATGTCTACCGACATGATATGTATACATATGTTGTTTACAGACAAACCGAAAAAACTTAATCCAACATTTTATCTAATCCAATTATTATATTTTCTCTTACTTTCATATATATTGTTTGTACGTTGCCGCTATGCCCAAAATCCAATTATTATTTGCGCACCTGCTGGATGTTATACCAACCTTATTTGTTTATGCATGAATTCTTTACAAATTTGCGTTCAATATAACAATAAAAAACTGCTTGCCATCACTGAACACTAAAAAATAGGCCACACAAAAAGAGGAAACCTTTGAGACGCAAATCAAAGTCTTGGATCATTCTCTGAAAGAGGTATACTTACGACCAAGAGCGTGTTGAACTTATATATAAGCCCCGTGGTCTCGGTGAATCTCTCTGGTGTTGGTTAATCCCCGCTGCTAATCTAAGCCCTAACATAGTCTAAGCACTAAACAGTAAACACTAATTTAAAACCAAAAAAAGAAGAAAAAAAAAGAAAATATTGAATTGCACAAATCGTTATTCTCAATTTTAAATTTTTCTGTACATATTCGTCAATTCGACATTTAATATTTTCTTTTTATGCCAAGCGCTTTGTGTGTGAAAATACAGCAAACGAAATCGGAATACCACAAATTATGAGTTATGTAAAATAGATCGATCAGTCGATAATAGCGTACATATCATGGGCAAGTATTAGGTGTTTCGTAATAAGAACTACTGTGTGTGTGTACATTTGTTTTTAAAATTGAAAACAACTTTTTGTGCATTGATTGCAAGCCAAAAAACCAAGTAAACCCATTGAAAATTGATCAGTTTTCCAGCACTGCTAAGTAGATCTCAATTAATGATCGATTAATTACCGATTAACGATCGATATGTCTTGCCACAGCATTCCTATAGAAAGAATTAATTCTCGTTAAGTAGACAGAGTCCAATTATTAATTCCAAACAGAGATATCTTATTTCGGTAGATATTTTATTATACTATTATCCCCACCTACACACACACACGCACACACCGAAACTCTATCGATCTATTTTTGTGATAATTTATAATTTGTGTTGTATTTCCCTCTCGACGTCTAGGCACGCGTTAATCAGAAATATTACGAAAAGGAGCTCATACAGTTCAAATTAAATGTAGAAGCTGTAAGTCGCCCCAGACTAAATGGGCGTAGATATTAAAGAGATATCTTAACAGCATTTTTCCATTTTTTGTGCAGTGACTGCGTAGAAGTAATATCATTCCCTTAATTGACTTAATGTGTCTGATTTAGGTTTTGTCTAAAAACCAACCCCATAAAAAATAAAGAAAGCGTCAGCAGTTTGTAAGCATTTTATTTCAATTACTTTAGGTTTAAAAGTAACTACCATGAAATTGAATGCCTTTTAACTTTAACTTTTATTATATTTATATTTATTAACCCCTCTCATACATCACTGGTATTGTTATCATTTTCATTTAATGTCTTTCACAAGTTATTAGTATTATTATTATTATGCTGGTTTTGGTAGAATATTTGGGAAGCTGCTTGGCTTAATGAAATAATGGTTAAATCAAAAAATTCTGTGTGACATTTATTATATTTTAAACTAAACTCTAAAGCAAATACACAGAATTTAGATTTACAGTTGGAAGGGATGAAGGCAAACATATTTTAGTTCTCTTCATCCCCATGCCTGCTGTTGGTAGCCACTTTTTGATGCTTTGTCTTGATCTCAAGTCTCCCTATATCTTACTAATTTCGATCCTTTCACCCAACTCTATAGGCTGAGGCTCGCGCTGAGTTCGCTGAACGTTCCGTTCAGAAGTTGCAGAAGGAAGTCGACAGGCTCGAAGGTATGTCCGTCCAAGATTTTATACGAATTTTACTGAGAATGTAAGAGTAAAACTAGTCACAGAAACAAAGAAAACAACAGTATATTCAATTAAAAGTACAATTGCCTTAGACGATTTTTCAGTTGTTTAATTATAAATTTTATACATAGTTTATAAGTAGGATCAAAATTAATTTCCTTATTCCAATTATATCCAGTACCGATTGTTTGTCTAGTGATATCCTTATGTACCTCGATTTTTTGATTACCTGTTTTAATTTGATTTTCTTTATTGTTTACTTTTCATATATTATTTTGTTGTCGTTGTGCTTAACAAAATACTACAACTTGCGCTCGCTGCTATTTGCTAAACAATTTGTTGCATGCCCCGCCCTGCCCCACAAAAAAAAAAAAACACCTAAAAAACAAAATGCAATCAGATGACCTGCTGAACGAGCGGGGCAAGAACAAGCTGCTGCAGGAGGAAATGGAGGCCACCTTACAAGACATACAGAACATGTAAACATCGTAATTTGCGCCTATGTAAATGAACTCTAAACTGCCTGCTTTGACGTCAAAACAAACAAGAAACGCACACAAAACTGGCGCTTTCCATAATTAAATATACTAGAGAACCCCCCCCCACACACACATCTATTTTCAAACATGCCCACCCTACACCCACAACACACACAATACAACACCCAAGGACGCCAGGTGTCTTCCAAGCGGATGCGGAAGCGACGCCATCAACGGGGGAGAGTTGAGTTAATCAGAAGAAAAATAGCGTTAAACAAAAACACTCTAAACATAAAAACTAAAAGACAAAAGCAGATGACGATGATGGAAAGGCAGAAAAGAAAAGAAAACTAAAGCAAGACATTCTCGTAGCAAGCGCATTCCAATTAACGTTTACCTTTGACTTTGATCTGCGATTTCGATTTCCATTGACTTGGCATTTAGCGCCATTTTTTATTAAACTTTTAACTGTTGCAATACAATTTTCGTTGAATCAAAACAAAGCAAAACAAAAGAAACTTTAATTATTCCATTTACTTATACTCTTTGCTTTTGCTACCCCAAAACCTTGTTTTGTTTTAACTTTTTATAACTTATATAAATTTTAAATTATAAATTATACCTTGTATACTTGTGTATTTTTGTATTCTTGACGAGATGATGACAAAACAAACTTGGACAACACAAGTGCCGCCTTCTTCTTAGTAGTTTACGTGTATTAAATATAGAGAGAGACAAACAAAACAAAACCAATCGCTGTTATTTATATTTAAAGAGTAAAAATTCTATGCTAAACAACCTGTACTCTTTGTCGCCAGCTTAACTGTATTAATAATATGCTAATGTTTACCTTGTTTATACATTATTTAAACAAATTGTCGTCGTGTTTGCAAAACGTTGTGTAATATTTGCCTACTTTTAAGTTGCCGCCACACAAACATACACTCTACCCACACGCCCACACCTCTTTCGACGGAGATTCTCAGAAACAACAAGAGCGCACATCATTCCAATTGAGCGATTAAAGCCAGCTTTTATTTGAAAAATAAAAACGAAACCCTATTCCCACACTCTTTAACTAATCCCGCTTTCGATACCGAAAAAGAAAAGCCACCCAATAACAATAAATATAGAGGAGAAGAATGCTGCAACACAAGAAATGGCATTGAAAATTCGATTTGAAATTCGATCTATTTACGATTTACATAAATTAATTATTTATACTTTAATATATTACCTATACATACCATACTATATACAATACATACAACCATGCTGCTGCAATTTGCACAAATAAAGTATTTTTTCCGAAAAAAAGAGTATGCCCAATCCCATCGTTGCTACCTCGTCCAGCGTCAGTGTCAGTGTCTGGCCCCCCCACCGATTCTGTTGTTGTCGTGCGTCCAACCCACATTTGGCCGCCACTGGAGGTTCTTCTTTCGCCCCGTTCTCTCTCTCAACTCTCTCGTATCTGCTCTAATCCGAATTTCTAACCCGCCGATCCACTAAACCACCACCACACCATCCACCACCGAAACGATACGAAATGCCAGACGAACTGATCAAGGAGATAGAGCACTATGCCCTCGTCGGCGACAGCTTGGACTGGACCTTTGTGGAGATGATGGGCATGCCGCCCTTCTACAACGAGCGTTATCCCAAGCCGCCCACGCCGGAGCTCACCGAGGAGGAGAAAGCAGAACTCGAGGCAGCTGCCTTGGCCAAGGCTGAGGCCAAGGCCAGGGCTGAGGAGCTGGCCGCTCTGGGAGAAGAGGGTGCAGCTGCCGCCGAGGGTGGTGAGAAGCCGGAGGGCGCTGCACCCGGCGAGGGTGAAGCAGCAGCAGCAGGTGAAGGCGGCGAGGCCGCAGCTGCTCCGGCCGAACCCGTTAGGATTCCCACTCCTCCGCCACCGCCACCATTCGAGTACTCCATTGATCTGCCACCAGAGGGAGCTGAAGTGCCGTATGTGAAGAACGCCGAGCCGGGTGACTTCCCGCCTCCCGCAGAGGCCCTGCCCGAGGGAGCTGCTCCGCAAGCTGAAGGAGAAGCCCCAGCAGCTGCACCCGTGGAGGGCGAAGCTCCGCCAGCAGCACCGGCCGCAGAAGGCGAGGCAGCTCCACCAGCAGCGCCAGCTGCCGAGGGAGAAGCGGCCGCTGCTCCACCAGCACCACCGGCTGAAGGAGAAGCTGCGCCAGCACCAGCACCTGAAGCAGCTCCAGCTGAGGGCGAGGCTCCGCCCGCACCGCCAGCCGAAGTAGCTCCTGAAGCTGCTCCTGCTGAGGCACCACCTGCCTAGAAAGTTAAACTATGGAAATATCGATTTGTTGCGATTAATGAATATAGAGCAAAGGATCTCTAGAAGGATCTCGTCGTTAAAGAACTGGCAAAAGTGTTTTCCTGTCACTAACTATACCAGAAACCCCCTTGGAACGAAACCCTTTTCGCTTGTTGCCCTTTCCGAGCCCACGTCCACTCCCGCTCCCACTGTTTCCATCCTTAACTCTCTTGAAGATTACTCTTTAGTTTTCATGCTTCTGTTTCCTTTTAACTCCTTATTTTTAATCTCTCTATGCTCTATCCCCCATTTACTCCATCGCTTGCATTGCTTTTCTCACAACTACCATCCGCATCGCGTCGTCGATCTGCAGACGATCTAATCGTTGAAAAAGAGCGCTATTGCCTGGTTGGCGATAGCCTGGACGAAGCCTTTGTGGACTTGATTGTGGGCCTGGAGCCCTTCTGGAATCCGCGCAACCCCAAGCCGCCGACACCAAAGTTGCCCACGCCCACACCCGAGGAGCTGGCTGCCATGGAGGCAGCGCGTGCAGAAGCGGAAGCCGCCGCCGCTGCCGAGGCGGAAGCGAAAGCAGCCGCTGCTGGCGCGGAGCCCGGAGCCGAGGGCGAGGGCGTAGCGCCCGGAGAGCCTGGTGCACCGCCCAAGGAGCCGACTCCACCGCCCAAGGAGCCAACACCGCCACCACCACCACCGCCGCCATTCGAGTACTCGATCGATCTGCCCCCAGAGGGCGCCGAGGTGCCCTATGTCAAGAACTACGAGCCACCACCACCCGGATCCGAGCCAGAGCCAGCGCCAGCAGCTGAGGGAGAGGCAGCTCCGGCTGCTGATGGTGCTGCTCCTCCAGCGGAGGGTGCTGCGCCCGCTGCCGATGGAGCTGCTCCTCCAGCTGAGGGTGCCGCACCTGCTGCTGAGGGTGCTGCTCCTCCGGCTGAGGGTGCTGCTCCAGCTCCAGCCGAAGGAGCTGCGCCCGCTGCTGAGGGTGAAGCTGCACCAGCTGCTGAAGCCGCTCCTGCTGAGGCTGCTCCTGCTGCCGAAGCAGCTCCGGCTGCTGAAGCTGCTCCTGCTGCTGAGGCTGCTCCTGCTGCCGAAGCCGCCCCCGCTGCCGAAGGCGAGGCACCACCAGCTTAAGCCAACGAACCAAGCCTATTCCCGGCAGAAACTGCTAAACGAAACCGAAAGAAAAAACCACAACTGCTACCAAATGCTGCCCCTGCTTTTAAAAACCTAAAATTAAGAGCACGTTTTTGGAAACATTTTTTATTTACAAAACCAAACGAAAAATTGAATTAAAAAAAGTTCAGTTAACCGACAAAGCATTGCAAAAACCAAAATGCTGCTTTCCTTTTTATTTTTGCCTTATTTTTATTTAAAACATTAACAGCTAGCACGACACTTTGCCGATATTGCGAACTCTACTGCAGTTCACTTGCTGCTCGGCTGGCTTTTTATTTATTTTCCCCCAAAGAAACGAGGTAATTATTATTTATCTATTATTTATTGTTTAGTGTGAAGGTCTTTAGTTTGTGTCTGTCAGGATTTTCAGTGTAACTTAAGTGATTTGTTCCAAACCTATTTTTATTAATTTACGTTCCTTATTCTTTTGCGTTCTCTTATGATTTTACGAACATCCACCTTGAACAGACGACCTGGTCCTGGAGAAGGAGCGCTACAAGGATATCGGAGACGATCTCGACACCGCCTTCGTCGAGCTCATCCTCAAGGAATAAGCAGTGCCCCGACCTTGACGGCCGCCCCTCGACCTCAGCCCCCAAAATCTATGGACATTTTGTCTGCGCGCCTCTCTGCACACATTTCCTTCGATTGTTTTTACTGTAGCATACTCGTAGGCGCACTGTACCCGTATCTTGTAGCCTTGCGTGACTTTTGATTGATTTGTGTATTTGTTGTAGATAATTTGTAGATAGATTTTGACTGCGGACCAATAAGAGGAAGCATTGAAACAATTGTGTATTTGTTTGACTCAAACGTTTTTTTATTTATTATTTGTACCCAAAACTATAAGCAATAAAGCAATCAACTCGAAAATATATATCTCAATCTTGACATTATTTTTCATTCCGTTCTTTGCCATCTCTCGCTGGACTTGCGCACAGACGAAGTTAGCAAAGGTAAGGAAAAGTACAAAACAATTGCCCAGGAACTGGAGTACGCCGATCTCAACAACTATTAAGAGGACTCTATCCACGAAAAGCAACTACAACCAGAACAACAAATGCAGCCTGCGATCTACAAACAAAAAGAACACATAATAATGGAGTCTGAAAGCATTTCGACGTCCAATTTACAAATTATTTTTAATATTACACTCACAACCACTTTTCGCCTAAGCATTCCAAAAAAACAAATACTTAAATAAGAGCCAGAGTGTTGATTAAAGTAAATTTTATAGTGTTCATCGAAGCATTCATCCAAAGTATGCTGCCATTTTATTTCAGCCACTTCCCAGCTAAAAACAATTTGTAATTATTTAATAAGTTATTAAAACCTTCAGCCCACCAGTCGATATCTCGTACATAACACATTTTATAAGCCACAACCATAACGCTTGAGCCAGAGTCAATTTCCCCTTACTTAGAAGTTGCTTTAATCCTTGGCAGTATAAAAATTGTAACTTGAAATTTCTATGGCCTTTGTACTATGAGATTTATTAACAAAAACAAAATATTTAAGTAGAGTATATAAAGGAAGCGTATAAATTAAATTTACAATTTTGAAATAGCTTTTGTAATTCAATGAAGCCGCATGCAAATCAAATAAAACAATGTATGAATGTATTTTTATTTACTCCCAAATATTTTTATGATCAATAAACTGAAAACATTCTTTTGCATATAAAATCTGTTGGTGTCTGTTTCTTGTTTAACAGGGGTTCAATGTGGGATATAAATTCTGAACCTGAGTCTATAAGATGGTTTGGTTTGTTCTTACTTCTATTCTATATTGCAATAAGAATAAGACCATCTTGGAAAATTTCAAATTCATTCATAGTTCATAGTTAAATGAAAAACGGACTATTTTCTACATCTAGATTCTAGATCAACTCGCCTGAAGTTGCTTTTACAGAATATGTAGTATACTTTGGGGATTACGAAATGCCCGCTTGGTTTGTATAAATTTATATAAATTCAGCGTTTTGTTTTGCAGATATTCATTATTCTTGATACATATGTACATATTTCTCATATATGTTAATATAGGATATGGTCAATGCTAACTTTGTTAACTAACTTAAAGAATGATCGTACTGGTTCAGCCGGGTAATGATTTGATTTATTAATAAGTATATAAAGTAAATGTCCCACCTATATGTTCCAGTTAGAATGCAATATATCGAAGCTAATTTCTTTTACTTGATATAATATTTATATTTGAGAAGAGAGCAACAATTTGTAGGTAATAAAAGCTATTTTGACCTTATAGTTCGGGTTTTAAATTTTATTTTTTTTAATATAAAGAAATACAAGAATTTCTTAATGATGTCCAAAAATAAGAAAGACAATTTACAGAAAGAAAATTGACGCCTTGATCGTCATATATAACAAGGAAGTTTTTAATATATTTTGACTTGCCAAATTAAAATTAGTAGAGCCTAAATATTTATGTTAAGTATTTTGGAAATTGAAGAGCTTGTCACATTTTAACAAGATCAGACGTTTAAATGATGTATTAATGGCAATTAGCAATGATTTGCAGATCAGCTATAATCAATTTTACTCAAATTTTAAATGAATATCTTATATTTATACCCTTGCAGGGTATTATAATTTCAGTCAGATGTTTGCAACGCAGTGAAGGAGACGTTTCCGACCCTATAAACCATATATATTCTTGATCAGCATTAACATGCGAATCTTTCTAGACATGTCCGGAAGAAATCGATTTTTTTGCCTTTTTTGCGAAATTTGATAAGGGGTTACATCATTAAAATTAGCAAAAATGGCCAAAAATTTTGATTTCTTAAAATTTTAAATTTGGTATGCAGTTTTTTTAAATGAATAAAAACTAACACAAAACTGCTTTCCGAATCGAAATTAATGCATATATATATATATATATTTTAATTGTTACCTGCAAGGGTATACAAACTTTGGCTGGCCAAAGTTAGCTTTCTTTCTTGTTTTGAATAGAAGTAAATGATATCTTGATTTTAAGATGATTGAAAACAATTCCTTAACTGATCTTCAATATCAAAAAAGTTCTTAGATAAAAAATATGATATTAAATCAGATTTAACGTATTTACTTATCTTTCGACATAATAATTGGTTTATTAGTATAATAAAAAATGTATATCAAACAAAAACCACTATAATATATGTATAATATTTTTATATGTATAGATATAGAATAAATTTAAAGTTAATTTGGGTTTAATTCATTTTAAAACGACTGAAGAGAAACCGTAGGTCTCAGAGAAAAAATATCAAATAAGATAATCCTTCATTGAATATTGTTCTTATTTGCTCCATCTGCTTGAGACTATTGAAAGCAAAAGAAAATTGGAGGAAAACGAACTGTTGCCTTCTGCTGCTTGGCTCCGATCAAAATTCCAAATATTTCTCAATATTTTTTAGCAGGCGAAAATAGATTTTCATCTTGTTAGGCTTGTTGCTTTTGCTGTTTGCCGCTGGCAAGGCATCTAACATTTATGCTCTATTTTTAGCATCGTATCTGACGGATACACACACACACACACAACCAGAGAGTGTTGCTGCTGAGAGTAAAAAAAAAATAAATTGAATTTAAATATAAGAAGGAAAAAAAACGCATAATTTTCCCGAGAATGCAAGAAGAGCACAAAAAAGGGGGAAAAGAGAGCCGTGCACACGAACAGCGAATAGCTTTTTCGGGGAAATTTAGAGGGAAATGTCGAGATCATCGCCGAGGAAAGTTGCGAAAGCGCTTTTGCGCTTATATTTTTTTAATGGGAAATTTTGAGGCGAGAAAATTATTCACTGCTGTGCCCGTGTGAGTGTGTGTGTGTGTGGTGTGCTTGTGTTGGTGTGAGATTTTCCGAGCGCCAGGCGTGCGTCTGTGTGCGTCGCCTTGCGTTGGATCTCGGGGTCGCTTTCTGGGCTAAGCAACTTGGTCAGCATCAGTGTTCTCGGGGTTTCGACAGCGTATAGTGTGTTTGAAACGCTAAGGTTGGTCACGCCAGGATTTCTGCCCGTCTAAAAAAATTAGCTGCAAAAAATAATAATATAATTGAAACTCTCGCCAATATTGCTAACAAAAAAATTGGTATTTTCAACTGATTTCGAATGGATAGCCCCTAAACCAAGTTGCTGAGCAGTGAAAAGTGCAGTGCATTCACAAATGCATTCATTGATTCCAGAAAATTTGTAATTTTGCGTTAAGCAAAATTATAAGGAAAACTTGGATATCTCACAAAATACAAAATAAAAGTGTGCATATGTATATGTGTCTCCAAAAAAAGATAAAGTTGAAAAAGTGATGGAAATGTAAAGTAACCATTAAAGTTCCAGTGAAAACTTAATAAATAAATTAAACATAATAAAAACAAAAGCAAAATCAGCACAAAAAAATATGAAAACATTTTTGGATGATAAATTTATGATATCTTTTCGGACGTTTCAAAAAAATTCGCTTATAAGGAATTTTGTAACTAAATCTGACGACGTCTGTGTGTGTGAGTGCGAGGAAATATTTTGCACACACACAGGCAAGAGACCTTGTGTGGGAAAAGCTCCACATCGACGATGGGACACATATACATATACATACACACACGCACACACACACACACCTACTGCTACGCACAATTTTCCCGAGGAAAATTCTTTAAAATTAACTGCAGACAGACACCTGCCTGTCACGCATACATATCCATTTATTTTTAAATCCAAATGAAACTTAGACGAAAAAGCTTTTCCGTCTAGCTTTCTGTGTGATCTCATAGAGCGAACGAAAAATACGAAGAATGAAAGAAAATGTCGGCATTTATCCTTGAGATTGTTTTAGAGCACCAGAACGAGAGAAAGAGATAGAAAGAGACTTTGGAAATATTGCGGATTGAAAATTGCCAGATGTAGATGTAGAAGTATCTGAGAGACCAAGAGATGTATCTGTATCTATAACAGAGGAAATATGTATTTTTAAAAGCCACCCACACGGATTTCGTTTTTGGGTTCAGAACAAATATTTTTCAACCATTTGTGAATGGCTCCGAAGGCCAGAAAAATATGGATTCTAGTTGATATTTTAATGGCCTGACAATGAGTGTTCATTTGGCAGGTGTCGAAAAATATAATATGTTTAGAAAAGTATATTAATGGGCAGGGAAAAATTACATTAATTGGAAACTATGTCATTTCCTCTTTTCTAAAATAAGATCTCTATATAAATAAAACAGAAATGAAATAATTTTTACCTTTAATTAGCTCCATATATTTCTATTTCCCCTTTAAACAACGTACCTATCTTCCCATGGCCTCATAGCATGTTTCGGGAAAATATATCCCTCTGCTGAGTATCAAAAGACCTCCAAAAGAGCAGCAACTACAACTTAAATGACTTTGTCCCACTTAGAGTGGAGACGGCAAACACACACACACCGATACACGAACACCACCCACCCACCCACACACTCGCTCATTGAATGACCCCAAAGAATTGAAAAGTTTTCAAATTGCAATCTCTCTGCTGTATCTATTTGTGTGTATTTCGAAATAATAAGGGGGAAACTCTAGAATTACATTTAGCACATACAATGTCCAAAAAAGCATAGCTTCTTCTGTGTGCGAGTGTGTGAACTGGATATTTTTCTCACATGCAAAAGCATATAAAGTTTATTTTTAACTCTACAGAATCGTGCAGCAAATAAATATATAGCACACCACCGCCGGATCCGGATTCGAATTCGGATTCGGATTCAGAAAGCGGGGGCGTATAGAAAATGGAAAATGGAAATTACGTGAGCTCTTCTAACTGCTCGGCGGCAGCCAAACACAAAATGTGTTTACATTTAAATTTTAAAATTTATTGCCCAGATACATGTATACATATGTATATATATATAAACAGACAAGCATATAATATAATTAGACGCACTTGATATAGATAATACCGAATGCGCCTGGAGCATTTCCATAAACACATAATTAATTGCATTCGCAAGAGTTTAGCTGAAAAGCTAAGAATGGCCAAGTGCCAATTGAAATATTACAAACTAAAGACTTGATTTTTAAAACTATCTCTTAATAAAACGCATAATAGTTTAATAGATAGCGCAGGTCGAAATTCAGTTCGAATTCTATATAATTTTTGTATGTTTTAAAGATAACACAATACGTTAAGAAATGTATTTTTCTAATTATAAACTAAATTATAATACAAATTCTAACTTATAAATATATTTTTATTTCGAGTTTTAAGATACCACTTTTTAATAATTTAAAACTTAAAAAAATTATAACTCAGCTTAAAAATTATATATGGCTTGAGCCCTAAAGCTCCCTATCTGGGCAACTCTGCTTTCCCAACTAATCTTAATTTTTCCCTCTTTGTCACAGTGCTTTTTTCCAGTTTTCTTCCCTTCTGAGCTAACAACAAAAACACAAACACCATGGACGCCATCAAGAAGAAGATGCAAGCGATGAAGCTTGAGAAGGATAACGCCATTGACAAGGCCGATACCTGCGAGAACCAAGCTAAGGATGCCAACTCCCGCGCCGACAAACTGAACGAGGAGGTGCGCGATCTGGAGAAGAAGTTCGTCCAGGTTGAGGTCGATCTCGTTACCGCCAAGGAACAGCTGGAGAAGGCCAACACCGAGCTGGAGGAGAAGGAGAAGCTCCTGACCGCCACCGAGTCGGAGGTAGCCACCCTTAACCGCAAGGTGCAGCAGATTGAGGAGGATCTGGAGAAGTCCGAGGAGCGCTCGACCACCGCCCAACAGAAGCTGCTGGAGGCCACCCAGTCGGCTGATGAGAACAACCGCATGTGCAAGGTGCTGGAGAACCGTTCCCAGCAGGATGAGGAGCGCATGGACCAGCTGACCAACCAGCTGAAGGAAGCCCGCATGCTCGCTGAGGATGCTGATACCAAGTCCGACGAGGTCTCCCGCAAGCTGGCCTTCGTTGAAGACGAGTTGGAAGTGGCTGAGGATCGCGTCCGCTCCGGCGAGTCCAAGATCATGGAGCTGGAGGAGGAGCTGAAGGTGGGTCTCAGCTGTAGTTTGGTCAACTCATGAGATGCTCAAAATCCAAGTCTCCCATCTAGGTTGTCGGCAACTCCCTGAAGTCCCTGGAGGTCTCTGAGGAGAAGGCCAACCAGCGCGTTGAGGAGTTCAAGCGCGAGATGAAGACCCTGTCCATCAAGTTGAAGGAGGCCGAGCAGCGCGCCGAGCACGCCGAGAAGCAAGTGAAGCGCCTGCAGAAGGAGGTCGACAGGCTAGAGGGTATGTATCCAGTTCCGAATCTCCCATATCCCGAGGTGGCATCTCTCCAGCAAAGGACGTCGGAGATGGTGCCGCCAGGCTGTGATCCGACTCGAGTTGGATCGCTGGCTTCAACTAATGCTCGCATTGTATATATCGCCAGAAGGATATTAATATTTTGTACTTAGTACTCTGCTTTCATTAATTGACGATGAATACATCCACTCATCTAGCTCTCGCCCTATATTAATAATAATATATCTGTATAAATGAACAACAACAACATGCCTTTTGCAGACCGTCTCTTCCATGAGAAGGAAAAGTACAAAGCAATCTGCGACGATTTGGACCAGACATTTGCCGAACTTACTGGATATTAAAAAAGATCGAAACAAAAAACACCCACAGAGCCCTCTTCTTCCCAAAAAAGAGAACACGAAATTCAGTGCCCCAAAACCCCCACAGTTTACTCTACTATACATATCTTTCTCGATCGAAGCTCCCCCGACAGAGTCAGTGTATTTAGCCCCATCCTCACACCCACCACACTCTTCTGTCACTACCCTATATTTCTATACACTGTAAATAATTTGTTTAGTCTCGCTTGAATGTGGCCGCACCCACCACAAAAACACTCAGATCCCCCCGCGCCAGTACACTGTAAAAATAGGCTGAGATCAGGCCAAACCAAGTTGCAACTGTAGTTAATTGTGCTTTCAACACACAGGTGAATTTATCAATGTATATATTGTTTGTATGCCAGATTCTATCCCGTGTTTACTGTGGCATGATCTCTTCTTCACCACCTGTCTTGCCTGCCCGGATATTCTCAGATCAGCACTCTATCTCAATCTGTTCTCTCTCAGTTTTTGAAGATCATCCCGTCTGTGTCTGTGTCATTAAGTGGGTTTCGCGCTGATTTCTCACAGGCCTTAATTCGAGTGAAACTGTTTCATTTCCACACAAGCCACACCAGATATCTGCAGTGTTTCGGTTGGATAGATCCCGTAGAGACCCCATAGATGAACCCAAATTCCATGAATACCAAAGCCCCACGCACAGAATCGCTTACTAACTAGAAAGAAGAACTGTCACATATTTTACAAATATTACTGAATACCATCAGTTATTCTGTGGGAGAAAACGTTTATTGAAGGCTGGGAGCTCAGCAAATTTGAGCTTTTGAACAATTTAAGGAATATTTTCAATGATATTTGACAATTCTAATTGAAACGCTTGCCAGAACAGCGCGCCACTAACCCGAGCTTAGGCTCCAACGAATCCGCACAGTGTAAAGTTTAAGTGTTTTCTGTGTTCAGTTACCAATGTGTTGCTGTGTCCTCAAATATTTCTCATAAATATAATATTCTAATATTTATTTTATGCAATTTCCCCTCCACAGACGAGTTGGGCATCAACAAGGACAGGTACAAGTCTCTGGCCGACGAGATGGACTCCACATTCGCCGAGTTGGCTGGCTATTAAGGTGGTCCACTAGTCCCAAAAACAACAACTTTTTCAACAACAACAACAACAACGAGCAGCAGCGGAGGAAGAAGAAAGAGAAGAAGAAGACGACGAGGAACTCTACTAATTGTAAACGAATATCTCAGAATGATTTGGCCAGCAACCAAGATCAATGGCTGCCAATAAGATACCAAGAACAACATCCATTGTGTATACAATTCTTTATAAATCTATATAATTTCTTAATAAATAAATAACAACACCAACAAGATCAACAACAGCAACAACAACCAAGCATCCACAACCTTAAAAACTTTTTAGATTTTCTAAAGAATAAAATTAATCTAAATGAAAACGTAGCAGAATGTAAAAAAAAATACATAAACCCCAAAATCGAATTTTGTATTTTTAAAGTAAATGTTTAAAAATATTAAGAACCGGAAAGAGCGAGGCAAAAATAGCGAGAGATAGAGAGAAATAAAGCGAGAGAGACAGATGTGGAGAACAAGCCTGCTTAAATTTGAAATTAAATCGTAAAATTACACACAAACACAAAAAAAAAGAAAATAATCACAAAAAAAGTATAAAAATATTTATAAAAAATTGCTAAAAAAAAATTATATGTTTGATGTTTGCTTTTAATGAGAATGTCTAGAAATTTGATTTTCTTTGCCCCCGTCAGCGAGCTCCGAGCTCCGAACTTCGGGTTTTCAGCCGGACCTGGCGGTTATGCAAAGTTGGTTTTTGGTTTTTTCGATTACTATTTGTTTTTTTGGGAAACCCCGAAATAACCGAGATCAAACGTGCGTCATCACTTGACATCGCCGATGGATCACGATCCGCAAAACGAGGCCTTCGTTGCAACATCTTTAACATCCGCTAATTGTCAAAGCAATGAATATCGAAAGTTCCGTAGCCTTTGGTTGTAGTGTGAGGGATCTCTCTGGTGGCTGGATGTGGGCAGTTCGCTGCTTGACCATCAATAATCCAGTTAAGGCCGAGTTCGACATGGGGGTTTGCATCTGTGTGTCTCTCTCTCTCTCTCTCCCGCTGTTGACCAAATTGATTCACTCGCTCTGGGGGCCTTTCTCATTAATGGATCTTTAATTCTCCATCTGCCCACCGGTCTTTCTCTCTGCATATTATTTCTCCTCTTCGTGATGTGGTGTGGTGCTGGTGCCATAAAATAGTTATTAAAACTTTAAGTGGAGTGTTAAATTGCATATTAAAAAGCTCAAGTCATTATTTACATAAGCCACATTATGCTATAATTGCCATCTAATAAGAGTGGGGTATATAAACTTGAAAAGTAAAAGCCATATCAGACTGAAAAATATTTTTCTTTAATAAAGTTTAGTTAGAGCTGCAAATATTAGGTATTAGTTTGCAAAGAAAATATTTAGAAAGAGTTAAATTTGTAAATCTCAATTTTCTTATTTTTTTATACTTGATTTTGTTTTTGTTTTAATTTTAAAGTGATAAAAAATAATATAGATATCTCAACATATATAAATATAAATTCCATAATGGATGTAAAGATTTAAAGAGAGCTAAACCTTTATGACGATCAATATAAGAATGTATCTAAAACTACAAAATCGTACAATTTTATCCGTGTGTCAGTTATATTTCCTATTATTTTATTTTATACAAACCCACACCTTATTTATAGGACTAAATATATGCAAATCGGTTTCTATTCAAACTATGAGTTTATGGTTGAAAAAGCAAATAACAGTCAGCTTATCACTTTGAAAAATATTTTGAATATGTTTTGGGAATAAATATTTAAAGTTAGTATCGCATGACTTGACAAAAATTAATTAATTTAAATATAGAATTGGTGGATCGAGTAACTAATTAATGATTTTCCATCTAAGTCCTATTATTCAATGGTTTTTTTTGGCTTCAATTGACGCTCCACAGACCAACATTAATTACCCAAGTCTGGGCCAATTTGATGGAGTCCAAACAGTGCGTCAGCTAAAGGCGGCCGGGCGTTGACGGGTAACAAAGCCGGCGAGAGAAACACAGATGAAAAGCCCAATGACTTACATTTGTCAAGAGTCAACCGAAGGAGAAAGTGAAATTTTGCATTTCTCGGCGCGAGCGGCAGCATTGAATTGGTCTGGGCCATTGCCATTGGCGGTGAGTGGGACAGAGAGGCCGGAGCGGATCGGCTGCAGAGCAGACAGAAAGCCCAGCTTAAGCTCCAGCTCCAGTCCAGACGCAGACACACTTCAGTCGCGGTTTTTAACTCGACACAAGCGAACGAACGCGGGTATAACCGCACGCAGCTGAAACGCACGGGAAACGCATTGAAATCGAAAGTGTTTACCGCGCGACTTGAATCTCCAAGTGCTTCTCTGGAGGCGGGGGCAATATACCCGTACACATTACGTGTCATCATGCCGCCGGCTAGCAAACAACTCCGGGTCGGAGCCCTTGTTTACCTGGTCTTGGGCCTGGCTTATGGGCCCGGGCTCTTATGCAATGCGGGCGATGGTGAAACTATGCAAAAATACGCCAATGAATCACTCGCCGCCACTGCGGAGGCAGATGTCGGTGCTCCAGTTTGGTCGCAGTTTCTCGAAGATTACGTCTTGAGGTGGGTTTGGTTTGTTAGATAAAACTAATCAGTACGCATCTTAATCCTGCACAAAATTTGTAGCCAAGGCAGCAGCCAGCGAAAGTCCAAGGATCTTCCTTACATGGGCGGAGGAGACATGGGAATGAATGGACCGCTTAATTACCACTCTTCTGCATACAAGCGTCCTGGTAACAACATCTACATCACTCGCCGGATTGGCGAATCCGTGGAGCTGGAGCCTCATCTGCGAAAGCCCGTGGAGAGCCAGAGTCCCATTGTCAATCCCCAGTTTCGGCCCATGACCAATCAGATGTTGCATCAACAGCAGCAGCAGCACCAGCAGATGCAACAACAGCAACAGCAGCAGCAACGTCAGCAGCCCGGTTTCCTGGAGCAACTGTTTGGCTTTGGAGGAAGTACCAGCGGGGGTGGCAATCCTTCCCAGCAGCACCAGCGCCCTGTGCAGCAACAGCAAGTGCAACAGGTTCCGCAGCAACGTCCGCAGCAGCAGCAACACCTGGGCGCTGGTGGGAGCCAACCAACCACATTCAGAGCCGTTTCTGAAAACGATCTTTATCTCTTAGGAGCCATTGAAAAGTTGGTGTACAGAGTGGGTAAGAAATCAAAGCCGCAAAATACGCTAAAAGCGTGAGTCCTGAGTTAAAATTAAACAAAACTATATAAATTGTTTGTACAGATTACTTGGAGAGTCGCGTGAGACGATCGGAGCAGCTGATATACTATCTAATGGCCGGGAACAACCAGAAGGATGTAAAGGATCCCTGCCCGACCAACTTCACCCGCATCAGCGACAACTGCTACTACATCAACAGCCAGCAACAGGTGAACTGGAAGACGGCCAATTCTGCCTGCAAGGCCCTGAACTCTCACCTGGCCGAGTTTGAGAAGGTCTCGGAGAACGAGGAGATCATGGCGTATCTGCTGAACCAGCCCGCCCACCGGGGTCGCGACTACTGGCTGGGTGGCCTGAACCCGGGACTCCTCTGGATCTGGTCGAACTCAGCCAAGCCCGTGAATCCCAACATGAATCTAACCTCCATTGCGATGGCCCAGAAAAGTGAGAACTCAACGGCATCCAATCTGGTGGATAGCTCGGAGCAGGCGGCATCACAGGAAGAGGGTGCCGCAGACGATGTGCTGAACAACACGGTTCAGATAGAGGGCAAGGGTCGCTGCCTCCGTTTAAGCTACAATGCAGGGAAGCATAGCTATGTGTACTACGGACAGGAGTGCACATCCAGGCACTACTACATCTGCGAGCACGAGGACAAGACACTGGACAACAAGATCAAGAAGATTAGCCGCGACCTGAAACTCTTGGAGGAGTGAGGATCCGATCCTCATGTGATACATCCAGTTAGTAACCTCTAGCCATATATTTATCGCATAATTTCGAATGAATTTATTCTTGTGTTACACATTAAATATTTATAAATATTTATACACTTAATAAACGTAAGCTGATAGTGTTCAAAACGGTTTAAGGATACTTTGTTCTTGCACAGCAAAGCTTCGGGAAAATTCTCAACAAAAATTAAGAGAAGGAAACAAAAACAAACATAAAAATCAAAGGCGGAACTCTGCGGCTGAGCCGGATCGGTTCCACTGCCATAAAAGCGGAAAGAGATCTAGAGACACTAGTCCGGATACAGGTAGTCCTGCAGGATGTTCTGAAAGGCAATCTTGATCTTGCCGCGGTCGCGTCCGTTCAGCTTCTGTATGTCCGGCAGCAAGCTCATCAAGAACATGGCGTCCGGATCGGTTTTGCAGTCGCATAGCTCTACGCCGCCGCTAACACCTCCATTGGAAATGGGCCCGCCTCCCGCTGGATTGGCTGTCTCTAGTCTCAGCGGAAGTGGTGGAGGCGCAGACTGGTGATGGCCGCCATGCACATGGTTGTGGACATGCCGCTGGCCTAAATAGCCGCTGCTGACGTTGGCACTGTTGCTGGCCGCGTTGATGGGCGTGGCCACCGCCGCCGCCGTGGAGGGCGTAGGCAGCTCTGCTTCAGATGATGCAGCGGTGGCTGCCACTCCACCGCCGCCTCCACCTCCAGCTCCGATTCCCGCGGTGTGCGTTGTGGTGCTCACCAGATCCACGGGCTTACTGAACGTTGGACGCACAAAGGAAATGTTCGAATGGGTACCCTGCTGGGAAGCAAAGTTCCCACCTGCCACGGCTGCTGATGTAGCCTGCAGCTCCTGGGAGCGTGGACGAATCGCTCCACGCATGTCGTCCAGATAAGCCCGCATCTGTGGGCGACCCAATTGCGTTCGAGCATGCGGTTGTGGCTGCGGTTGTGGCTGCGGTTGCTGATGGTGGCTATAGCGACGCTGAACTTCCATTGCTGAGGAAATACTGGATGAAGTGGCTGCCATCTTCTGCATATCCAGGTCCTCTTGGTCATCCTCCTCCTGGTCGTGCGTCTCCTGTTCATAGTCATCTGCCGGCTCCTCGCACTCCGACTTGATGTCATTGCTGTCTAGCTGATTGTGGTACCGGCTGTTGCGATGCTGCTGCTGCTCTTCCTCCATAATGTCCTCCAGCTCGGAGTTGTTGTGCTCCGTCTCGTCGAAGTAGTCCAGGTAGTTGTCCAGCTGCTGAGCCTGCGGAGACTGATGGGCAGAGGGCGTGGGCTGGCCACTGCTGCTACTGGCCGGGATAACCACGGATCGCTCTCGCTGCATGCGGCTGGACAGGCTAGATAGATGGGCCAGCGCGTCCTGCACCTGAGTGTCCAGAGACTTTGGTTGCTGGTGCTTTTTGCGCAGATACGGATGCAGGAAGAACATGCGATCAAAGTAGGACCAGCAGGGTGGTACCTTCTCCTCCAGGTAGTTGGTGTACTCGCGCCTGAAGGAGATACGCAAATTGGTCCACTTGGCCAGGCTGGCGCCGGGATTCTTTTCCAGCTTCTGGTCCACCTCGCGCCAGAAGTTCTCAACGTACGGCCGGCAGAAGTAGTACTTGTGGCGCGGATTATAGATGGCCTCGTCGCGCTGGACAATGTCAATCAGCTTAAACACCTCTTCTGTCAGCCAGCGGGATGCACTGCAGCTGGCGTTTGGATTGCTGGACACAAATGGGCTGGCCCCGAAGTCGGTCGTCATTGTGCGTTGCAGGCAGTGGCTTCAAGGCGGTCGTTGTCCAAAAGATTTGGCTTTAAACGTCCTTTTCAGAGCTTGCCATGACTTTCGCGAAATATTTTTTATTGTTTTTCCCAAAGTGTTCTTTTAAGTGCTGTTAGTGGTTCCGGCGCGAACCAAAACGACAGTGGAACTAGTTCCAAACATGCAGCTTTCAAGAAAAGCCCCCGTTTATGCGCTTCAAAACTTATGAAATTGAAAATTTTACTTATTTATTTCTACTTGGTTTTTAATTTATTTATTTCATTAATATCAATAAATTTATACATGAAATGTGGATAATTAAGGAGTTTTTAAGTTAAGTTTTTCTTTTCTTGTTTTGTTTTTATTCGTTTTTTGTATAGAATAATCAGTTTTTTAATTTCTGTTATTTAATATATTATATTAAGATTTAAACAGTATAACATTATGAATATAATTAGTCTTGTTATAATTTATAGTTTTATAGGCTATACCCGTCTCACACACACTTTGATAAGCCGAACTAGGGCTTATTTTTCCGACGGGACTACCTTGTATAATTGTATCATGCTCTTATCTAGAATATAAAGAAAATAATAAATAATTATTGTTCACATTCAGTATTCATACTCCTCTGAATTACTTAAAAGCCTAAAGCCAGTAAGTAGTAGTAGTAAGTATAAAAAGACGCCGAAAGGCAAAAAATATAACAAAATAAAACAAAAAATACGATGGCTAAGTTTTGTTTTAGTTCGCCATGTCTTTTAGGTTCCGCTCAACTTTCAGCTTTTCTTGACTTGGGAAATACTCCAGACATTGTAAGGACTTTAATGCCCCACCCACAGGCATGGCAGTCAAGGTGCAATTCGAGATTGGCCACACGTCGAGGCTGCGCAGCAAGAAGTTACCGCATCCGCAGGACTTCACCCACGACTGGGAGATCTACGTGAAGGGCGTGAACCAGGCGGACATTAGCAACTTTGTGGACAAAGTGGTCTTTCACCTGCTTCCTTCATTTCCTAAGCCCAAGCGCGGTAAGTGTGCCTTTGGACCTGCCATCTGATTGTTCCCCTTCATCCTCCTTTACGAATTTATATTTCAGTGGTCAAGGAACCGCCGTATGCCATACAAGAGTACGGTTATGCCGGCTTCCTGCTGCCAGTTGAGATATTTTTCCGCACCAGAGACGAACCGAAACGCATCATGTACCAGTACGAACTGTTGCTGCCGTGCTTAGGTCCGCCGCAGCACTACGTAGAGGTAAAGACTCACATCTTCGAAGCCCCGTCGGAAGGGTTTCGTGCTAAGCTGATGTGCGGCGGCGGAGTTCCTGTGTTTGGGCCCAACATCGGTGCCAGCAGTATCAGTCGAACGCTGTCGCCCAGCGCTGGAAGCGTTGGAGAGCCGGCGCCCAACAACAAGATAGGCGTTGTAAAAGCAAAAGGCCGTGCCGGCACCGTCTCCATGAACGTGGATCCGGGAGAGGACAAGATGCAAAAGTCGCGCGCAGTGGATCCCGGCAAAAGCAATGCAAGGGTGGCTCCCACGATGGTAACGAGAAGTCTAGCAAGGAACGCGACAAAACAAGCAGCGGAGGGAAGTCGCGGGAAAAGGACAAGAAGGATCGCCATGGACGTGACAAGTACCGGAAATCTAACAAGTCCGGAGAAGGCAAACACGAGCGGGACAAGGATAAGTCGAAGAAGGACAAGACACGCGATAAGGAGCGTGAACGTTAGCAAAGCTCAGGCAGCGCGTCAGCCCCTGGAGCCCTTGCGACGGAAACCACTAGTCTCCCCGCGATAGCTGCAGCTGAGGCTCAAAAGCCTAATGGTCTTAACGATTTCTTAAACGTTTTATAAATAATAACTATTTACATAAATAATAAAAAAAATATTGGTTTTGGAACTTGATCAATCTCGTTTTTTGCAACTTTTCGTAATTCAGTATAATTTAGTATATTTCCCTGACCCTCCGCCTGGTATCTTGCGTCGCTCAAGGAACGGTCACACTCACCAACATCAACTCCGGATTTTCTGTGTGTTTTTCCAGAAATTCCCAAGATTTTAAGTTTAATTATTTGCTTTTCTGCCGAAAATAGCGCACAATTGCATGCGGGTGCACCAATCGCCGGTAGTAAGTATAAAAAGACGCCGAAAGCCGATGCGGCTGCTGGAAAACATGACCAGGGCGAAAGAAAGCTTGCTGCACGGAAGGGCTGGCACAATGTGTGGCACACATTCGCACACAAACAATAACAGATTGCGCTCGCTCTTCAGGGGAAAAAATAACAAAAAAAAAGTTGTTGCAAGGTTTTGTTTTTCGCCAACCTCGTTGTGTGATGTTACCGGTATTCAACCCAATGTTTATTCCAATCGGGCATCTAATTGGAGGACGTGACTGGCGACAGGAGTCGCCTCTTCCACAACACGCATGCACCATCCTGGTGCACAGTGCTGGCGGACTAATTAATTGTCACAGACAACGTTTATCTACTCACCTTTCAGGTTCCTCTCAACTTTAAGCTTTTCCGGACTTGGGGAAAACGTGCAAAACTTTTTGGCGCGCTGATACCAATTTTCTTGTTTGCTTTCCAGACATTGTGAGGAAACCGGATCGCAGCCCAGCAGTTGGAGTTTAATGCCCCACCCACAGGCATGGCGGTCAAGGTGCAATTCGAGATTGGCCACACGTCGAGGCTGCGCAGCAAGAAGACACCGCATCCGCAGGCCTTCACCCACGACTGGGAGATCTACGTGAAGGGCGTGAACCAGGCGGACATTAGCAACTTTGTGGACAAGGTGGTCTTTCTGCTGCACGATTCATTTCCTAAGCCCAAGCGCGGTAAGTGTGCTTTTGGACCTGCCATCTAATTGTTCCCCTTCATCCTCCTTTACGATGTTATATTTCAGTGGTCAAGGAACCGCCGTATGCCATACAAGAGTCCGGTTATGCCGGCTTCCTGCTGCCAGTGGAGATATTTTTCCGCAACAGAGACGAACCGAAACGCATAATGTACCAGTACGACCTGGCGCTGCAGTCCACAGGTCCGCCGCAGCACCAAGTACAGGTAAAGACCCACATCTTCGAAGCCCCGTCGGAGGAGTTTCGTGCTAAGCTGATGCGCGGCGGCGGAGTTCCTGTTTTTGGGGCCAACATCGGTGCCAGCAGTATCAGTCGAACGCTGTCGCCCAGCGTTGGAAGCGTTGGAGAGCCGGCGCCCAACAACGAGATAGGCGTTGTAAAAGCAAAAGGCGGTGCCGGCACCGTCTCTATAAACGTGGATCCGGGAGCGGGCAAGAAGCACAAGTCGCGCGCAGAGGATCCCGGCAAGAGCAATGCATTTTCGGCCCTCTTTGGCCCACCTATCACAAAGGGTAGTGCGGCCGGGAATAGCCAGTCGTTGGTGCCCGTTTCCAAGCACTCTCCAGAAGCCAAAAGTGTCTCGGTTAGCGGCAAGGGTGGCTCCCACGATGGTAAGGAGAAGGCTAGCAAGGAACGCGAAAAGTCAAGCAGCGGAGACAAGCCGCGGGAAAAGGACAAGAAGGATCGCCATGGACGTGACAAGGACCGAAAATCTAACAAGTCCGGAGAAGGCAAACACGAGCGGGATAAGGATAAGTCGAAGAAGGACAAGACACGCGATAAGGAGCGTGAACGTGAGCAAAGTTCAGGCAGTGCGTCAGCCCCTGGAGCCCTTGCGGCGGCAACCACTAGTCTCCCCGCGGTAGCTGCAGCTGGCGGTTTGGTAAAGCGTACGGCCAGTCCCAAGCCGGGAAAGTCGGCCGAGATGAGTGCACCCAGCCCTAAGAAAGGAGGAGCAAGTGAACAGTCCACAGCTGCAGCGGCACCCCCTTCGCGATCCAAAGAACGCGACGAGCACAAGTCAAATAAGACGGAGTCCAAGGACAAGGAGCGCAGCTCCAGTAAGAAATCAAAGAAGGATAAAAAGGACAAGGACAAGGAGCGCGATCGGGAGAAGCAACGCGATGAGCACAAAGACAAGCGACAGCCCAAGGAGGAGCGAGCTGGTCAGAGTGACAGTCCGGCTGTCGGAGTCTCACAACACCCTGCTCAGCACCAGTCCCAGCCAGCCGCTACCGGCAAGGCCACCCCCACCTCCGTGGGCAGTAATAGCAGCAGCAGCCTGGCATCCACCAGCGGTAAGCACAAAGAGGAGCCCATTGGCAAGCATGGCGAAAAGACTGCAGATCCCAAAGCGACGGACAAGGGCACGAGCAATGGCAGTGCGACAGCAGACACCAAGAAGTCCCACAAGCACAAGAAGAAAGACAAAAGTAAGGACAAGGACAAAGAGCGCAGCGATCGCGATAAGGACAAGGACAAGGAACGCGATAAGGAGAAACCAAAGGAAAGGGAGAAAGATAAGCAGCCAGCGACCGCATCGTCGGAGAAGCCATCAGCGGCCGAGCCATCGCCGAAAGCAGAGGGAGCCAGTCCGGCCACCGAGGGAGGGGTCTCGGACAAGACTGCATCCACTGCCAATTCAAGCAGCAGCACCAAGAAGGAAAAGCACAAGAAGTCGAAGGAGAAGTCTTCTGGCAAGGATGAGAAGCGTCAACGGGAGGTAGGCGACAAGCAACCCGAGCCCAAGAACGCCGGGAAGCAGGGGCAGCAGGGACTTCCAGTGGCTGCCCAGCAAAACAAGCCCCCCAGAAACCTGGATCTCAGTGATGTGGACTCTGCTCAGTCAGCGCCGGATCTGGCTGGCAGCAGCGCTTTAACCGCGGCATCAGCATCTGCGGCCACACTACAGCACTCGGACAGCTCCAATAGCAGCTTTCCAGACCTACCCGCAAAAAGTAGTAATCAAGTGAGGCCAGCGAAGGGCAGTGCCGGTTCCGGCAAGGAGGGAAAGCCCTCTGGCAAGGAGCACAAGGCCAAGTTCAAGCAGATTGACAAAAGCACTGAGAAAACGGAAAAGCCTAATAAAACACCGGACGCCAAGTCTGATAAGTCCGAAAAGCCCGACAAAGAGGAGAAGAAGCGCATTCGGAGGAGCTCACAAAATAGCAACAGCGGCAGTGGCGGTGGAGGAGGAGGTTCAGGAGCTGGTGGCTTTATCGAACCTCCTGTAAAGGCCTCAAAGAAGGAGCAGAACAAAGCCCCGCGGGAAAAGTCTAAGTCGCCTTCGCTACGCCCTTCTAGGGAGACTAACTCCACGGGAGGCACAACCAATACAGGATTAGGATTTCTGCCACCGCCACCATCATCTTCGCCTAGTAACAATCACATTGGCGGAACAACTGCAGCTAGCTTAAGCAACAACAATAACAATAACAACAACACTAACAGCAATAACGCTCACTCGCCGGCTGAGCTAACAGCGCCCGGACAACTGCAGCTGCCAACGGAGTATCTGAGTGAGCTGCAAGAGCTGCATCACAAGATCATGACCCTGCAGGACAACGAGGAGTTGCAGCATGTGGTCGAGATGATAGCGGCCACCGGGTGCTATGAGATCACGCACAAAACGTTCGACTTTGACCTGTGCAAGCTGGACCGGGTCACAGTGCAGCGGCTCCAGGAATTTCTTGCCACCTCTGTGTCGTGACACGCCCTAGCCACCACGACTACCACTGGCCCGGCGGCTCTCTACAGTTAGACGATGCACACACACACACACCACACACACACATCCCTCATGCACATAACCAAATCATTAAGCTTAGAGTTAAAGTTGTAAACCAAAAGCGATATAACCATAACCAGGCTTGAGATACCAGCCCGAATTCCTCCCCTTCTGCCCCTAGATCCTAAGTTGTTTGTTAACCCAAAGGGTTGAGCAAAATCCTCAAAATTGACTTTTAGTTTTTGAGACTCATTTGATATAAGATCACATTTAGAAATATGCGTTTTGGTTTCCTATTCGTTTGTAATCTTTTTCTGTTCTCCACTCTACACACTTTTTTCACACTGAAGATGCTTTATTTTAATATAAATACGCTATTTAATTTATTGAGTATCTTTTTGCGAATAAATTTCTACTTTTGTACGATATTTACGTATGTACATCTCTTTGGTTTTTATCTTGAATCACTTACAAAGCGCTCAGTATAACAAACATTGTCTCAAGTATTATATAGTTAACCACCTAAGATACATTTTACAACCGAAATCGACATTTTTGTGAATGAACCCCGGTCTGGCTTAAGTTAAGGATTAGTGTAAATCCAGGAAAGTCACCCCAGAGTACAGCAGTGTGGAGTGAGTCTGTAAAGCTCGCATCAGCCTTGAAATATATAAGATATCTAAGGTATAAACCAAAGGAAGAATATCTAGTTTGCTAAGCCAATTGGTTGGTTGCATATTGTATATACGCGATTACGAATTTACGCAAGCTGTTAATTTTAACCCATATCCCCATCCCGCACCCTATATGCGTATATATACTTATCGTAAACCAAACGAAAATCTTAAATGCCACAAAAAAAGTAAAAAGATGAATACAATATTATTATACCCACAATAAGTGCTAAGAAATTGGAATGACAATTTCTTATATTTTATTCACATTACACACAAATGGTATTTTTAATGAAACAATACTACAATCGTTGATTAAAGGAACCTACGTATATTACAAACTGAGGCAGATCTTTGGACTGAAGAGAGGCAGAAACAGTTTTGAGAGCTACGACGACAACGCACACACACTTGGAGCAAGGTGTTATAATAAGAAGATTAATAACGCCATACAATTTTTACGTTTCAAGCATTCTAGATTTGCGCTCTCAACTTTGTGCTAGCGAAAAATGGCTTCCTTACGCCAATTCACATGTATGGGCGTTATGCATCTTGTTATCTTAAGATCTTTGCTTGGAGGTTGTCGAAAAATCTATTCGAGTTGGTGATTGCTTAGCAGTTCTCTGGTTTGGACTAGACTAATTTGTGCGCGCAGACTAGTCGCGACAATAGCAATATTTCCGTAATTCTGGATCCCGATCGTATATGCATCGCGCTTGGTTGCCGTACTTGTTGACTCGGGATATGTCAGTCAGCTTCGTTGTGGCACTAAACGTGTGTAGGCTGTAGCTGACACTCGCCTCGAACAGCCCCTCACCTGGCTCCGTGACCAGTTGAAGTTGGTACATTTCATCGCGGACCAGCGTCTGGCCCGTCATATCCGCCAGAAAGCCGTCCCGGTCGCTGTTCGTCTTAAACTGCAGCAACTCCTTATGTGGTTGCAGGCGGAGCGCCCAATTGACACGGAGTACCTGAGGGAAGGGAAAGCAGAGTATGGTCATAAATCTTAAGAAAATACTCGAGAATGGCTTCTTGATGTACTACTACTTTCGCGATACATATTCGATATACTGATTCACTATTAATACTATGTATCTACCTTGAGAGACGCGCAGAGCTGACGTTGCTCCACTGTTGCCGTGTTGATGGCATCCACTATGCTCTGGGCGGCCTTGAGAATGATCCCCATGTGCCCGGTGTCGTTCAGCTGCAGCGGTAGCCAGTTGAGGCAGGCGCACCAGTGTGGCTCTATGTAGGCATCGGCACATGAGCGATTGCTCGGAATGGGGTCCAGAAGGGACATGGCGCGTCCCCTAGCCAGCTCGGAGATATGTATCTCTGGGTGACCGCGCTCAAGCTCTTCCCTAATGTCGTTGCCGTCGCCCAACTGATCATCATCGCCGACGGCGGTTTGCATCTCTATAGAGTAGGAATAAATGTGATATTTGAAAAGGAACTTAATTGTCTTTCTTACTTATAATGTGCTGCAGTGTAGCGTGTATATCAAATGGCGTGGTAAGGTGCTCCTCGTTGGCCAGGAAGTTCTTGTATTCCTGGGGAAATCGCTTCTTAAACGATTCGGGAAATGCAAAACTGAAGAAAGGTAGTCGCTCCTCCTGTTTGCCCTGCAAAGTTGCGCGAACCTCAGCAAACCGATTACCGTGATCAGCCATCATGATCAAAATTGTGTCATCGAGTAGCGATCGCTCCTTGAGCGCCACCAGCCAATCGTGAACATCGTCATCGGCGGCACCAATCAGATTAATAGAGTCGTGCGATAGCCCACCGTGGAAACTGAATACAAAACGCGGGACGTCCCGATATTTCAACATGAACTGCCAAAAGAAAATAAATAATGCATTTATAAAGGAAATCATTGAATTCCCCCGAAATACCTACATTCTTGGTGTACTCCAGCATGGTGACATGGTCTGGCTGGTGGCCAATGCAGTTGGGTTGGCTCTCGGCGGCCATGTGCTCCGCCTGGACGTAGTAGGTGCGCAGGTAATGATCCACGGGCTGGGTCTCGAAGCCGTTCATACGATAGGTAAAGGTGCCCACATTGGGCAGATCCTCGTTGAACGAAGTCATGTAGCCAAGACGGGAAAAGTCCTGCCAAATCATGGGATATGAGTCCACACTTCCCGCTCCAGACAATCTCTTTCTCGTTTCCGGCAGCTCCAGTTCGGTGTAACCCGTAAGCAGCGGAACTAATGCCTGCGGCGTACCGTCGCCCACAATGTTGTAGCCCTTAAGGACAGTGGCACCCAACTGCTGCGTGAGATACTCGTACGTACGGGGTAGCTTCCGGATAAAGGCATTCCGGCTCAGCGAATCAAAGCCGAACATGAGGACGTTGTAGAACGACGCCGTGGGCACTTCCTGTTGCATTTGCTGCTGAGCCTGGGCCACAGCTTCGGGGGGGAGAACGGCCAAATTCGGTGAGAAATTCGCGGACGATGGACGGGGCACTGCATCACGAATTCCGTGGGCCATGCCAAACCAACTGAGAAAGGGAATTACATATTCTAAATTGCTAATAAGGCCATAGAAATTATAATATCACCTCTCGCCACTGGCGGAGTGGCAGGCCACCTTAACAAAGTCACTGGCCTGCAGGACATAGGGTTCCTTCAGGCGCAACGTTCTCCCGAAGCGCACCCTGTAGTCGGACTTCCGAATAATATCCGTGTAGGAGCAGGTCACGTCTTCGTGGCTGGCCGCAATCTCCGGGCGCACAAAGCATATAGATTTCTGTCGGAACAAGGGATGTAAGCAATGTGATTTCCAGCATTCACCCTCTGCCTCTTCTTCTCACTTACCTCGCACATCACCCAATCCAGTCCCTCCCCGCAGTTTATTCGCTCCACGGGCTTGTAGAACCTCATAATGTCCGGATTGTCCAGGGGCAGATGTGGATGCCGGCACTGGCCCTGATTCACCACCGAACGTATAGACCGCTCGATAATGTCGCTTTATCATTAATAAATGTGCAAATAGGCACCGAAGCTTATCAATATCCAAGCACACTTACGATACAAACCAACATACATACATTTTAACATTTTTATCCACATCCTGTTCGTCGTTCAGCACGTAGAAGGTGACCATCAACCCGACCACAAAGCATCCTAGTGCGATTTTCTGCACTGTTCCTCGGCGCAGGACCCGCATTTTGAATTATTTATAAGCAGCTAGACCAAGTTTGCAAAAAACCTGTGACTGCACGCGCCTAGGATTAACTTTATAAATCCGTGCACATTCACTAGTTGGCCAATTACGGCATCTACGCAGTCTAAGTCCTGGGTGCGTATACTAATTAAATTTTATTGTTTTTACGGCACATCATAAACTATAAATTAAACAAAACGAGCAACTAGCCGCTCAGCTGGCGGTAGAACTGCAAACATCGGTGCTGCCAGATGCAAATTTGGCTTTCCTCCTAAAAAATCACGAAACGATAAATTTCTCCTAAAAATCCATGTGATGGTATTATGATTTCATAATATGCATATGCATAAATTCGATTTCATTGAAATTTGACAGCACCATGGGGTTTTACACAAGTGCGAGCAAGGCGACTACATGGCATAAATCGGTATATCTACATAAAATATACAGGATACCAATTCTGGACCTATACTGCTCTTGTGAAGAAGATTTTAATTGAAAAGAATATAGTCAGTACAGTCAAGTCTTTAAGTGTTTTCGCCATAAGAGTTTTATTTTTTCTGGTTTTTGGATTTCACATAACAGATGGGGAATTGGAACCCTTTTATACCGATTGGGAATTTGACGCCATTGCTACATTTGAAGTTAACCGCTAAGCCAAAAGCCGCGAAATTAAACTATTTTAGATTTTAAAGAGGAAAACACCTGGCCACACTAACTTTACACCATTTTACTTACCGATTCGGAATTCAACCCATTTCTACATTTTACACGGTTTATAACCGCTAAGCCAACTATAATCTGGTAACACTTATTTTTTGTTGTTGTTGTTAAAAAAGGACGGCCATATTTCAAATTTTCATCTGGTAACACTAATTACAATTTTTGGGTTTTTTAGTGGTCAGATCTAGCGTCGTCCGCGGAAAAAGTGTGAAAATCATAATTATCCGGGAGATTGACTGTTAATATCGCGTGTCAATAGTAAATATGCGCAAGCGTAAATTGTACATTAACTGAAAGAAAGCGAATGCTAGCAGCAACGCCAGAAACTAAACAAGGAATTGCAGCGTGAGTGTATAACTTTTCAGCCAGCATTGCCCCCGCGCTCTCTCTCTCGCACTCGCCCGCTCTCCCGCTGCTAGTCTACTGCTACTGCCGTCCTGCTCTCGCCCTCTTGCGGCTTCTGTGTTGTCTGCTTGCGAGTGTTTGAGTGTGTGTGTGTGTGGTTCGTCTCACGGACTCCGGCCTTGCGGAATCGGACTATATCCAGCTGAATTAGGTCCTCGATCCGTATCCGGATCATACCCGTATCCCGGGTGGGCTTCCACATTGTGGACACTTGGCTGCTCTGCTTTTATCGCACTTTATGCAACAACGCAAACGTTAAATCGTTGAGTTGAGTGTGTGTGTAGTGTGTTGGGTTTCTCGCTGCGTGGTGAGTTTGTCGTCTGTTTTCCTTTCCCTGCGTTTTGTGTGCGTTTCAATTAAATGCAAAATCGGCTGCGAACATCGAGGAAATGTGGTATACATAAACATTAGTAAGCAAACATCAAAACAAATTCGGATTACAACAACGTCGGGTCTGTCCTGAATGTTAGTGGGAGCGAGTGTGGGGGTGTGTGGTGGGGATACGACGGCATTTTTCTTTACCGCACGCCTCCTTCCCCTCAATACGATGCAATTTTTGCGATTCTGTTTTGTGCCTGCTATTCGCAATAATTTTATTGAATGAACCGCAAAAGAGACGACCGAAAAAGCGATGTACTTGCTAGACTGTAGATGTGTCAGTGTGTGTGACTGTGCCAGTGTGAGCGTTGTGTGTGTATCGCGTATGAAAATACATCAACTGTTGAAAATAAAACGAATAAAAAAAAGGAAATTTGCTGACATTGCAATCGTTTGGAGAGTGTTTATAATTGTGAAATTTTCGAATTCTCCACTCGTCCCGTCACTCCCCAATACCACCCCAAAACGGTGCATACATGCACACGCACACACGCCTGCGGATTTTTGCCGTGTGTATGTGTGTCTGTATGCAAGCGCGCGTATTCTGCACACATTGTCATGCATGCAAAAACAAGATACGGCGCGTTCGTAATCGTCAGACTCCTGCCACTTTCTTCCCCCCTCATCTCTCTTCCCTTTACTACCAATCGGGAGCGAAGAAAGAAGTCGAAAAGCACAAGGAAAACGGAACAGGAGCAGGCAGAGGCACAGGTCCAATTTAGACTGCTTTTCCCCAACCCAGTCTTGCATCCTTTTTTTTACCCCACCTCACGCTTTTTCGCTCGCTCCTTTTTTCACGGCTTCTCTGACACTTGCAGCGTCGTGTGGGGAAAGGACAAGAAGAGAGCAGGACTTCAGCACTTACAGTTATGCTGGAAATAGAAGCTTTACTTGTTCTTGGCAAAAAATTCCTCTAATATTTAAAAATTTGTTATTTTAGTTATCCTTTTGTATCTCGTTATCATTTTTTATTTCGTTGTAACTAGAAAACAAGTTCTTTAACTTCCTTATAATTTAAAGAAATCAAATTGGTCGAATTATAAAAGTTTAAGTTTAAACGTAATAGAATTTAGGGGCTGGACATTTTTTGTATAAAATTTAACTGTGTTGATCGAACTTGTATTTCCGCTCGTCCAATAAAAGCATTTCTGGTTGCCGGGTGAAAAAGTGGCAAAGTTGCAGTTTTCAGCGTTTATCAATGACTCTACTCCAGGCACATTTTCACATTTCTATATTTTTTGTATTTTTTGGCAGCCATTCAACTGGGCCTGCCTGGCTGCGCTGCTATTATTAATAAACATTAATAATAACCGAAATCTCTAGCATTCGCGTGTTTTTCGCAGCTGATTGCGTAAACCGCTCTCGCCGTTTGTTTTGAATTCTACTTTTGTTTTGGTAGACGATTCTCAGGTCTACGAGTGTGAAATCTCCAACTCTCTCTCTCTGCCTCTCTGACTGTCTAGGTTCTCTAGAGGTGTTATCAGTGCTGGATTGGCCTATGGCGCTTCACTGAAACTTGTATAGTATTTCGTTTCGATTCGTATCTGTAATCGCAATCGCTGTGCAAATAAATCCCATCGCACACATCTTTTCCACACTTGCAGCCTTGGTGGTGCGAGGAAATTGGGTGGTGGTGGATGGTGGTGCTGGCCTTTCGGTGTCGATCTGAGGTGACGTAAATATTTGCGGTGAATAGCAAACTTTGATGTTGATGTGGGCACCGCTCTCTTCAACGATGACGTATTTCATTTGTTTTCCTGCGTTCTGTTTACTCGCGCAGTATTTTACACTTTTCCATTGACTGTCACCTAACCAGAATGGATACAGTGAAGCTTTGATAAGTTAAACGTATTCAAGTCTTGGACTTTGTCAACATCTCTATTGCGTACTATATCCATTGCCCAGTTGTATATGTTTGAAATCTTACTTTAGTCTTGATGGCTTTTACACTCTGAAAACGTCAGTTAAGATAATGATAAACCTGCAAGGTTAAAAATCATGTAACCATGGGGTCCTTAGGACTCCATGTGCTCATCAAATCAGCTACATTGATCGATTTATTTTTGCTTCACTATAACTTGCTGCTTCCCACTCTCCAATCACTTGCCGCTCTCAGGTCTCCCATTCTCAGGTCTCCGGCACTCTCTCGCCTATTTGTTTTCTACGCGCGCGTGTTTGCACTCTTGTCTATGTAGCTGGCCGTGGGGCGAAAGCGGAGCGATAGTAGTTGCTCATGCAAGCACACACATACAGAGGCAGACTGTGGCAGGCCTAGATCTAATGGAAAACGTTTAATGTTTGTAAACAGACCGGCCAAAGCTAAATATTTTTTGGCATTTCGCATCGTCTACGAATTTGTGGTTTTCTCTCACCGTATCCCTCCTTCTCTTTATTGCTCTTTCTCCCCACGCGCATACTACACATATGTACATATATATGTATGTGGCTTTCACATCTTCCTTCATTGCAATAAGGTTCAGGTGTCCATGTGATGCGGTAAAAGATAAAGTATCTGTTGATATTCAAATACATATCCTTTCAGATTTTAAAGTCAAATTGATTCACATGATTGTTTAGGAAAACTTTAGGAAAACATTTTAATGTCATGTACATAAGATTATCTTCAATGCTTGTATTGGTAAAATATAATTTTCTCGGTGTGTAAAATCAATTTGAAGATAAGTTTTTAGAAAAAGTCCGTGTCAGCTGTTTGTATGTCATTTGAAAAATTTAGAAGGAACCCAAAAAGTCTAAAATTTAATTACCAAAAAACTTATGTATATTAATGTTTTTCACTTTGCAGTGCAGTATTGTCCTGACCCTACCCTACGCTGGAGTAGCAGCCTAACATGGATGTCAAGCGAGTCAAGCATAGAGATTAGCCGAATCCTTTGAATTTTAAATTCAAGATCCTAATTTAAATTAGCCAAGTAGCATAACCGCATAGCTTATAGCACAAAAGCACCGAGGACCGGTTCCAAGCCGCAAATTCCAAATCCCAGTCCAGATTCAAACCAAATCATCGAAAGGACACCAGCGAGAGCATCCACTGCGGTAACCTAAGGGGCACTGCACACAATCATCATGACGACCGACACCCGTCGTCGCGTCAAGTTGTACGCGTTGAATGCGGAGCGTCAGTGGGATGATCGTGGCACTGGCCACGTCTCCTCCACCTATGTGGATAGGCTAAAAGGTGAGTTCAAAATAGTGGTATACATTCTTAGTAGGGCCTTCAGTATAAACTCCTGTATCCACCTCAACTATTTTAAGGTATCTCTCTTCTGGTTCGCGCCGAATCCGATGGATCTCTGCTTTTGGAGAGCAAGATTCAACCGGACACCGCCTACCAGAAGCAACAGGATACATTGATCGTATGGTCCGAGGGCGATAATTTCGATCTGGCCCTGAGTTTTCAGGAGAAGGCTGGTTGTGACGAGATATGGGAAAAGATATGCCAGGTAAGTCTTGTTTCCGTGGCTGTAGTATGCAACGGGATAGAGTTTTGTTCTTGTTAATTGTTAAATAATAATCATAAACAGGTACAAGGCAAAGATCCTTCGGTTGAAATCACACAGGACATTGTGGAGGAGTCGGAGGATGAACGCTTTGAGGACATGTCGGACACGGCGCCACCAATAGAGCTGCCGCCTTGCGAACTCTCCCGGCTGGAAGACATTTCGGAGACGATACAGAGTTGTCTCTCTACGCCGCTTCGCAAGGAGAAGCTATCGATGGCCCTAGAGTCGGAAAGCTACATTAAGAAGCTGCTGAACCTGTTCCACGTTTGCGAGGACCTGGACAACACTGAAGGTCTGCACCACCTGTTCGAGATCTTCAAGAACATCTTCTTGCTGAACAAAAACGCTCTTTTCGAGATTATGTTTGCGGATGACACCATCTTCGATGTGGTTGGGTGTCTGGAGTACGATCCCAGTGTGGCTCAGCCGAAAAAGCATCGGCAGTATTTGAAGCAGTTGGCCAAGTTCCGTGAGGCGGTACCGATCAAGAACCAGGACCTACTAGCCAAGATCCACCAGACGTTCCGGGTGCAGTACATCCAGGACATAATCCTGCCCACGCCATCGGTTTTTGTCGAGGACAACATGCTGAACACACTGTCCAGTTTCATTTTCTTCAATAAGGTGGAGATAGTTACAATGATCCAGGACGACGAGCGCTTTTTGCTCGATGTGTTTGCTGTGCTTACGGATCCGGCAACTGGGGACACGAAGCGCCGCGACACAGTTCTCTTTCTGAAGGAGTTCTGCAACTTTGCCCAGAACCTCCAACCACAAGGCAAGGACTCGTTCTATAAGACGCTCACCTGCCTGGGAATCCTGCAGGCGCTTGAACTCACGCTCGTAATGAATGACAAGAAGACGAAGTCCGCCTCCATTGATATTCTCACGGCTATAGTCGAGTTCTCGCCGCTGGTGGTGCGCAACTATACGCTGAACCAGGCCAACAGGCCAGAGGGGGTAAGTCTACTAGCAAGATTACAGAGTTTATAAATTATTGTTCTTATTGTTACGTTCCCAGGATCGCATGTTGCTGAACATTGCCATCGAACAAATGCTTAATGACTCGGAGCCGGAGCTGGGCATTGCGGTACAGCTGATGGGTATTGTAAAGATCCTATTGGAGCCAGAAAACATGCTAACCGAGAAGGGGGACTTTCTTAATTTCTTCTACAAATACAGTGTTCAGACGTTAGTGGGTAAGTGTCTGGTCATTTCGCTTTAGGAATTTCCAACTAATAACAACTGATGGTCATTTGCAGCTCCATTGATGCTAAATACGATGGGTGACCGTCCGCAGAACGAGGACTATCAGACGGCCCAGTTACTGGGTATCGTTTTGGATATTTTGTCGTTTTGTGTGGAGCATCATAGTTACCACATCAAGAACTTTTTGCTGCAAAAGGATCTCCTCAAGCGAATTCTGGTGCTAATGAAGAGCACACATACGTTCCTTGTCCTCGGCGCTCTGCGACTGTTGCGCAAGATAATTGCACTCAAGGATGAGTTCTACAATAGGTAAAAATAAGCTCGCTAGTGGTAACTTGGGGCGCCTTTTTAACTTTTTTTTTTACTCGGCAGACACATTGTAAAGTGCAATCTGTTTGCGCCGGTGGTGGATGCTTTTATTCGCAACAACGGTCGGTATAATCTGCTAGAGTCGGCCATTTTGGAGCTGTTTGAGTTTATAAAACTCGAGGATATTCGCACCCTCTGCGTCTACTTTGTGGAGAACTTCAGCAAGATATTTGATGAAATCGAATATGTGCAGACATTTAAGTACTTGAAGAACCGTTACGATCAGTACCAAGATCGGCTCAAAGACCGCGACAAGATGGAGAACCGGACGGATGGGTAAGTGCGAGTTTACTTTCCGCCCTGTGCTACTCCAAACACAATGTGAAAATGCCTTGGGTATATGTTATTATTATTATTAAAGTGGCCTGCCCATCATCCGTAGCGGTGGTCGGTTTCGTCGAGATCAGCGACAAATGGAGGAAGAGGAGGAGATGTGGTTCAACGAAGAGGACGATTTCACTGAGGAAATCGATACGTACAGCAATGTCATCAAATGTGAGTATATTCTGCTCTCCACTTCATGTGAGAACTGGTTGAGATTCTAGTATTGATATTTTACAGCCGTCAGCGAAAAGAATGGCCCGCAAAATCAGCAGAAATCGTCTCCGCCGCACAGTACGTCACCGCACAGCGGCGGACTGCTGGGCAATCTAAATGCCACCGCGACATCGACTGCCACATCCTCCGCATCGTCGGGCGCCCCAGTGGCCAGCGGCAGTAGTAGCCCCGAGGGTGCCAGCATTGTCGATGAGCAGACCCAGGCTGCGGTTCATTTGGCCGCCGCTGCCAACATCGCACTGCAACACCACCAGGAACAACAGCACCCATTCCAGCAACAGACACAGCCTGAGATTGCAGAGCTGCAACAGCAGCTAAGCGGCAGCGTGGAGGCGCCGCAGAACCAGGAACTATCACAGTCAGCAACCGCTGCCAACAATGCCTCACTCTCTTCGACAAACTCGTCGATAGAGGCGTCCACCTCATCGTCATCGTCATCGGCATCATCCTCCTCGTCCTCGTCATCGTCATCGTCCTCGCCACCAGGCAGCTCATCGGCAGGCGCATCTCTGTGCGATTCCGCGACAGTGGCCGCCGTGGCAGCTTCACAGTTTCTCACCACAATCGCCACTGCGATGGCGGCATCTGTGACGGCGGCGACTTCCGGTACGAGCAGCAGCAGTTCACCCAACCTATCGCCAGCTCCGGCTGTTGCCAGTCCAGATATCGAGAGTGGCGATGCTCAGTTGCCTCCCAGCGATGACCTCATTAGCTGCGCGGCTGCTGGGGGTGAACAGGAGCAGGATGCGAGCAGCAGCTCAGAGAGTGCCAGCAGTGAAGCGGACAAGGCGACGGCTAAAAAGGCATGTAAAAACTTTAATAAGTTTGTTTAGCTGAAAATATTTTATTTTATATTTATTTTATATTAATATTCGATCAAATACAGGGTCTGGTGGACTACGAAAGCGATTCGGGCGAGGATGATTACGAAGAGGAAGAGGACTCTGAGGGGCCACAAGCACAAAAGCGCGCGCGTCTGGCATAGTTGACAGATGTTGTTGAGCACAGCAGCAGTAGCAGCAGCAGCAGTAGCAGCAGCAGCAGTAGTAGCGGGGGCATCAATTATAAATTAGTACACACAACATAACAGAACACAACGGCTACACACACACACCACACACATGCGGCAAACACAAGACGGACAGCAGAGGATTTATACACCAACGAACGTTAGGATTGCAACAGCAACAACGTAGACATCGGCAAAAGGCAGCAGATGATAGCACAGCAGTCACAGCGGTACGATGTAAGATTAAACAACAAGAAAAACAAAAAACATTATTAAATTTTAGCATACATTTTTGTTTGAAAGAGGACGCAAAAGCAAAAACAAAACACCTAGAGTAAACAAGAAATTATAAACCTTACTTTACTAAATTAAACCACTACAACATATAAATATATATATAAAATATATATATATATTCGAAAAAAATATATGCATATGAAAGAAACACAGAGATAACTACAACACTGATCGGCAGCATCCACCGGCAGAGATAGAGATGCTGCTCGAGACAGTTGGCAAAACAAACATTAACGAATCGAAACCAAAACAAAATGTATTTAGTAGTTAAGCCGGAACACTGTAGACCGCGGAGAAGAATTGACATGAGGAGGCCGTGGAGAAGCCGTCAGGCGGTGTGTAGGACATTTGTATACAGTCAGCAGCATCATCCAGTTAACAGTTCCTGTCAAGTCGGCTGCTGTTCTGGCCAAACAAATGTTGCGTGGAAGAGAAGGGGAAGCCCACTTCAAAAGTGCAATAATTCGTTTTAGGTATTTTAAAGACAATTGCAATATTTACCTACATTAGCTGTATAACCTAGACTTAAATCCTCAATTACTTTTGAAAACGATTTCATGCCAAAATCGCCCTATCACACACATTTACAGAGTTGTCTTCAAGTATCACGAGGAGTGTGTTGCTTGTAAACATCGTTGTAATAATTCGCAAACAACGTAAATAATTGTAATTAATATTTAATTTCGAAATGGCAAACTATTTCCACTATTCCCTTTAAGGTTATGTGTACACAATCCTGTTGCAATTGTTTTTTAAATACCAAGTAGAGCGCCAGGTGGCCGACTTGACAAATTTTGTTAATCCTTTTGGGTTAGTCGTGGATATCACTGAACCTTGTATATAATTTAGTCAGTCTTTATGCTCCCAATAAGTAACTGCCCTAGCACCATCCCCTGGCGATTTAACATTAAGAACAGACAATTGGACAGCCAAGAAAGTTAATTTTTATGTCGAGGATGTATTGGATTAACTAACTGCGAGTTCCTTCGGGGGAATCTTTTAGGACAGAGCAAACCGTTGTCTGACTGTGTTTACAATTGCAAACAATTGTTGGCGTTACCTTTGCATTATAAAACACACCACGCCACACAAACACACATCAATAAATAACTAATTATAATGATAACAAATAGAGTGTAATGTTAAACTAAAGCGGCGGGCAAACGAACATAAGCAAAAGGCAAATAACAAACAATAGAGTAAAGTAACATAATAGACTTCATACGGTTTTCCATTGCAAGTTCTTTTTCACACATACATAACTAATTATAATATATAATTTGGATTTAACGAACGAATGTAGTAGGGCTCACTAAGAACCACTCACGCACACACACCCACATATGCTCGCTCAGCCACACACACACACACACACAACGAGGATACATCTGCAACAACCGCCACAAGTGACGGAGAGTAATAAAGTTATTTGTTAATAATCGTATTTTGCCATGTGCGTATGTGTATCGCTGTACTACATTTATTTATTTTAGAGTTTAAACGAAATGTGCGAAATAAGCTAGATCCGCCTGCCTCCTCTCACTGCTAACGGTTTCCCCCAGATCCTTTCCTTACTCCCGGCCTCCTTCCTTGTCGAAATCAGTCCGCATACAATTTAAATGGGGAAAAACATACATATATCCTTCCAAGTTGTTGTTTTTGTTTGATTGAGCAACAATAACGACGCAGAGTGCATACAAGAGAGGAAAAGAAAAGCATAAACGAAACTGAGATGAAAACACAAAAGAAAATGGAAACTAAAGTAAAAGTAAAAGTAAAGGTTAAAATAAAGGCGACAACACAACACTATATAGTTTATACATAGTATTTATATGAATCGTGTATTGTATATGATAATATGCTGTCTAATCCCCTAATCCTAACACACACAAACACACAACATACCCATTACATCTATAATTTGAATATTTTATTTAGTTGTTTAAACATCCGTGCGTAAAAAGCGATCTATATATATATAACTCTATATATTATGATTATGAGTAAATTAAATAATAGTTTTTAATAGTTTTTAAACAGAAACAGAATGGCTAAGCTCTCCCAAGTGTGTTTTTATTCCGTATACGGTGTGTCCCGGGTGGTTATTTCAGTGTCATGGCAACCGTCGATTCAAGGACCAAACAAATGATTCCTGCTAAAACGTTGCCCAGAGTGGTTAGTTAGTTAGTCACTCACTTGACCAGCAGCTGGACGAGAAAATGTCTGTGGAAGACTCTTGGGTGTTTGATTCGTTGGTGTGCTTCCTGCACGGCCCCATTTGGAATGCTCCTCTCCAGACATTCATCGAGCAAAAATCCCTAGGTGAGCATGACCACGTCATCCATTCGTGCACCACCAAGTGTAACCTCTGGCCTTTGGTGCTCAGTCTTCGATCCCAACCAGCAGCTGGATGAGAACAACCCCGATATACTCCAGATCCATGAGGAGTACAAGAATCTGGTTGATTACATGCTGGGCAGCTTTATGGAGGAGATGCATATATCGCCGGAGCAGTTTGAAATGGCCTGTCTCGAGGGCCGTCAGCAGGGGGGTCAGGGGCAGGGCGAGAATCCTTTCCAGTTCCACCAGGTGCTGTTCCAGCAGGTAAGTGGGGGAGGAGCCCTTGGGTCCGTAAGATCTCCAAGCTTTTTTTTTTGTAGATATGGGCAGCCAACGATTTGAAGATATTCATACGCATGATGACGCAACGCAATGTGGAGCTTCAGCTGCAGGCTCTTGATCTAATCGAGAAAAATCAATTGGCCCAAAGTGTCGGCGTCGGGGAAGGAGGCGAAGATGACCACAGTGCAGAGGTGGGCTCAGATCAAGGGTGGGTTTTGCTTAATTACATAAACTTCAGTTTAGTTTTCGATTTTTTGGATGCCTTGGTATTGTTTTTAGTTTACAAACCTTTAAAATTATTACATAACATCCTTTTAAATTTGCCTAAAACTCTGAAATCCAATAGGGACACCGCCTCGGAGGTTGAGCAATTAATAGCCAAGACCGTCGCCGATGAACTCGAGAGTCCAGAGGCTGCGCTTACTCCCGAGCATGATCCCAGCCTGGATTCGGTCAACGATAAGTTTCAGCGCCTGAACTTATTCTTCGAGCAGGAGGACCAAGTGGATCCCAGCGACATGGTGTCGCGGCAGGAGTACCTGCGCCGACAGCGCGACAAGATTGTCGAGATCAAGAAGCAAACGCGTGCCAAGCAGCTGCAGGAGACAATGGCCCGGGGTACGCCGCATGCCCCCGAGGGGGCACGTCCCAGCTCCGCTTTGGTGGCCCAGCAGCTGTTGGAGAATGGGGGACGAACCACGGAGCTCTCGATGCCGGCTCCCCTGGAAAGCGAAGAGAACGCTGCCCTCCAATTGAGACGCAATTTGGCCAAGCGCCTGCGCAGCGAAGTTGTGGAACAGAAGTGAGCTGTGGTCTTAGTACCCTCGTTTATTACAGATTCTCAGCCAGATATATATATAAAGGGTGTGTCGCTGACTAGTTCAGTTGCTGGATAAGGTACAGGGTGTGTCTTACGTTCAAATATAACATGCGCGTTGTTTTCACTCGCCCATGTCCACACCTAGCCGAAGCCTTATTCAGAGGTGGGCCAAGTGTGGGCATGGTCGAGCGAAACTACAATAGATTTCGGTAAGGCTTTCCGACAAAATAAACAAATATTGCTGCTAGTGAAATGTGTTGCTTAAAAAAAAGGTGTAAAATGTAATTTGCTTTGGCTGCTGGTCTTCTACGTGGGTATCCGATCTCGCAGATACGACATGATGGCCTCGGTGCCCTTCATCAGTATCTGATGGCGGGGCTGTCGAAACGGATTTCCAACCAGTTCCAAGTGACTAAAATAAGGAAATACAGCGGGGAAAACATAGATTTTTTAACATTTTTAAAGAAAGGTAGTGGTTGCAGAGATTGAAAATAACAGAACCTTCTTTGGTTGTCCCAAGAATCTAAGAACACTTTTTTTTTAAGAGTCACAGATAAGACTATTGAAGGCAAACTCAAATAATTTGTATGATTAAGTTCCTATTGAAACCTGTTATTTACAATCTCTGTAAAAACTAAATAACTTACGTTATTTTGGTTAGATTCCCCAGAGTGGGCGGAATTAAATCGATATCGTTATTGCGTAAATCCAATGTGCTCAATCGCGGCATGCTCTTCAATCCGGAAACATTCAACATCTTAATATGATTCTCGCTGGCCACGAGAATCTCCAGTCCTTGCAGCTCAAACACACCATTGGGAATGAACTCAAAACTGTTTTAGATATAGATTATAAGTTACGATCATAGCCAGCGATCAATACCCACCGATTATTGGCAATGTTTAGTTCGCGTAGGGTGTTAAGGACACCGAATTCCTTGGGCAGATCACTCAACAGATTATTTGACAGATTTAAGAACGTGATCCGCGTGAACTGCGATATAAACTGTGGCACATAACCGATGAGATTGTGGGACAGCACCAGTTCCGTGACCAAATCATGCATATGCTGCAACCTAGAAAATATATATATACAGATCAGGGTACTCCTGAATATGCAGCTTGTGGGGAACCTACCCACTGGGCAAGGTGCTCAGCTGATTGCGGGCAAAGTCAACCACATGCACACCCTCATTCCTGGCAATTTGAAAAACCTGCTCAGGAACTTCGGTTAGTTCCTCCAAGTTGACAGCTAATGTACGTGTATGACGTAATTTGTACCTGAGGGATGGAAAGTATTAAGGGGATTAAGTATGAGAGTCAGAGTATAAGAGCAACAAATGTGACTGTAGATCATGGAACTTGGTGATACACTACACCCAACGTGGATGCACAGCCTGCTGCTGGTAATGATGCTTCTGTTGGTACGGATGCTGCTGCTGCTGCTGGTACATAACCCCACGACACTCTCGACTTTGCTGACCACTGGCTAAGCTAGATTGATAGCTCTCTGGCTTGTACAGGTGTCTCTGGATTTGTTCATGATACTCCTGGCACTGACTTAGCGACTTATACATATAACCGTGAGGTGCTACCCCTCCCTGATGTTGCTGGTGATATTGACATGGACACTGATGTTGATATTGAAACTGGTGCTGCTGCTGCTGCTGATAGCTGCTGCTGCGGCGTGGGATCTAGACTTAAAGCATTGCCCCAAAAAGCTTTATACATACCTATCCGGATATTTGTTGGGTAGTTCACCATCGTCTGCTTGTCCGCCACTCAAACGGGTAACACTGATGCCCGCCGCTAAAGTGGAGCCCGCCACATCGGAGCCATCCTCCTTTGCCTTGGCCAGGGCTCGCTCGTGGAGTGTCTTTAAAATGCGTGTGGTTCCACACTGTATGATGTCGCGTCGGATCGTCTTTATGGGATTCCCATCAACCTGTAGGCTGATAAGGTGTGCCAACGAGGACAAGGTGACGGGCAGCATGCTAATCGTATTGTTGGACACATCCAGGCGATTCAGGTTGCGCAGCAGGCAGAGCTCATCGGGCAGCTCGGTGATCTTGTTGTCCCGCAGATCGAGGATCTTCAAATGTGGCAGGTTGCTGCACATGGCCTTTGGTACCGTCTGGAAAGGTTTCAACTTCAGCAACAGCAGAATTACTAAATGTTTTTCTTGTAATTACCATTATAAAATTATTGCTGGCATGTAGCTCGCTCAGGGCCTCGTTTCCCTCGAAATTCGGCAGCTCTAAAATGTCATTGTGCTGCAAGTAAAGACACTCGAGCTTTCTCAACAATCCCATATCCTCTGGTAAGCAGGTCAGATCGTTTTGCATTAAATCTAGCTTTTGCAAGGCTAAACAAAAAATAGTTTTAATTGGAATTAGAAAGTTTTTATATGGAGACTTGGCTAAGACTTACATCGCATATTAACAAGATCGGGCGGCAGCTCCTTGATGTGGTTATGGGGCAACAGGAGTGCTGTTAGACGTACCAGAAACCCAATGCCGCCGGGCAGAGATTGGATATTATTATGCCCGGCATCCTTTTATTGTTACATTTCGGTTAACAAGCAGTTTGGTTAAAGGTTATTAATATTTATATTTAAAGGCCACAACCAATTATAAATAGAGATTGAAAGTTAATTTAATGGATAAAAAAAGTAAACTCATAAAGAGGCTTTAAATTGAGATCTTGTCTGGGTATTACTAAATATTTTTAACTCATAAAATATTAAAAATATATTAAAATTACTAATAATATTTATCTCATTGCAAACTTACCAAAAACTCGAGCATGTGCAGGTCACTTATATCCGGATCAAGTTCGTTAAAGGCGTTGTAGGAGATGTTCAAATGGCGCAGCTCAGGTAAACTATAGGTCTCACGGGGAAGCTGGCTAAGCTTGTTGTGGCTCACATTCAGGCGCATCAGCTTCTCCAGCTTGCCGATCTCTGGTGGCAGCTCCACCAAAGCATTATCGTGCAACTATAAGCGAAAAAAAAGCTATATATTTTAAAACTCTTTAATTAAGATCAATTTCTCACTCACTGTAAGGACAGTCAGCGACTGCTGCAGGTTCGCGATCTTGGGCGATAAGTGCGTCAAGGTATTAGAGCTCAAGTCCAAGTTGGTCAATGGCACTTGATTCCACCACGCATCCTCCTCCTTGATGGTCAGCTGCTCCAGGTTCACGGCCTTGCTGTCCGCATCCGCCTCGTTGATGTCGTACAGGCGCTCGGGCACTGAAACGAAAAGTGACATGAAATCAATTAGAGAGCGCCTTTCCTCCGGCATTCACTACACTACAGGCTTCCGTCTTGGGCTGTGGCTGCTCGGTATCATCCAGTTCCAGCTCCAGCTCTAGCTCATCATCCGGATCCTCACTCTCCAGCTCATCTGCCGAGGAGGCCATTTGGAATTCGCGGATCTGGTAGTAGCGTCGCCTTCGCGGATAGGGACCGCACATGCAGAATGAGGTGAGCTGCTTCCTGGAGGACGCAATCTTGACCGGTCGAGGCGATGCGATGCGACAGCGACGAGCTCACGGGGCGGACTGAACCGAACGATGACTGGGTCTGAGGACGCACCCCGTGGAGCAGCACCTTTATGGATCGGCTGGAGGCGCGGATGCTGGCTAGTCAAGCGGCAAATATGTTCTATACCTTTTTTGGCCTGACCCCAAGGTCAAGTTCGAGATCGCAATCGCGAGAGCGGCTCACATGAACTGGAACCACAAGGCACTGCTGTCGACAAGGCCGAAGGGGTTCCATTGCTCACACTGACGCCGCTGCTGATGATCTACTTTCGGCTTGGCCATAGACTTCCAACGACGCAGCTGCTCCTGGGTCACCACTGCTCGCCAGCAAGCCCCGCAATGTAGCTACTATATTTGTCTATTTATCATTCCCCTCAAACTCACCTTTGGCCAATGCCTTGTTGGACAAATTCAGATGTCCCGTCTTTCGCGCCAGCTTCCACAGCTGCTGGGTGAGCACAGAGTCGTCTTCGTTCGTAGTCCTTTCGTGGAACACCGGCCGAAACGAGCAGTTAATTCTGGGCGAGCGGGCCATGGTCGTCGGTGTTTGTCGTTGACGCTGAGGCGGAGCACAGCGGGGGATCCTGCTGGCGGCACCGCCCCTGGCGGCTGCACGCCCATTGCCGGGCAAATCGCTCATCTCGTTGGGACAGCCGTAGTGGGTGAAACAGGGACTAACGTCGAAATCACCGCCGAATGCAGAACCCTGGTCACATTCCTGGGATCCAACAAACGTGCTGAAGTCGGTGTTCGCCGCTTGGCAGAAGCTTGCGGGGATGACAGGTAAGCAGTGCGTTAGAAAAGTCACCGGAATCGCAGGTAAATTCGGGGTTTCTCAGCTTTATTTGTGCGTCGTTGTTTTTTCTGTTTTGTTTACTGTCAACAATCAGCTGGTCGTCGGTCGTTACCCAACACTGATACATTCTTTAGCTTATTTGCAACGGTAATTATTTTCAAAAAATGTATATTTGCAAGTTTTTGATTTTGTGCTGAATCGGAAAAATACATTTTAATTTTAAACTTGTTATGATATGGAAGATTTTACTAAATTTTTAGCATTTAAATTTTTAACACATTTAAAAGTAATATAATAAATTATTACTAAATCCAAAAGGATTTGTTAATTAAAAATTGATTCATACGCACAACAAATATCATTTATTCAGAATTCGTTTTTAATATTTGTTATAATATGATTTTCGTTCAGAGATTGCAAACTATTCCCTCATTTTAAAATTTTTAAACTGTTTTATATCGATCTCCACAACACGTTAAATCTTTTGATTATTGTAAAAAAAACCAATTAATTTTAAATACTCTTTATTAAACCAATAAAGTTGGGTAACAATAAATTGATTGTCATAGTCCCATTAAACAAATGAATTAAGCATTTCAATTACAGATTTCTACACACAGCTGCAAGCGATTCAAAATTCAAGTCGATTTATAGACCCTAATGTGGCAATGTTTGAATACAATGCACCTGCTCTTGCCTCACATAATATATAACATCTATTTACAGACATAAATACATATATGCTATATCGGAAGAGGCATAAAACGGTAATTGATTTGATCATGAACTTAAGTCTCTGCTGGGTGTTGAGCACTGTGTAAGCTACAAGCAGCTTAAAGGCTTGGGCTTAGCATAAGTCTCTACTTACTTCATCGTCCCGTGACCAGTTTTCCCTTCTCCTTCGACTTTGGGGCTTCTGTGGGAGATACGAAATACATATACAAATGTACATAAGTGTATTACTTTAGAGCAAGGTCAGCCGCAAAAGTCAGTCACTGGGGTGTATTAGATTTCCCCGACTGACTGACTGCATCCACCAAGCTCTTTGGCTGCTTCCCCAACACACACCTCGGGGCTCTTGATGGGTGGGTGGCTGGGCGGTTGCCGAAGCGGCAAAAATGCTGAGCCACTTGTCTTCGCGGTGCCCCTTGCAATGGGTCTCCAACCTGACAATGGGCTTGGAACAGGGGCCGTCGTCTACCGGCGTAGCTACGTCGGCGACTGTCAATCAAAATTATGAATAACGCTGCCAGCAGCGTACTGCCTAGGGTCAGTTGCCTCCAATTGGCTACCGCCCCCCAAGAACACCCCCATCCAAATCACTGGCTCATGGGCCACCCACCCCTCCCATCTAGGCGACGAGGTGAGAGCCCCTCGGAGCATTTGCCAGTTGTCATTTGGTTCCCATTGCAAGCGGACGGGCCACGTGGACTTGGATTTGGTTTGCTGGTCGGAGTAGCGCCCAGTACTCACTACACAATTCCCGCAATGGCAGCTGGTGTCTTCAAGAGCTTTATGCGCGATTTCTTTGCGGTGTGTTTCAAGCGTGTTTATTGATTAATAACTAAAATTTTTACGAAATTTGGCTAAAGGCTTCCAAAATAAAATAACCAAAGCTGTGGCTGACAGGATTTGAAATGAAGCGTAGAGGGTCGTCGTTGCCGGTTAAGTAGAGTTTGGCAAGTGCAAGCAAATGTGTTAAGTGGAAAAATGATGAATAAAATGATATTTGTTAATTTTCGTATCCTTCATGGAGGAACTCAACCTTAAGATATATTAAACTTCCTACAAAAGTGAACAAAATCTTAGCTAAAACCTAACTCCGTTAAATTTTAAATCATTTTCTGTGTTTAATAGAATAGTCATGACATTTGAAATTTACCGTCGAGGTCCTTTAGAAAGCCTCATTCAGCTGATGAAATATTTGGAATGCGTAGAAGCATGCCAGCCGACTGGATAATCCCTGTTAATCCCAAGCAAAAATGCAGCCGACTTGGGCGGGCTTTCGTCTAATCGAGGCTACTGCCAACGGTTAAACCTATTCCTCCCCCTTCTTCAACAGGTGAAATACGATGACCAGCAGAGTGATCCACAATCGGAGCGAATCGATGGCAATGGCCGCCATTATCCCAACTGCTCTTCGGATGTTTGGTTGCGATCCTGCGAGCGTGAGATTGTCGATCCCATCGAGGGACATGTAAGCGGACATATACCGTCCTGGATAACTGGCAGCCTCCTCCGGAATGGTCCCGGCAGCTGGAAGGTGGGCGACATGACCTTTGGCCACCTGTTTGACTGCTCGGCCTTGCTGCATAGATTTGCCATTAAGAATGGCCGTGTGACGTACCAGAATCGCTTCGTGGACACGGAAACATTGCGAAAGAATCGTGCTGCACAGAGAATCGTGGTCACGGAGTTTGGAACGGCAGCCGTTCCGGATCCCTGTCACTCCATCTTTGACAGATTTGCGGCCATCTTCAGGCCGGACAGCGGCTCAGACAACTCGATGATTTCCATATATCCCTTTGGGGATCAGTATTACACGTTTACCGAGACGCCCTTCATGCATCGGTAGGTGGACTCTATTTGCTCTTAGAGAGTTCAAAATATCTATGAAATTCTGTTCGATTTAGGATCAATCCCTGCACCCTTGCCACCGAGGCTCGGATCTGCACCACCGATTTTGTGGGCGTGGTAAACCACACCTCTCATCCGCACGTCCTGCCCAGCGGCACCGTCTACAATCTGGGCACTACAATGACCAGATCTGGGCCAGCTTACACGATCCTCTGCTTCCCCCATGGACGACAAATGTTCGAGGATGCCCATGTAGTGGCCACGTTACCCTGCCGCTGGAAGCTTCATCCCGGTTATATGCACACCTTCGGGTTGACGGATCACTACTTTGTGATCGTGGAGCAGCCGCTCTCCGTATCCCTCACTGAGTATGTCAAGGCCCAGGTCCAAGGACAGAATCTCTCTGCGTGTCTCAAATGGTTCGAAGACAGACCGACCCTGTTCCACCTGATTGACAGGAGTTCGGGAAAACTGGTCCAGACTTACGCATCGGAGGCCTTCTTTTACCTGCACATCATCAACTGCTTTGAGCTGGACGGCCATGTGGTAGTTGACATTTGCAGCTACAGGAATCCGGAGATGATAAACTGCATGTACCTGGAGGCCATTTCCAATATGCAATCGAATCCCAACTATGCCTCTCTCTTCCGGGGACGCCCTTTGAGATTTGTCTTGCCCTTAGGTACAGTTCCTCCGCCTAGTTCCGAAAAACGGAACCTGGTAAGGTCCCTCTCGCTGGCAGGCCTTAGTCCTCCAAAGGCTAGACGAACTATGAAGCACTCGGCATCTCAGTATGAGGACATCAGCTATATGCCCACCAATGGCAGGCAGGAGACGCCGGCTGAGGAGAGTCCTACAGGATTCGAAAAGACAGGATGCAAAGTTGAAGATAATATGATAAATCTGGTGACCTTGGAGGGCAGCGCAGCTGAGGCCTACCGAGCCACCAGTGGCATCTTCCTGCGCCCGGAAATGCTGTGCAACTGGGGCTGCGAGACGCCCAGGATATACTACGAGCAGTATATGGGAAAGAACTATCGGTACTTTTACGCCATTAGCTCCGATGTGGATGCAGAAAATCCAGGAACTGTAAGTATCCCTAAGGATTCACTTTTACTTCAATATTCGAAAGACCTTTCTTTTAAAGCTCATCAAGGTGGATGTGTGGAACAAGACCTGCCTCACTTGGTGCGAGGACAATGTCTATCCCAGCGAGCCCATCTTTGTGCCCGCGCCAGAGCCAAAATCCGAGGACGATGGCGTCATACTGGCCTCCATGGTGGTAGGTGGCCTCAACGATCGCTACGTTGGTCTGATCGTGCTCTGTGCCAAAACCATGACAGAGCTGGGGCGTTGTGATTTCCACACCAATGGACCAGTTCCCAAGTGCCTACATGGATGGTTTGCCCCCAACGCAGTTTAGGATCGTGCCTCAACCTCGGGGTCCACACCCAGTATTACTCGTAGACGTAGCCTAGAGTGCCTTTTATTAACTTAAAACTTTGGATTTAAAATATTTGCAATAAACTCCTGCCACTTGCGCTGGAAAACCCTGTTGATCTTCCGCCGCTCGTCTGAGGTGAGAATGGCGTACTTGATGGAGTTCAAAGCCAGCTGCTTGAGGAAGCGCAGATCCGCTTCCGCTGGAGCCAGGGCCATGAAGGCGTAGTAAAAGTCGTAGCTAAGTCCCTTGGCACCCCATACGCCCGGATCATCGGATGATATCACAATGGGGAAGTTCTCGGCGATCAGGAAGCTGGCCGGATGATTCCGCAGATCCCACACGAAGCCCAGGACCTGATTGGAGATGGGATTCACTTCGATGGCAATGTTGCGCTTCTTGATAGTGGACCACAGCTGAGGATGCTTGGGCAGGGCGAAGGCGTGTCCAATGCGCTTTGTGTTTAGCAGGATGGCATCCATCATGTTCCAGTCCGTTCGCCCGTTCCAATCTAAAGGGTAAGTCCAATAATAAATGAATAGCTTGGTCTCTTTGGGAATCCTTGGAATCTTACTTGTCTCGCCGGCGTGGAAGAAGTAGTTGGCCGTGCTCGGAAGATCGGACAGCTGGTTAACATACTTATTGAGTGGATCGCCCGTGTCCTCCTGGCCAATCATATCGAATCCTATCACAAAGTTCGGCTTGGCGTGGCTGCATAAAATATTTTAAATTAGAAGATATCATTCCTTTTTTAGGTCTCAATTAAATATACTTACTGCAATTGCTTGAATGTAGTTATACGCCTCAACATATCCTCTTCGCTGGCCCGATTTCGCTTGGCATATATCACTTTCAGACCCACAAAGTCATGGTGTTTGGCCTTGAATTCCTCCACAATCCGCTCCAACTCGTTGGCCACCTCCAGGGTACTCAGAGTTCGATTGTTGTCGTCGTAGAGCTGCGGGAAGTTAGAGGTTGTAAAAGGTTAGATTAAATGGAAAGGATTTATAGTTTTCTGGGTAGAATTATCATTAAGCTCCTCTATTTTCAATATCCAAAAGTTAATAAGGAAAACCAGACATGACTCTATCAACTTGACTGCAAAAATCTATTACCAACCGGCGAAAGAGAGGCTCTAATCTCCGCATAGATAATATTATCCTCGCACAGCTCCTCCAACAGGCGCTTGTGGTAGGCGCAGTATGTGGGTCTATATTTGTAGAGCCGATCGACGGTGGTGAAGATGTTCTCAAAGCGCTCCCATATCTTTTTCCGGTTGGGCAACAGAGCTAGATATTTAAGATTCAAAATATCATTATACTGAAGTCAAGCCTTAGCCATTATCATCACCTTCTGGTCTTGGACCCAGCATATTAATGTGCTTCTCCAGCTGGCGCTCGTACTTGGCCCGATCCTCGGCGTTGATACGCTCTGTGCAAACGTTCTGGACTTCGCTGTGGCACCCAGCCTGATCGTAAGTAAACACCAGCAGCCCGTCTACGTTGCGGCAGGTGTACAGGTTGTTGGTGGTCGTTAGGTTGCCAATGATCCACCGCGAAGTAACCATACCAGTATTGTGACCGTGCAGGAAGGCGCCCTTCGGCATCTTCTGGATCAGCCGGAAGACTTCGCTCTGGCGCACGTATTGTCTGCCTTGAAAGAAGTGCATGGCCGGGGCATACTTCTCCGGTGTCTTGAGACCCTCGGCTATCTCTGCCCGCTTGGCATTCATCAGGATGCTGTTGGCCTTCGCCTCGTCGGAGGTCAGCCAGATGTTGCCTCCCAGCGAGGCCAGACGCTCGGCTTCCATGATCTGCTCCCTTAGCGTTTCATAAGCTGCAGGAAAAAGGATTTGAACTCAATTTAGCCAGAAAGGGGAAGGATAAACCTAATTATTATTTATTTCTTTTAATTTTTTTAGGAATATATTTTTATAGTTTTTATCTTATAAAAATATAACATTAAATAGTAAAATTTATTGAGCTTTTCAATAAGTATTCAAAAATCGGTTTTGTATGGCGGTAATCCCAGTTTGGTATTTTTAAAAGCTTCCCTTGGTAAGCTTACGTATTCCAGCAATGGGCACACTATTTGGCAGTCAACAAAAACACAAATATAAACAATAAGTTTTGCATAAACTCCCTCCGAAAAAACCAAAACAAACCCCACTGGCGCAGCACTACAGTTTTAAATCCAATTAAATGGAGGTGTAAGCATGGACTGTATAAAAATCCTGTCAAGAAACGTTGTTCTAAATGTTCAATTCCAGGAAAAGCTGTCACGATGCGCCAAATGGGTTTGGGATAATGCAATCCTACGATACGCTGTACCGTCAGGATGAGGTAGCTTTACATAAAGAGAATCAACTGGAAGAAGAAGTTTACGACAACGAAAGGGGAACTCGAAAAAGATTCCAGCTCCTCGAGCAAGTAAAGAACGAGCCCATTGAAAACGACTTCCTAATGAAAGATCACCTTTTCAATCAGTCGTATCAAGTCAAAGAAGAAGATCTGAAAGATCACATTCAAAGCGATTATCCTGTTAATGGAACCATTTTTTATGTTAAGAATAATAACATGGAGGAGCAGCAACCGTTCAAGTGCACCCACTGCCCAAAGTCTTTTCTACAAAAACCTAAGCTTCAGCGACACATCAAGACGCACTCAGGAGAAAGGCCGTACACGTGTAGCTACTGCCAAGCGTCCTTTTCACGAAGCGAACACCTTCAGCGACACGTTCGGAAACACACAGGAGAACGGCCCTACAGTTGTACCCTATGCCAGTCGGCCTTCACACGAAAGGAGCATCTCCAGCGGCATACACGGACGCACACCGGCGAACGGCCATACCAGTGTGGTTATTGCCAGGAGTCATTTCTTAAAAAGGAACACCTTCAGCGGCATTTACGGATCCACACAGGAGAACGTCCCTACCAGTGTAATCATTGCCAGGAATCATTTTCGCGGAGCGAACATCTTCAGCGGCACATTCAAAGCCACAAAGAAGGCGAATGACAGAATTGGTTAATTCATTCTCGAGTTTTTGGAATCAGCCTGGGACTTTTCAATATCCTAACTAACTTTGCCTTTAAGATAAGTTCTCGAATAATTAGTTTTAAGAGAATAAACAGCGAAATACACTAAAGTATCTATACGAAACTTATAAACATTTTAATTATGTATATACATATTTATTTTTTACAGCCAATCAAGGCTACGGATTTAAAACTATTATAACAAAATTGATCTCCAGGCAACCAGCAATGGATTAGTTTTCTCATCTTTGTTTATTTTATACTCTGGCAGGGAATTATAATTTTAGTCAGAAGCTGGCAAAGCAGGGAAGTAAAATTGACAATTTTTTCAAAATTTTATAAGGAGTTAAATCGTTAAAATTGTGAAAAATTGCAAAAAACACATTTCTAAACGCAAAATCTAGTATGCAAGTTTATTAACCTTCCAAAAACGAAGATAGAAACGTTTTCCTAATTAAAATAAATGCATTTTTGGCTTAGTTATAAGCGATTTTTGCTTTTATGCCATGATCCTTTGGCAAACTGGAGAGGTATACATATTTCGGCTTCCCGAACTTAGTTTCCTCTCCTTTTTAATATATTTTTTCTTTAGTCAACATTTCCTTTTATGAATTCAGAACTACGTATTACTCATCTATTATATATAGATTACTTTACAGTTTTATAGAGTTACACATAAAAAAACAAAATGTTTTTGTCAAAAAGATCACAAGATCGCCACAATCTGAACAGATAACACAAGGGAATTTTTTGAGAAAAAGGTGAAGCAATCTTTCAACGACTGTTCTGCTCTTTTGGGTTTAGTTGAGCCCTGAGAATCCTTGGAAACTTACGTATGTCCGCTGCCTGCAGGCTGCTCGGCAGCAGGATCATGAATCCCACCAGCAGCAGTCCCAAAAGTAACATCTCTCCGTTTATTCCCAGTTCCGATTTAAAATATACGCCGTAATATTCGATGCGCGTCTCTGGGCGGTCGCCAGCCAACTGATAAAGTCCGCCGTACGTACAAAACTGACCCGTATACGGCTTGTGCAATTTCCACTCTGATCATGATCTTGGACGCTGTGGGAGCAGCGGCAGGCAGTAGTTGCTGCTGCAGTTCAATGACGGAGATTAGTACGCTCCGGCATGGGGCGCGCGAAATGTTTGAATGCCCCCGGGTTTGGCACTTTCGTTGACACTGGCCCCTCGGGTAATTTGCAAATAAATTTCATGACGTCGCATGGTCAGTGCCAAAATGCCCTACACAAAAGTGATCCTGTGCATGCAAATAAATGAATCTCCAGAGGTAATGATAATCGCACTAGTACGTATAGGTCATCTATGGAACCAACCAGGCCGATGGACACTACGCCTTTATCAGCGCAGCTATATTTTTACACATATGTATGTCAAAACATCGGGTATGCTGTAAGAATATTTTTGCATATTGTTGACTAACCCAATTTGCTGTGTTTACCCGCCGAAATTATACTTGACATTGAACGTGAAATCGGGGTATCAGGGCATCGATTAAAAGAATACATTTCTTATTGCTTAAAAAAATAATGTTGTTCAAAGAAACATAAGCAGGGGTATGGTAGGCTTCGTCCTAAATTTGAAATATTTATTGTCTTTAAACCGGAAAAGACTTCGTATTCATATTAAAAACTTATTAAAAATTCTAAGAAATTTGAGTCATCAGTGACGTGGCCTTCCTATGGAACTCTTTGAGCTTGGGAAGCTATAAAAAAGATACAGACATTTATGGTTATTATTAAGGTTATTGGATCTGGGAGGGGTTTTAGTATTAGTGGGTCTCAATCCAGCAAGACATATTTACATATTTGTATGGGTTCTTCATGTAGTATTATTTTAAAGCCAAATATTTTAATTTAATTTCTTAGGCAAACATGTATTAAATCTTAACCTAAAGATTTCAAATTTCTTGCTTTAACAAGCCGAGGATTATGGAGTATATTTTATATTCTGTTAAAACAAAATTAATTAACAAAATCGCTTGTAACAAAAACTAAAAAGTATAAAAAGGAAAAGGGTAGTAATCTGAATAAATACGTACATTTTCTAAATATTATCCTTTTTGTATCTCTGTGCAATCATTATTATTATTTGCTTCACATAGGTGAATTTTCAAATATTTTAAATTTATTCAAAATATCTAGAATTTACATTTATTGTATTTCGTTGTTCTTTAAGGCGTCCTTTCCTTTTCTTTAAGCTTGTTGTTTAGCCAGCTCGGAGTCAAGGAGGGGGTGGTGTTAAACGCAAAAAAAGAATATGTATTATTTGTTTTTTCTATACACAAAAATAAAAAAACATTACTTATAACTAATACATTGAGTTAAAAGGAAACAAAAAACATTAAGAATAAACATACATTTTCTTTAACAATTTTTTTATTTGCACACAAATCAACGTAAGGTTAACGTAATAAACGTCTTATATTTACTATAATTCTAAAAAAATAATCAAAAAAGCAATAAACTAACATTACAAAACACTTACCTGTCCCCGAGCATCAAATTAAGTGCTCTCCTTTTCTGGTTTGTAAGCGAGGATAATTGACAGTTCTGTAATTACCGTAAATGTCGTTAGCTATGCCAAAAGCCGTCCGTGTCGACCACTAGAACCAGCAAGCGTGTCCGCGAACGTCAGAGAAAATTTGCCAAAATAAAAAAAAAAACTTTCCTAACATTCCCCCAAGAATTCCCTAGTAAAATAAAGACAAGTCAACGTGTCCGGTGTCGAGTCAATATTTGGTTAGTGAGCTCATTAGCTGGCCAGGACTAAAGCGACCTTTGACACAATGAAACGATTGCTGTTTCTGCTACTTCACCTGATTTCACATCCGCTGATTCAGTCGGAACCCGCGCTAAGTACGTTGGACAAGGATTCAGAACGATTCCGGAAGTGTTTAATATTTTTCAACATTTTTCTAGGCTATGAGCACGCACGTCAGGCAGTTCTTACGGCCGAGGAGAAGCTCATGACCGGTGGACACACACACCTGAGCACGCAGGAGGCCAAGGTGGACGACATCTTTATGGAATATAAGTTCGGAGAGCTTTCCCAAGGATGCCGGAATGCCGAGCAAAATGCCGCCGCTCTGCACTTCTTCAAGGCCAAGCCGCTGATCGATCGGAGTGTTGTCTTTAACTTCCTGCAGAAGATGCCCAAAGGAGCGGTGCTGCATCTGCACAATACCGCCTCCGTGAGCTCCAAGTGGGTGATCCAGAATATATCCTATATGTCCGGTATGTTGCGATGCACCACGGCCACGGGTCACAGTGTCCTGACCTTTCGGCGGTTGCCGAAGGAACACAAGTGTCAGTCGCAGTATGTCCTAGTGGCCGACGAGCGGAAAAATTCTGTCGACAGGCAGGTTTACGATAATAATTTCGAGAGACTGATCAATTTGTATACCCCAGTTCCGGAACGTAAGTCTGAGAAGGATCCTTTTTAGTTAGCATCATTTTTTAATTGCATCCTGTTTCAGTGGAATATCCCACCATCACCCATGTTTGGGATCGCTTTCAGGACATATTCAGTGTTCTTGGGGATGCTCTTAGCTACTTGCCTGCCTTTCGAGCCTATCACTGGCAGATGCTCGAGGAGCTCTATAACGACAATTTGATGTACGTGGAGATTCGCAGCAGCTGTAAAAAGGTTAATAGTGGTTCCATTAATAAAGTTTCACTGGATTTAAAATATAAACAACTTTCTAACTTCTAACTTGACTTACTGGTCTGTATCAATCCAGCTTTACGATGCCAGTGGACGAACCTTTCCCCGCAAACGAACCATCCGGGAGCTGTATGCCTTAAACAACAAGTTCACCCAGTTACATCCGGATTTCCTAGGCATGAAAATCATCTTCGCCGTCCATCGTGGCAAGGAAGTGGATCAGCTTCGGGAGACCATAGCGGAATTTAAGCAACTCCAGTAAGTAAATGGGAATTCCTTATTTTCAAGAACTGTATTTCGTATCTTTACAGCGAAATGTACCCGAACTTTGTGGTTGGATTCGATTTGGTGGGTCAGGAGGACAAGGGTAAACCACTGTATACCCTGTTGCCAGCCTTGAGGGATTTGCCGTCCACAGCTCGCCTATTTCTGCACGGCGGAGAGACAAGTAAGTGGAACGCCACCACTTTCCATATTCAACTCTATGATATATATTACCTCTTCAGATTGGTTTGGTTCCTCCACGGACATTAATCTCCTGGACGCTCTACTGCTCAACACCACACGCATTGGCCATGGTTATGCTCTTGCCAAACATCCCATTCTACTGAACGCCGTCAAGACCCGGCATATTGCCGTGGAGGTGAGTCCCATCTCAAATCAGGTGCTACATCTGGTTTGGGACATGCGTAACCATCCGGGGGCCCAGTACTTGGCACTGGATGTACCTGTGGTAATTTGCAGCGATGATCCTGGGTTTTGGAATGCCAAGGGGCTCAGCTATGACTTTTACTATGCCATTATGAGTCTGGCTCCCAAAAACGCCGGTCTGCCGATTCTCAAGACTCTTGTTTGGAACTCGTTGAAGTACTCCACACTGACGAAGGAGGAGAAGTCGCGGGCTTTTAAAATACTGGAGCTAAGCTGGACACGTTTTATAGAGAAGGTTCTGCATAAAAAGTCCTGGTGATTTAAAATTTAGTAATTGTTTATCTAGAAAAGGTTTTATTCTTTGTCGTTGAAAGTTGTTTGTTGTCTTAAGAATTTTTCGCAGCTCTCCAGGATTTGTAGATAGGCCGTATGGAAGCCTCCCATGCCTTGACTCTGTGAGCAACACGTGCCACGGTGACAACCCCCTGCAAGAACCGTGCAGGCGGTGGATACTGCGGCAACTGCCTTGCCGCACTATCTCAGTAGTAACCATAATCACTGATCGAGGCCAGCACCCGGTCTCGATCTGCATTCGGCATCACTCTACGGATTCCGAGGCGAGAGAATATCGCGGGCAACTACCTTGCCGCGGTATACTAAAAACCTTATCTTATATATTATTTGTTTTTTCTATACACAAAAATAAAAAAAACATTACTTATAAGTTATAGCTAACACATTGAGTTAAAAGGAAACAAAAAAATTAAACATAAACATATGTACATTTTCTATAACAATTTTTTTGTTTGCATACAAGTCAACGTAAGGTTAATAAACGTCTTATATATACTATAAATCTTAAAAAAAATAATCAAAAAAGCAATAAACTAACATTACAAAACATTTACCTGTCAAATCATCAAATTAAGTGCATCAAATTAAGTGCTCTCCTTTTCTGGTTTGTAAGCGAGGATAATTGACAGTTCTGTAATTACCGTAAATGTCGTTAGCTATGCCAAAAGCCGTCCGTGTCGACCACTAGAACCAGCAAGCGTGTCCGCCAACGTCAGTGAAAATTTGCCAAAATAAAAAAATACAAATAGTTAAAAATTAACAAGCGAAGGGGCGCGCGCGCGCCTTCGTCATTTTAAATCACTTAATATGCAGGGGATGGCATTCAATCGTAGATACAAAAAAAGATACACAAACAATCCAATCCAGCCACTAGAATGAAATTATTTCGGGGGAGAGCGTTGTCAACCGTTAAGAGCCGCAGAGGGTGGCGGCTTCCAGCACCCACCTCTCGTCTAATCTTTTAATGAGCTGGCTTCGCTGAATGATTGTGTCAAACAAAAACAAAATGATTGTTCAATGTTTTTCTTGAGCTGCCAGAGCTGGGCGTGAACAGCCGCTTTCAGCAATGTGGTATCCGCAGTTCTCGTCGGGCACTTCTGGCGTGCGGTCGCAAAAGAGAAAACACTTTCCTAACATTCCCCCAAGAATTTCCTGGTAAAATAAAGACAAGTCAACGTGTCCGGTGTCGAGTCAATATTTGGTTAGTGAGCTCATTAGCTGGCCAGGACTAAAGCGACCTTTGACACTATGAAACGATTGCTGTTTCTGCTACTTCACCTGATTTCACATCCGCTGATTCAGTCGGAACCCGCGCTAAGTACGTTAGACAAGGATTCAGAACGATTCCGGAAGTGTTTAATATTTTTCACAATTTTTCTAGGCTATGAGCAAGCACGTCAGGCAGTTCTTACGGCCGAGGAGGAGCTCATGACCGGTGGACACACATACCTGAGCACGCAAGAGGCCAAGGTAGACGACATCTTTATGGAATATAAGTTCGGAGAGCTTTCCCAAGGCTTCCGGAATGCCGAGCAAAATGCCGCCGCTCTGCACTTCTTCAAGGCCAAGCCGCTGATCGATCGGAGTGTTGTCTTTAACTTCCTGCAGAAGATGCCCAAAGGAGCGGTGCTGCATCTGCACAATACCGCCTCCGTAAGCTCCAAGTGGGTGGTCCAGGATATATCCTATATGTCCGGTATGTTGCGATGCACCACGGCCACGGGTCGCAGTGTCCTTACCTTCCGTCGTTTGCCCAAGGAGCACAAGTGTCAGTCGCAGTATGTCCTAGTGGCCGACGAGAGGCAAAATTCTGTCGACAGGCAGGTTTACGATAATAATTTCGAGAGACTGATCAATTTGTATACCCCAGTTCCGGAACGTAAGTCTGAGAAGGATCCTTTTTAGTTAGCATCATTTTTTAATTGCATCCTGTTTCAGTGGAATATCCCACCATTACCCATGTTTGGGATCGCTTTCAGGACATGTTTGATGTTCTTGGGGATGCTCTTAGCTACTTGCCTGCCTTTCGAGCCTATCACTGGCAGATGCTCGAGGAGCTCTATAACGACAATTTGATGTACGCGGAGATCCGCACCAGCTGTAAAAAGGTTAATAGTGGTTCCATTAATAAAGTTTCACTGGATTTAAAATATAAACAACTTTTTAACTTGACTTACTGGTCTGTATCAATCCAGCTTTATGATGCCAGTGGACGAACCTTTCCCCGCGAACGAACCATCCGGGAGCTGTATGCCTTAAACAACAAGTTCACCCAGTTACATCCGGATTTCCTAGGCATGAAAATCATCTTCGCCGTCTATCGGGGCTACGAAGTGGATCAGCTTCGGGAGACCATAGCGGAATTTAAGCAACTCCAGTAAGTAAATGGGAATTCCTTATTTTCAAGAACTGTATTTCGTATCTTTACAGCGAAATGTACCCGAACTTTGTGGTTGGATTTGATTTGGTGGGTCAGGAGGACAAGGGTAAACCACTGTATACTCTGTTGCCAGCCTTGAGGGATTTGCCGTCCACAGCTCGCCTATTTCTGCACGGCGGAGAGACAAGTAAGTGCAACGCCACCAATTTCCATATTCAACTCTATGATATATATTACCTCTTCAGATTGGTTTGGTTCCTCCACGGACATTAATCTCCTGGACGCTCTACTGCTCAACACCACACGCATTGGCCATGGTTATGCTCTTGCCAAACATCCCATTCTACTGAACGCCGTCAAGACCCGGCATATTGCCGTGGAGGTGAGTCCCATCTCAAATCAGGTGCTACATCTGGTTTGGGACATGCGTAACCATCCGGGGGCCCAGTACTTGGCACTGGATGTACCTGTGGTAATTTGCAGCGATGATCCTGGGTTTTGGAATGCCAAGGGGCTCAGCTATGACTTTTACTATGCCATTATGAGTCTGGCTCCCAACAATGGCGGTCTGCGGATTCTCAAGACTCTTGTTTGGAACTCGTTGAAGTACTCTTCACTGTCGGAGGAGGAGAAGTCGCGGGCATTTAAAATACTGGAACTAAGCTGGACACGATTTATAGAGAAGGTTCTGCAGGGCAGCGTCTTCTGAATAAAAAGTCCTGGTGATTTAAAATGTAGTAATTGTTTATCTAGAAAAGGTTTTATTCTTTGTCGTTGAAAGTAGTTTGTTGTCTTAAGAATTTTTCGCAGCTCTCCAGGATTTGTAGATAGGCCGTATGGAAGCCTCCCATGCCTTGACTCTGTAAAATTAAAGTTACTTTTAGTTACTTTCTAATACAAGGTTAAATTTTGATATTACAAAATATGGATCCTGGATAATTTCGTCCTCTTTGCGACCTATGTAGCTGCCCAAGAGTTGAATCTTGCTCTTGGGTGGAACCTCCAGCGCGGAAGCCATTTCTTGAAGTTCTATCAAGTTACTGGTGTCCATAGCCAGGATGTAATCAAAGACCATAAAGTCCTGTGGTGTTATCTAATGAAAAATACCTCAAGATGACAAGGTTTTAAATGTTTTTTTTTTTGAAGAACTTACCAAACGACCCAAGTGCTTAGTTTTAAGACCATGCTGCTTTAATATGTTCTGGGTTCGTGGGTTTGGTTCAACTCCCACATTCCAATCCCTGAGCCCAGCACTGTCCACATGCCAGTCCTGAAGATTTTCCTTCAAAATTAAATGGCTTAGAATGGCCGCGGCCATGGGAGAGCGGCAGGTGTTGCCTTCGCAGGAATAAAAAATAGTATTAAGGTTTGTAAATATTAGTTTTTATTTGTTAAACAACTTACCAATGCACACAAAGAGAACCTTCATATTCAGTGTTAAGAACTGCAAGTTCCGGTTACTACTGCTGCTGATTCATTTAAGAACATTAAAACCAGTTCACGCTTTTGTACCAGACATTTATTAATTTAAATCACAATGTATATTTTCTATAACATTTAATTTTGCAGCCGCTCTTTCATAAAGGCGGCACAGGCCACAACACACTGCTGATAGGCGGTCTCGAAGCCCTCAGCTCCACGTTCCTGGAATGTCACAGAGAGGTCAAGTTCATATATTATAGGTTATAGGTCGCATTCCCCGTTAAAACACAGCCTACTTACATAGTAGGGATCCTCGATGATGCGGTTCTTCTTGTCCAGACCAAAGTCACCCAACATCAGGAGCTCCGCCTTGGAGCCCTTGGGCGCCAGGCGACGCAGCTCGCTCATGTTGTCCTCGTCCATGCCGAAGATGTAGTCGAACTCGTTGAAGTCCTGCTTGCGGATCTGGCGCACAATGTGAGTGCACTTTAGGTCGTGCTGCTTCAGTGTGCTAATGGCCCGCGGATCCGCCCGGTTGCCCACATGCCAGGATCCTATGGCGGCGCTGTCCACCTCCACATCGGAAACCTTTGCCTTGGCCAGCGTTTCCACCATTACCACCTCGGCAATGGGCGAGCGGCAGATGTTGCCTGGAAGATGAAATGAGTTGTGCTTGGTTTTTCAAGGTTCGAGAAGGATTTTAGTTCATTTAATTACCCAAACAAATCATAAGTATTTTCTGCACCATCTTTCTGAAAACAATTTACAAGTAATTTTACCGGCTGATGAACGAGGGCTCCTGATGTCCCAGCCCTGGATTTACCGTCAGCTGTCCGCCTTAACCCCTAGACGGTCTCTCGGGGTTCGTTCACAAAATTTGCTCCATGCGGGCTTGCTCCAAGAATTTTTGGCACGCTATGCTGCACTTTTGGTATATCTTTTCGAACGGTTCCTCGCCCACACTCTGGGAAAAATTAATATAAAATTATTTTTTTAATTAATTATAAAGAAAGATTGAATTAGTTTGATATTTTAGTCTTAAGGTAAATATTTAATAGTTCTTTGGCTTAATTTTGAATTATTTGTTAATATATTCAGTGAATAACAGCAAATATATAGAGTTCTTTAATATCATATCATAGCTCTAATATTAATTAATTAATTAATTATATTAAAATTATTCGATTTTGGTTAAGAGTAAAACCAACAGCCTAAGAATATGCTATATAAAAAAGCATCGGCAATATATGTATATATATAACACAAAACGAATGATTTAGATAAATTAATTGAATAAGCTAAAAGGCTTTAGAAAAATATAAATAATAATGAAAGCCAAGGTTTTCATAATAACACTCTGTTAATGTTATTGTACATAGTTAAAAACAAAAATATATATTCATATAATGTAGTATCCATTACTTTCCTGGTACTTTGAAGAAACTCATTTTGTTTATATTAAATTTTTTTGTAATCTTCCAACCTTTTCAACGAAATTATAAAATTTGAAGGTTTCGCTAAATTTTATAAAATAATTTTTATGAACTCACATAATAAGGATCTTCAATAATACGATCATCTGGTTTCAGCCCGAAGTTCCCCAGCAATAGCACTTTGGCTTTGGCATTATCCGGGGCCATACGCTTCAGAGCGGCTAGATTGCTCCTATCCATGCCAAAGATATAGTCAAACTTCTTAAAATCGTCAGTGGTCAAAACCCTGGCATAACCAATGTAGCTTATGTTGTGCTTGGCCAGGACACTTAATGCCCGCTCATCCGGCATGCTACCCGAGTGCCAGCCTTCGATCGCCGCGCTCTCCACGTGCCACTCCTTCTGCAGGCCCGCCTTGACGATGACCTCACCCATAACCGCTTCGGCAATGGGGGAGCGGCAAATATTGCCTATGGGAGTGGTAGTTCCATTTGCATATTAATTAAAGAAATTCATGCAGGGATTATCCTAAGTGTATACACACCCACGCAGACCATCAGCACACTGCTCTTTTGCGATCTCTTACCCATGGGTTAGCTCAGGAGTTGGGTGTTTTGGGGTTGACTTTGGGATCTTGGGTGGGACTTTGAAAATTTTGAAGATAATTATAGTATTGTACAAATATTTATACAAAATGAAGTGTATATAATATGAGAGAGGTGTGTAAATTTCTGTGGTTATATGACTTTTAACAAATACGTTGACTAGATCACTGTATATGTAAAATAATATTTATTTATTATAATTTTCCAAAGATAAAAAAAAATTATTTTGATTCTGTAATGACATAATGTTCTCATACCTACAAATATTCCTTCTTTTTTTGGTAAATGCTCAAGTAAAAAAACGTTTAAAGAAAGTGAAAAAAAGGATGTGTCAAAACACCATCTTGAACTGACAAATAAAATAAAATTTCTGACAAATAGTTTACATTTTTTTAATCTTTATGGATTTTTAAAGATTTTAATTGAAAAAGCTATTTTCCAGGACCTACTATGGGAAATATCTAAGGCCTGAACAATAGAAAAATCACAGCACAAGCCCTGTATAAACATTTGAATCATATAAACATTTTCAAAATCCCTCTAAGCGGGGTTGAGCAGGCAACCTGGAATTCAGACGTTATGCTTTGTCAAGTGGTGCCTGCCTGGATAGATCACACCTCCGGCACTTCCGGCTGCTGCAGCACCACATCCTGTTTACCCACCATGCGTATTTACCCCAAAACTGACTAGAAACTGCGCTGAAAGCAACTTCAACTATTAAAATTTAATTAAAGTTCATTTGCCGGGGACAGACGAGGTCACTACCACCGACGCCCAGCCTTGGGATAGGCCACCTGCAGCCTGGGAAAAACTTTTGCCAAGTGGAATGAAGAGGTGATGAGCTCTGGTCTCGGTCTCGGTCGGTTCCCCCACTGTACTCCTACTTTTAATTTTTGTTTCGTCTTGTATATGCAAGGATTGCATCTCCAGCAGCTGCTCCACCTTCCCAAAGGACAGGGCTGGGCGGAAACTAAGAGCAGGTGACCAGCTCTGGCAGAGAAATATAAAGTTGCTTTTAGAATAAATTCGGTTTGTTTTTGAGTTTTATGCAAATTGTATACAACCATCGGAGCAAACAAAAGCCAGACGTTGTATATGTGCATAAGCTTTGCCGGGTTGCTGTAGTTGTTGGGGGGCGGCTTTGATGGCATCAAAGTGAGCTTGTCGTTGTGCAGACAAATGTTACGTACTCTCGTCACACTCTTACATATGCAAATGTCCTCGGTTGGCGCTGCTGGTGCTGCTGCTGCAGTGCGTCCTCCACAATTGACAATTGTTGAAAATGCAAATGGAAATGGAAATGGAAATGCCAAGACATGTGCCCAACAGCAACACCAGCAATCCAGCAATCCAGCAATCCATGCATATGCCTCCGCAGAGGAGGAGGGCAGAGGTGAAGACAAATGCAAAGGCGTTGTCACTGCTATCATCATCCGGCGACGACATCTCCTCAGATAAGATAAACGATGGCAGAGTCAACACTGCAACCACTGTGACTCAGGGATGGGCATTTAGTCACAGAAAATGTATAAATCACCATTAACTGGCCTTAAATCAACTACCTAAAGGATCACAGATACAACAAAACTCGTTAAAGGTTTGAATTCAGTTGAAAAGCAGCCCAAACCCAGACAACATTTACATGCTGCTAAAACTATTACTATTTCATGAAGGATACTAAGGATTCTGTTGATGGTTTCCACCAATTTAAAAGCAAATTCACCCCACTAGATATTACAAAATCGGTCAACCAAAACTCTTTGCAGTGTAGATGGGATAGGTCAGTGTAAATAAATGAATACCTCATTCGTAGTCGCACCGCAGGCCGAAATAAATGCTCAAGTGCAAATGAGGTAAGTGACAAAGGGGCTCGTAACAATCATAACCTCTGTGGCACCTCCCTCTACACCTACCTAGATTCCCGACCGTCCCTCTGTTGAGCAGTTGACAGTCGAGACCAAACATGTCCGAGAAGAACATCCATTTTGCATTTGGCAAATGAAAAGCGGAAAAGCTGACGTACTACTAGCTGGCAGACAGCCTGTCTATGCACTGAGCGCTATCTCTATCCAGCTGTATCCGCCTGTACCTCTTTGTATCTTGTATCCGTATCTCTGCCTCTGTCTGCCTTTTGCAGCTTCATCAAATATTTAGCGCCAGGCAGGCGTCGTCTTGCTCTCAGGGGGAGTGGGAGCGGGCAGGAGGAGCGGCGGGTCGTACAAATAAGCGCATTCATTGTGCTCGTTCAGTGTAAATACGAAACGGACGTAGCACTGCTTGGAAAATAACAACTTTGAAAACTTTGGAGGCCAGTCTCGACTCGGGGATACTGTTCGAGGATGTGAAGTACTTTTAATAAGATATCTCTTTTCACAAATATTAAGATTTTTAGATACATATGGTACAAATTATATTGCAAGAGTTCGAACTTGCATTGTAAAGTTATAAACAAAGATCCCACAGTATAGCAAATGAATTTGCTGCAATCAATTGTTAAATATTCCAAAAATAAGAAATGAAATATCTTATTTTTCAAATGGATTCTTTTTTTAATATTATATCATTATTTTAAGACTTCATGTTGGTTTCTTTGAAAGTACTTATAATTGAAACTTCCTTGTTAAGTTTACCCAAACATCTCCGCATTTCCATTGATTTCTGAAATTGATTTTCAATATCATTACTATTTGCATAATAACTTTTTTATATCTGTAATAAATATGCATAATTTCTGAGCTTCGTGTCTGAAGCGTTCCAATTACCGTGCTCAAAACTAATAAATAAAACAAACTTTAATGGCATTGCTTGGAGGCTTCGTTTATTTGTTAATTCAACTGTCCTCCCACACCCACGACCCGATGCTAGGCGGAATATACCCCTGCAGCAGATGATATTAACTATATAGAGAGACGGGAAAACTACCCTGCAATATATTGGGGGTGGACCTAGCAGTGCCAACGACCAGGGATAGCAACACCAACAACAAGAACAACATCAACCGGCACAGCCAAAAAGCCGGCAACAACAAACCGCTGTCATACTGGCAACATGTGGCTAACGTGTCACCGTAGATGTTGCTAGCATGCAGTCGTGCTGGCAACATTTATTGCAGTTGTAAGAAGAGACTCATTGTGGGACAAACAACCACTTTTTGTGCATTAAATGTTAACTTTAAAAGCGAATTATTCATTTTAGGTTCTGTTATTTGAATCAAGTCTATTATTTTCGGATTTAATTGTTTCCTCGAGAATTTTTTGAATATAATATAAATTACTTGGCAAAATAATAGAATTGTGTAAGTATCGTATTATAAATATTTTTCACATTAAATGTTCTCTTGGATTGTGCAGGATGCAGTATCATATTATTATACACCCTATTTTTCAAGGAAACTAACTAAAACAACTGAATTTGAGACTATATAATGCACAAATTTAGCAAACCAGATAAAAATATGACCATGTTCGTATCACTTTTGGTTTTTTTTAACGTTTCATAAGTAAAAGAAATTAAATTTTCAAAATGTGATGTTGAAGTTAAATTTCACTTACACTTTTAGAATATAACAAGAATAAATAACTACAAAATGTATTTAGTTCTTAAGGTGGGAGAGCAGGACTCACTTTATTGCTCAATGTTAATATTGAAATACACTAAAAATGTATAATATTTTTAGGGTTACACTGTCTAATTATAAAGTTAAAGCCCACAGACATATAATAATGGATTTTGGCTAGAAAAGGTAGTCGTTCGTCCCATAGTGCGACTCTTGAAACCCTCTGTGTGTGTGTGTTTCAATGTATCTCGTTGCAACTTGTATATATACAAGTAAAATGTTGCTAGCAACATTGACGCGTTTTGAAAAACTTGTTTTCAACGTAGTTGGGTTTAGTTTACTTTTTGACGGCAACGCAGGTTGATGCGGGAGCGGGTATTAAAGCAGACGCGATTCGAAACGTAAACGGACCGCGTTATAAAAATATACACCAACAACAACATAGGTTCAGTGTTTGTCTTTAGTTTTATAGCGCGCGCGACGCGTCAGGTAGTTTTCACAGCGATATATATATATATATATGTATTTTTTGTATTTCGCCTCACGGGCGATTTTATGGCTGACAAAACCGTCGAGCGTGTAAAGGTTGTTAGCAGCAGCGCGCTGTGTACTGTATTCTGCGTGAAAAGTGCTAGTGCCAGAGATTCAGTGTTTACCCGCGCCGGGATTACTCATCGCATCATCCATCTCAATCGAGCGACGACCAACGCCAGCAACTCCACTTTGGTGGTTTCTCCGCTGGCTTTACAGGCACAACTTTACAAAGTCCCGAAACCAGTATCTCAGCCAATGTATCTGTAAGATACGAGAGAGGCAGGCCAGGCCACATATTGGAATTTACTTAACACGTATGCAACGCACCAACACCGACAGCAGCACACCGCATCTTGGATCGTCGTCTATTGGATTTTGGACACTACTCACGCACATCCCAGGGTAGGTAGTCTCGTTTTGATCTGTGTCCCTTCCCAGGAAAACCTCTCGCACACAGGCACTTGTCCAGCTGCATTTGCTTTTCCACCCTCGGTTTACGTTGGCTAATGAATCCGACCTGCCTCTCCGCTACCTGTCCCCTCGCACTGACCCCGGTTGGTCGGTCGGTTTTCCCATTAGCCGCTAGAAGATTTCACTGCACATATCGAAAGCTGTGGCTATTTATAAATGCCCTGCTCGGGGAGCCCGGTTCGACCCGGCTTACGCGCCGTGCGTTACGGGCTCCCTGGCCTGGCCCAGGCTCGGAACCGGTTTCAGGGGTATCGCTCTACCTTTCCCCGCCTGCCCTTATCCCATATATACTATGCCATATCCCATGTCCCATCCGATGTCTGGCGGGGCCCAACATCAATTCAATTTCTACTGGCTGAGTGAGTTTTTAACTCTCAGTAAATGACACGGTAAAAAAATAATGAAGATCACTTGGATTCTATTTTCTTTAAAAGATCAATCAAATATTTAAATATTTTTTAAACACGATATCATAGTTGATTTAGGTTTGAATTATAACCAATATATTATAGGAGCTTCTCTATTTTGTTTGTGTGCCTTTAAATTTGTTCTGACACCTAAGATACATTATCCCTTTGAATCGTCAATCTTTAAGACATCAATCAAGTTTGGTAAAGTATTTTTTTTTCGTGCAGAAGAATCTCCAGGTCGAGCATCTTCGCTTCCAACTCTGGAGCTGGTTTCGAGCTGTTTTCTTTTCCCTCGCTTTGTTTTCTTTTCTTGCGCTTCGTTTCGTTTTCGTTTTTTACTATTTGCCAATCGTGTTGATCATGATCATGATCACGTTGCTGCTGAATCCGATGCTGTGGCTTATTGCCGCCAAGATTTGTTGTATTTTTTTGTTGTTGTGTTTGCGCCACTAAAGAAGGTGCATGGCCTTATTTACCCAGTTTCCAAATCGCTCACCGATTTGTGCTTATTCTTCTCCTACGTCTCTCTACGTCCGAGGTATTTGCTGAATCACACACGGCTGTGGATCATTTGAATTTGTTAGCCAGGCAGTCACTGGAATTGGAATCGGAATCGGGTTTGCGGAGTCACACCCAGCACGGCGGGCTGGGCAAGTATCCCGCTCCGGATTTGACTCACGGCCAAACAATGCGACATGCGGAGAGGGAATTGTTGCGGGTCTGCCGCTGGCACGACAAAGAGAAAAATCAAAATGCAAAACTTGTTGCTAATAAACAACAATTACAACAACAAAAACAAGTTCAGCTAACCACAAATATGCTGGCAGCCAACTGTATACAGTGGAGTCGTTGCCCAGGAGCTCTGCGCACCAAAACAAGTCGCAGTAGAAGCCGCAGTCGCTGTTGCTGCCGCTGTCACACTAGCCAGCAGCAACACCAAGAGCAACAGCACCAATTTGTTGTTGATGCACAGACAAAACAGAAAAAAAACTTTGTACCAACAAATCGAGTTATTTGTCCTATAAAATGGTTAGTTAAGTTCTTTGAGCGGAGAACTAACCATATTTTTTACAAGGTCTTCGTTTAATGCTTTGATTCCTAAAAGCACGAATGGTTACGAATTGTTATTAAGAGCCCACACGAAATGAGGTTCTTCTATCGCATTTCTTTAAAATCTATCTAATAACTTTTTCCCAGTGCATGTATACTTTTTGTGTCCCCATGTAATGACCATATAGAAAAAGCAGCCAAGTGGCCAGCTGCCTTAGCTCTCTTCTGGTAGAAAGACCAAAGACCAGAGAAAACGCTGTAGCTGGTATCTGCTGCGACAGCCATAACTGTGTCAGTGTGCAACTGGAAGAGGTCCAAGCCTATTAAGCTCGCTGGCTTAAGATCGGCCGATGCTAGGAGGTGGTAATGCCTCCCAGGCGATTAAGTGTAATTAATGCCGACAGGTGTCGCAGAATTAGCGCAAGCTCAAAGAGACTGCGTTGCCGACCTAATTGGTTCCTCCAATTAGGAGAGACAGAGCCTCCAGTGACCGCACTTATGCCTCAAAAGGCAACGTGTAAATTAGGCGCTCATTTTATTCACGTGATTAGCATGTGGACCGCTTTCGATCGTTGGCACTCCTATTCCATTCATCTAGAATTCTACATCTCTTCCTGACTGCGGCGGACGCAACGTGCAACCTTGCGCTTGAACTCCTTGAAATCCTCACGCCACTCCTTGGCCGCGTCCACGTTGGCAGCAGACTCATCGTTGGGATCGGTCAGCATCGAGATCACCGAGAGGAGGATCGTTTCGACTGTGTGAACTGGCAGCCAGCGCTCCTCGGCCTTCTCGTAGCCCCACTTGTCATCCCCCGGCTCGTGGAGGATCGAGATGCAGACGTCGCCGGACTTGTCGATATTCGGATGCCAGATCTCCGTTATGAACTTCATGCGCGGCGGACGCAACGGGTACTCCTTGGGGAAGATGAGGTGGGCCTTGAAGCACCCGCCCTCGTAGAGGGTGTCGGGCGGGCCGATGATCACCACCTCCCACTTGAAGATGTCCGTGTCGCTGACCAGGCCGGCGGAGAAGCCCTCGACCGGATTGAGCTGCAGCTCGGCGAGCTGTCGATTGAGCAGTAGCGATGCTTGCAGTTCGGACATGTCACTGGGCTGCAGTCAGATGAATGAAGATCGTGGTGGAGGTAGCAGTAAAGGTGGTTCTACTTACTGGAATTTTGTTCAAATATTTTCGAGTCTCTTTCTGGTTATCTATTACAGCTGCTGAACTACGCCGAATGCTACCTACTACTGCCAACAGGCAGACAGTGACAGGTCAGGCACTGGCATTTCTAATATAGGCTCAGGCTCCGATCAAGGGGCTCTGGGATGGGTCTTAAAATATCAATATTTCTATGAAATTCAAATAAATTACTATTACAAGGTCTTTAATCATCTTTAAGCTCGCCGAAAAGTTCCTCTTTGTAGAAGAATGCCTAAAGGCCTGAAAAGATCAATCCGCAAAAGCCAGATTCCGGAATGCCTGCTGCAATCTCTTTACAGTAGTGCAGCATCCCTTTGAACGGCTTTGTATAGAAACTATCTCCATAGAAATCCTCTTAAAAGCAACTTGAAAGTTTCCATTATGAGCGCTTTTGCTCTTGGTCCGGAATGGGTCCGAGGAAAGTCTGTCGTCCTCTTGCCTTTCCCTCCATTACGTGCAATTACTTGGCCGTTGCTAATGCCACTGTTACTTCTTTTCCTTTTCCAATTTTTTTTTTGTTGCTTTTGCCAAGCTGGCTGAATGGAAATTATGATGGCCGCCACATTGTTGCCGTTGGTTTTGGCTTTCGTAATTGCGCACAAATGTCGGCACAGAGTTTTCTGGCCTGCAACTTCGACCACGACATGTGGCTGCGGTGCCCCTGCTCTTGCATCTATCGGGTTTTCCCCTGCCACCCCTCTTAAAAACTCTGCCAATTGCATTTTGCTGGCATTTTGAAATCCCGCCAGCTCGATGTCCCCCTCACTCTGTATGGGGAGATCGGACTATCGCTAACTGAAATTATGTTGCCGCAAATGTGTGAATTGTTAATGTCTCGTTGCCAGCTTGCCTGGGGAATACTGCATATGTTGTGCCTTCTATAGTAGACTGACTTTTGAAGCACATAAAAAAATAATAAGCTGTATTAGGTTATAATTGGATTTTGTATATTATATATAGAATTTAACTTCAAACAGAGTCAAGATTGCTTAGTTGTAAGATATTTAAAAGCCCAAGTTTAATGTTTTAAAATAAAATACAAACTAAGATGGCCAAGTTACCAAGTATGGGTTTAGAAACATATAGATAACATGTTAAAAGTCGATGCTTCCCATAAACTTTAAACTTTATTGTTTAATAACTCCATTGCTTATACTCGAATTAAACTTAACTTCGAAATTCAAGTTTAATAATCTTTAAATGGCTTGCAGGTTTAAAAATTAACCATTTAGTTTGTGCAGTGTAGTAACGCGCATTTCGGCACTGCCGGTTTTTCAAGTTTTCCATGCAACGCGTTTTCACAAAAAATTCCAAACAGCGTTTGCTTCGCTTTTTTTATGCATTAGTTGTTGTAATAATATTTACCTAGCATTGCTATTGCTGCAACAGCAAGAGCGGGAACATGTGCGGAGTTCCTCTAACAGAACCAAGTCGGATTCGAAATTTTGCTAAATTATCCAGCACATGCCGAGCGGCGGAGGAAAACATGTTTGGCCAGCTAGCAGCACATAAGACTGACAGCTGCTGCTTGGCCGGTTCTCTCATTCTTTCCATATCTCCAACTCCATCGCCATCGCCAGCTCTCGGCCTCCGTTGCCCACTCCGCCCTGCCCATTTAAGTGCCACATGTCGGAGACGTTCCGCCAGATCCCGCAGGGAAAGCGATATGACAGCGGCAGCCGGGAACTCACACGTGCCACAATGCGACTCCGAGTTAGAAGCGATTTTACACTGACTTTACAATTGAGTTTCGAAATCACAGCAAGATGTGTATAATTATTAAAATGATAATGAAGAAGTGAGTGTTCATTTTATGATGATAGGTTTAATACTCCCTGGAAAAAATGTTGATTACAATTTTAAAATATATGAATAATGAGTATAAAGAGAAAGCAAAATAATATCTTTATTTTCAATTATGTATTAATTTATGTTTAAAAGAATCTTAGATAAAGGAATAATAATTAAAGATTCATATAATTTATTCAAACACATCATTGTTCAAATAATTTATAGACTGTTTATTGACAAGTATATTGTTGTTTAAATTAAGGCAATAAAAACGAGATCAAATCAATGCCCCATTCATATCTTATTTATTGTTGCATTATGTTTATATAAATTCGATAAAATTTCCATAAATCTTTCACATTTATTTTGATAATTTACGTTTTGCCAAGATCTTTGATTTTTCTTCAAGAAATCTGAGATGAAATTCTAAGATTCTCCTAAAATATGACTTATTTCTTGCTGTGTGGAAAACTGTCGCTCTCGTGCTCATCGCTTGTGATAAAGTGCCGGCATTTCAACTCATTTCGGCTTACTTTGTGGAATTGATTTTCAATATTCATTAAGACGCCCCACACACTGCCAAACACACATCACACATCACCGCGGGTTCGTTGCCTTGGCAATGGTGGCGATTAATACAGGGGTGGGTGGCTGGAGTTCATCTGCTTGTGCCGGGTTTCCCTCAGTTTTTGGGTGGGCGTGGCATGGTTGCATGCGACAATTGCACTTCCGGCAACAACACCAGCCAGCACACACACTCCACTCCTTAAAACTCCCTGACATTGCTCTGCCATTTTCTCTCTTCGCTCAAACGATTCTCGATTCTCGAAGAGGAGCAGGTGCTCTTCCCGGCTGCGTGCCTCAAATTGCTGGCTCATGTTGCGTCCATCAAACAGCTGACGGCGTCGATCAATTGAAATTGCTTTTTCGCTTTCTACCATCGCCCGCCCTTCGATGTTGCATCGCTGCTGCCGTGTTGCTGCGGTTGCCTCTTGTCGCTCTGTGATGACTTCCTGGAACTAATGGCTGATGAATCGTCTTGGGAGTCGTTCATGAAATAGAAAAATTAATAGCTGAGGTTCTTTGAAATCAAAGCTGTGGCCAAGACTTTTTATTGAGATAGAATTTATTGCTTCAATCTTGTTTTTTGTGTTCTATATTTTCTTGTTGAAAACACATAAAAAATTAAAGTTATCATGTCAGAGCAAGTAGGTAAGCAGAGCCTCTCTCTGCGCTTCTCATAAATTCAACTTAAGTGAGTGACCAACTGGATTTTAGTGCTTTATTGGCCCTCTGAGTTATGCACTGCCCCCCCGAGAACACAATTTCCAATTGCATGCAGAAATATGAGCAGGAACTGCTCTGTGCTCGGAGCTCTGGCCATTATTTCGTTCCGCATAGAGGGAACAAAACAATGCCAAAGAGAGAACTCAATAAATTGCAGAAAAGCGAAAAGTGGAAAGAACTGAAAAATAAACAAGAACGAAACTGCAGTACCAGTAACAAAACCAAAAAAATAGTGAAGAAAAACAAGCTTTCCACTTGCAGTTTTAATGTGTTTTGTGCGTTGCTCCTCGTTTTATAATTGAGTTGGCAGTTGCAGCCAAAGTTGGAGCTGCAGCAGCAATGCACTCACCCACCCGCCACCATACCAGTCAGCCCCATTTCCCGGCCGCAGCCCGCTTTTCCCGGGGGAGTGGGAGTTGTGCACTCGTGTGCACTGAATGCGAAAAAGTTCCGCACACTTTTCGACTGAAACGCGATATTATTATACGTATTTCCCATATTTTTTATTATTATTCTCATAACATCCAGCCCCGCCCAGTGCGGACTTACCTTTATGCGCCGCCCTAAAATGGAAGCGCAAACACAAACGCTCGGGGATCTGGTGCACGGTGGCTGCCAGTCAGACAAAAACCACCATCCTTGTAGGGTTCCGTAATGAGCGTTTCCGTCGAAACCCTATTCCCTTTTTCCACGCTTGTCAAAACGTAGATGGAAAGTAATATTCAGAAGAATACAATGAGAATATCTTAAATTATATAATTTAACGAAAGTGCACAGCAAATGAAGATTGTTTTAAGTACATTTTATTTTTATTTTTATAATTATTACTTATTAAAATGCATATACTTATTTATTTCTCTGTTTTTTTTGCTTTCAGATTTTTCCTGACATTCCGGTAAGTTGCGCTAATGCAATAGGACATAAAATCCTTACCTCCCAGAGACTTAGAAGAAGTTTACGATTTTTAAATTAATTTCAATAGCTTCTATATACTCTTTTTTTGTGAGTGCACTGGCACTTGGCCGCATTTAAAAGCACATATTCTTTCTATCACCGCACAGCGGGCTTTAAGCTGGATCGACGCTCCATAATCGCTACATTTTTTGCTTCATTACCGGCCTTTCCCTGCAATTGGTCTGTAAATTGTCTAAAGCCGATGAAAGATCACCCAGGAAGCCAGAAAGAGCAGCTCTTAATTTACTTGGGCCATAAACGGCACCACTTTCCTATGTGTATTTTCCGGCCCAGCAAAGTGTGAAGTGTGGGGCATTATGCGTACGAGTGTATTTCATAACTCACTCTTATGGCTGGCAAACAAATGAGCAAAAGTGTGCTAGTCTAGTCCGGACTGGGAATGGAGCCCAAGCCAGAGTCGGAGCCCCAGCCCCGTCTGCCAGATGAGCCGTTAGACAGCGCCGATGGTGCCCCCAGAGTTCATTTACTCCGCTTGGCCACCAAGAAAATTCTATGGAAAGAAAAGGCTCAAAAAATGCCCAGCAACGTTATTTGTAGTTTTTATTTCTTTTCTTTTTCTTGGCTCATATTTTGCTAGAACATTTTCGGTTTTTTGTGTTTTTGTTGTCTTCTTTTAAATGCTCGGCTGGGCTAAGAGTGAAGAGGGGTCAGGCGGGGGCTTGAAAAAAATCCAAGCTTGGCCTGAAAAAAGTGCTTATTAAATTTAATGACAGCACGCTGGCTTGCGAAAAGCGATTTGACTTTTTTATTTCAAGCTTTTTTCCAGCCTTTGGTTATATAGCTTTTTTGAGTAGTTTTTTATTTTTTATTTTTTGTTTTCCGTTTATTGGGGGCTGGGGCTCATTGGGAGCACTGAGGCCATAACAGCACAGTCTTTAAGTTTAATTATGTGGCAGGGCTTCTTGCCCCGGCTTTGACTCCATCAAATGGATCGTAATGGCCATAATAGTTATACAGTTTCAATTGAAAAGGTAACAAATTTTATTGTTCATGAGGCTAAGTGGAGAGGAAAACGAAAGTTTAGATTTGATTAATTCCACATTTCCTTTTCAACTTGGAGAATTTATTTGTCTATCATTACAGCCACAGGATAGTTGGTGAAAATGTTGGGTATGTTATTACTTATTAGATTAATTGCCATTTTAAGGATGTTTCATTAAGGGAAAGGTCATAAGTAAAGAAAAACCTTGATCGAAGCTATCTCAAAAATAAACCTCTTTTTATATTAAGTAAGCCCTGATTGATGTCCGTTAACAACTCCAGCAATCAATGTCCACTACCTGGTAGTTTGCCAACTTAAAATGCAGTTTCCCTTTTTACCCGACCTGTCACTGTCTTATCCCCCTTTATCCTTTAGCGATTTCCACCTTGGCCAACTGTCGCTGCCTGTCCGGCTTCCCTGGGATCTCTCACAATTATGAACGACAAACTGGCATAAATTTATGACTAGCATGGACTCCGGTGGAGTTTTGGCATTTGCAGGCAGCCAGCAGGCGGCAGTGAAAGTATTTTAATTAAATGGGGGACGGAGCGCTTTAGACCTGCAGGTTATGAGGCGGTAATTTGCAATTTCCCCGCACAAAGACGTGGCTCACTCGGTTGGCTTATTATTCAACTGGTTTCTTGGTATGTTCCCCCTCTATCAAGTGGGAGCTCGCTCGCTGCTGCTCGTTGAACTTCAAATTGTGTGCGAAAAAAGTGAAATTCGCCTTTGGCGGCTCACTGCCACTCTGTTGCCAAGTTAATGAACTGCGGCTGGGGCAAATCTGGGAGCAGGGCCAAAACAGGAAGCAACTTTGTAACATTAGCACAGTTCCCTCTTAGGCAAGACACAAAAACTATGCTAATTTCTTTCTCAGCTAGGCGGGGGATTTATGAAATGAATTCGTTTTCGTTTTTAAAGAAACCCTCGAAGACGAGGAAGGGCAGAGAGTGGGTTGCGTGTCAAGGCGTTGGCCACAACTGTTGACTTTTATTCACACAATTACAGGCGGCGAATTTGCATTCACTTCCTCCTTCGCTCACCTGCTCCGCTCACCTGTTCGACTCACCTGTCACGCTCGAGTGACTCCTCGGGGGAGACGCTTCACTTGTTAACAATTAAAGACGAACCCTTGACTTTGGCCAGAGAAATATGAACATGTCTCAATGGAGAAAGAGATTGAGCCCGATTTCGAGAGTTATGTCTTAATAATAAATACAATAAATTAAGAAAACATTTAGTTGATAATCTACAAAGTTCGCCCACTTATTCAAACCATCTAATTAGCTTTCTTTTGACAAAGCCCATAGCTTTGTTTCGGGCCTGCGAATTAGCATTTTCGAAGCAAACAAAGTGGACATGGAAATACTCAAAAACTCCTATAAATAATTCAAAACTGACCCCGTGCGGCTTTCATTTCATTTCAGACGGTTTCGTTTTGTTTTCCTTCGTTTTGCGGGGAAACGATTGTTTTTCATGTGACGCAGCAACAGTTGTCTCTGGTCTCTGATCTCTGGGTCTGTGGGAACGTCTCGAAGAAGTCATAAAACTAACTGTTGAGCGGAAATTAACACAGATACTCTCCAGGCCAGGCCAAGACGGGTCCGAAGAGCCCTTCAGCTTGGTTCGGGCCAAACAACAATCGGGCCTCTATGTTGTGTTATGGCATTACCTTCCGATTGAGATGTAGATGTAGATGGGTGGTGCCAGATAGCCGGCGGACAGGTGATGAGCCCCGGGAGAGGATTAGGTCTTGGTCTAAATAGCCATCAGATGACGTTGCACAATGCGGGTAATACGAGTATTCATGTATGTGGCTATCATTAGTCGACAGTTAGTCTTTTAGATCGAAGAAGTGGGTCTCCGGAATGTTTGGTGGCAGTTAAGTTGCGGATTGGGCACACACGGTTCATTGTCAAGGCATTCGTGTGAGTGCTTTCTTGTCTTGGACGAGAGATCTTTCAGAGGAAGGGCGATAAAAGACCCTCTCAATAACAAATTGATACGCTTGAGGCGACTTCCTCCATAGATCTAGGTTGCCCCAACTGCACTGGCACCAATTAATATAAGATAAATCCCTAGATCTTATCACAGTAACCTGCATTTCCTGTCCCACACTGAGGGAAATGTGAGATAAGAGGTTATAAGTCAGAAATGTAAATTAAAACATATACATATTTTTACATAAAATTTCTAGAATCATATCAAAAATGTTGATGGTTTCGATCAAGCTATATATTTTTCTTATTATTCCTTTAATTTCTTACAATTTTTTCTGCGTGTGCGGCTGCCTCCTTGGCTGCTTGGCATTGTTGGGTGTTGTGCGTTCCATTTCGCTTCTCTGAACTTGTTGAAAGCGAGTAATATGTGCCAATTTTCTATATATATATATAGTATATACCATATCTTGATGTGCTTGTAATGCAAGAATCGGAGAGCGAGAGCCACAGGCTCTTCCATACATGGCCACTTCATCACGCAGCGTTGGCCAAGCGTGCTGTTGCCGCAGTTGTTGCCGCAGTTGTTGCCTGCAAAATGCAGCTGAGCGTCGCGTCGCGTCGCCTTCCTCTCTCCCAGCTGCTCCTATTGTTCTGGCCGCGCTCGTGCTTGTGCTAGATTTATGCACTGGCTCACCTTTCCTTTCCCTCCAACCGACAGTCGCCAGCCGGCAGCCCCCAGGACAGTTTCGATTTCAATTTAAAGCGGATGCTCGCTTTAATTGCTGGCCGGGGCCAACTATAATTCATAAGTGGATAGCTGCTCTGGGACGTTTCGGGTTGCAATTGCGGCCCGTGAGGTGGCAATGAACTTGCAGATCGAGTCCAGAAATTTGATATATGGGGAGGCAATAAATAGGCAATTGTTTTGAGCTATGAATGAGGTGTACTTAAGTTTTCCTTTCTCATTAATTAAAAGCTGAAAGTATCATCTGAGAAAACAGAACCATTTATTTCTCGCTTTTAATTAAAAATTTCATTAAAATAAATATCTATAACTACTGCCATATCCTGAATACAGCTCTTTTTTGATCCTGGGTCCTTTTAAGTGGACCAAGTCAAGGGGAAATGGCCAAGATGCCATGGCCAGTCTCACTTTCCGCTGCGGTTCAGTGGCCTTTGTCCGTTCGTCGTTGCACTTGACACAGCTCCTGCTGCCACAGCCACTGTCAATGCAACTGAAATGGCAATTGCATCGCCAACTATTGGCAATGCAATGCAATTGATTGTGGCAGCCAATTGAAGGGGATGAATGGCTTCGGCGACTCACTCACTTTCACTGATCGAAAGCGTGAAGCCAAAGTTTAATTGAATCTGCAGCTGCTATTGCTACTCCGCTGGCATCGGCAATGATTGGTAACATTCAATGGTTTCCAGCTCTTACCAACTTTCAAACTTGGCCATTTGAAAGTTATTGGCCACAAGTGCGCGCACACACGTTGCTCCCATTGCAACACACATAACACACCCGCAGATACCCGTGTGTACGTCAAAGAAACTCGAAGTAAACTTAACGTGTCAGCAAGTCGAGCCGCAGAAAAACTTTTCGGCCTGCCCCTTGGAGTTAAGTTGCGACAAAATCAATAGGAAAACTTTGCCACCGAGGGCAGGGCGGGGCGGAGAGACTGCGTTACTTCGAAATGGGGGGCGTGGCCTCAGTGCAGCAATTTGTTATATTCAGGCGGTGTCGCCCCAAAATTGGGTCACCGAAAATGTTCAATTATTCGAGTGAAATGCAGCTCGCAGCCCAATGGAGCAAGTCGTTGCTGGGGAGTTGGGGGGGTGTGTGTGTGGGTTGGGGGAGCCCTGATTTTGGGCTCACAAAAAACTCGTTTTCGGAGTTGATGTAAGCCAGATTTTGTCTGGCTGCTGCTGGCTCGTTTAATACGCTTTATGGGAAAAGTTGATTCTCGAGATTTGTCACTCACTCGAGGGGAAAGC